ATGTTACAATTTCTGATGTAGTAATATTTATCAATCGTAAGATGTCCTGTTACTATCAGTGCTTAGTCACAAGAAGATATGAAACTATGATTTTTACAATAATTCTTACACGGTGTGGCATTTGGTAGAATTGCATACTTCTACACTGCCTGTAGAAATACAAGAGGTTATTAAAAAATATACATAACATACAATGATTGGAGTGTCCAATCAAAATTGATGGCCACTTACCATTATTTATTATGGTGAATCTCACCTGTATAGGAAAGCAGCTATTACCTTAGGTAGCATGGTAAAATGTCGACCCAAGACTACTTTTTCACTTTTATGCTTGATTCCTTCAAATTTATATACAGGGTGATCAACTCAAGGAGGTCACCATTGGGATATCGGAAACGGTAAGAATTAGAGAAAACTTTAAATGGGGCATCCATTAAATGAGGCAACTTTAAATGACATTCCTTTATTTTTTGTGGCAGTTAAAAATAAGATTATAGTTTTTTGAAATTCAGCCACCATTTTCCAAAATGGCGGCCAGCTTTGAAATTTCTTATGGAACACACTATATTATGTTTTTGGATAGAACAGGCAATTTAAAAACTTTTTTATCCTTGACATTTTTCCTATAAACACACTCGTTTAGGAGTTACAGCCTATTTAAACATATATGACTTCCGGTGTACATTTTACATCATGTAGCTCCTAAACAAGTAGGTTTATAGCGTAGCGAAAATCCGAAGAGTAAATAAGTCTTAAAAATGCATCCACATTCCAAAAAGTTAAAGATATTAATTCTATTATTATGGATACTTTCCATGCACAGACCCATAGCCTATGTGGACAGGCAAATATAAGGTTTAAACAGGCCGCCAACCTCTTTTAATAAAAAAAAAACTTTCAATATCGGTTTTGAATATATGAATTAATTAATTAAAATATGTAACTAGAAACTTGAAATGAAATGTAAACTCGATTGTGAATTAAATACTTGCGAATGTAAATACATCCGAGACGACCGAATGTTGGTGTTTGACTGATCTGTGCCACTCACACCCCCGAAGCCCAGGGGTGGGGATGACACTCGTCGTTTTGGCGTAACACATACTGTTCCAACATATATAGCATACTCTTTGTTTTTTTTTCGGAACCCACCTGGCACAAAAATTATGTTTTATCCAAGTTTACCAACCACTATTTTATTAACTAAACTCTGTTAAATATAAAGAAAATGTTATGAGTGTTACGTGATCGTTAAACGAAGATTTTCATTGATTTTTACATTGATTCTCACTACCAATTTATTGGTCACAAGACTAAGCATAACGCTGCGATCCTCGTCATGAACATTGGTTCGGCTATTTTTTTAAACAATATACTACTACCTCACTCGGTTTTCACTCATTATTCCTTGGCCTTACACATCACAAATCTGGCAATAAATTTCAATAGGTTTTTAATTTTTTGCCAACAAAAATCTGATCACACCACACACTTCATAACTGGCGGATTTACAATTGTAGCGCTCATTCCAAAACTCCATTGCATACAAGACACGATGCTCTACCACAAGCTATACTCTAGCTACCACGGCTTGTTGCCCACCTAGTGTAGGAACACTCTGATGCCAAGATGGTGTTCCTAGCCCTGCCACTGCCGCGCCAGGCCAAAACGTCTCACTTCCTGGATAACCCTCGTAATATTTAGGTGTATTTGTGATTGAGATTAATAAAAGAATATTGTTATGGTTTACATGTTGTATCCAAAAAGAAAATACTTTTTGACAAAAATATGTCTATGTACGGATCCACACAGTGTGTGTAAATAGGTTAAGTATAGGGTATAGATTGTAAATAGGGTTGAAATAGGTTGAGGTGATGTGTTTTAAAAAGGTATGGTGATCGCTTTAGGGTGATAAAGAAAAGTTCTTAAACTTTAGTAGAATGTTACAGCTGTCTGAGTTTAACTCTGAACAATGAACATACTATACAATCCAGCTACTAGGAGGTCACGAATTGTGGATATTTATAGGGATGCACTGTGGATGCGATGCTCCCTGGTGTGGAGTAACGTCCGCACTAGTGAGTACTACGATAATCCGCAGTACTATCCTGATAATTAGACCAATTCGAAAATTACAAGGAAAAAATGTGGTTCGGATTCCACTATAAACTGTAGGTCCCTTAGTTGCCATTAGCTGTATGGTAATTAACAACTGTGTCTAAGGAACATGTCGGCCTTAGTCACTAACAAGACTACAAGATCGCGCCACTCATCCTACACTCATCCTTCACTCATATTTGGGTTAAAATACACACATAGTGGCGTCCCCATCTTAAATAACTGATAATTGATAATTGATAATTGATACCTCTTGCTTCTGTTTTTACAATATGACTATGGAATTGTTCCATTGGTATGTCCTAAAACACTTGGCACCCCAAAAAAAGAGTATAATACTTAGCCAAACTAATCAAGTACAGTACTCCATGTTAATTTCTTCCTCCATTTCATAGAAACAAATTCAATTATAAACCACAGTCAATAAGAGAACTGGATATCCAACTGTGCTTAAACACTAATACATTACACTCCCGATTAACCGAAGTTGCAGGGACCAAGACTTAAAGGTCTTCACAAGACTACCTCGGTAACCAAGAATCTCGGATAACACATAGGTTGCATAGATTTTGAGATTAGTGGTTACGGTCCACGTTGGGAAGTCAAGGATAGTTGCAAAATATAAGATTCAACAATACATAGGAAACAAAAAATTATCAAATGGAATTTTCATGCATAATTTGCTTAGATAGAGTGTTTTAAAGAAAATAACACTAACATGCTCATCACTTCTTCAATCGTCTTGACAAGCTTCAAACTCACTATTGTTAGAATTATGCGGATCCATAAATACACCACAGTACTTTAAAGTTTAAACAAAACATTAAGGTGGATTTTTCTAGTGAAAAGCATACAATTACATTTTGTTTGAACTGAGCTATAACCTGACACAATCATGTCTACATTAAAACGTTGTAGGCCTAATGACAATGACAAAGACTGACACTGCCAAAAACTGCCCAGCTTGCTAACGGTTGGCGTCCAGCATATATTATCCAGGGAGGGGGCCCATGGGGGCCAGGCCCCCTCAAAGTTTATTGATATCTATATTTAGGCTTATATTAGGGATGTGTTGATACTTGATACCAATTCTCCATACCACCGATACTTGGACATTGGTATTGGTATCGACAATTGATTATCAATAGTGGATTCCGATTTTTCGAAGATCGCCCGATGGGAAAATTACCGCTTTTGCTGCGATTGTGCAAGACAACGATGATGTTTCTGTGATCGCGGGAGACAATGATGATTTCTACACGGCCGCACGTGATGATCATAATTTTGCCGCGATCGTGGAATACTGTGATGATGCGTTACCGTGGGGAAAATTCAGGATTTTGCCTAGACCGCGGGAGACGATGTCTACACAACCGCGGGGGCGATTAAGATGTCTGCGAAGATGACAATTATGTCCACACGGCCGCGGGAGATGATCAGAATTTTGCTTCAATCGTGGAAGACTACAATAATTTCCACATAACCATGGGATACTAGAGATGTTTGTGATTTTGCCGCGATTGTTGGAGACTTCAAATAGTTTTTCATAACCGCGGGAGACGATGATGGTGTTTCCGTGCATGAGGAAGATATTCAGGATATTGCAGTGATCTCAGAAAACGACGATAATGTCTCCACCACCACGGGAGATGATCACGAAATTACCTCGAGTTTGCCTTGATCAGATATCTCAGAGTGGCACACCTCTAGTATTTTTTTGTTAGATCTTTTTTACCTTTGATGTGGTAGTTATTTTATGTGATAAATGGGAACTTAAACTTAAATTGCCTAGTTAGAATTTTTCATTGCTGCATTAATTTTTTCTTTACTTGAATAACAACCTGTTCTACAAAAATACTTTATGGAAGGACATAAAGCTTGAATTTAATTGTGTACTAAAAGATAGAGCTTTCATTCAAAGATTATAAGTGGAAACCTCTTTTTTAAATAGTAACATAATAAATACAATAGCAAACAAATATAGATGTGCAATCCTTGGCATATTCACACAAGTTTTAGGGATTTGGGCTGATGTTTTATGTTCTTACTCAATAATGCCCTGGACGTTGAAGCGAGCCAAAATAAATAAATAAAAACTATACATTATTATGACTGACCAGTTATGGACACCAACTAATTCGTCCCCATACAATCAAGTTTCTACAGAATGTTAAAACCACAAGTGACCATTGAACCACTGCATTGATAAGGCTATAATGTTCCTGCTGAGGGATGCTTGCAACTACAGTCGATCTTCGTTACTACGAACCTCAGTAAAACAAATTCCTCGATAAGACACATTTGGTTTAATCCCCTTGTAACTTTCATAAAGGTCAATGCTAAAAACACCTCTACACAACGTAGTAATTAGGTTAAAAACCTCCATAAGACAAATTTGTTTGTGGCATGGGCTACGACTGATTAACCTCTATACAACGAATATTCTTAGCACAAAACCTCTAAAAGACAAATGTGACCTCTATGAGACGAATTTCTCATAATCTTAACCTCCATAGTACGTAGTTTTCAAAACAAACAGGAGCTTGTCTCAACATGAAACCCTCGACCATCCCTCTTCCTTCCTCAGTCATTGTTTGGCACATGAGGAGAAACCTCTATAAGACGAATAACTGCAGTATTAAACCTCGATAAAATGAACCTCTTTGTTAAAAATACACCAATAATAAAATTGTTCCCCTACCCCTTGAAATTTGTCTTATGGAAGTTCTTCTGTATTTCTTTTTAAAGAAAATGGGAGCGTTTCACTAAAATTGAAGGAAGGAGTACAGCAACAACCAACACACTAATGATCTGCTAAACTACCATATAACCACAAAGCAATCTAGGGTTGAAATAGATAAGATCTAAAGATGCAAACATACCTTGCAAAGTCTCAACTTCAGAATTGAGTCGAATTTCTTGTAATATACCTTGAGCCCTGGGAAAAGAGATTGAGTGAGGATCTTATTAAAAAAAGTCATTCAGAGAGGGTGTTATAAATATGTATTCAGACTTATTAGGCTAACATCACAGAAATCTAATATCACAGTTAAAAACTAGACTGGTAAATTAAAAACATAGAAAACAATACAGAATTGGACACAAAGTGTAAAATCATTAATTAAGGGAATAGAATTTTTTTTAAACTAACAGTTGAGAAAGGAAAATAATACTAAACAGCAAGCTACTAAACCAAACAGATAACTAAGGCCCCTATTACACGAGGTAGCCTGGCGACGTCGCCAGCGACCAAACTGGCTACTCAGCTTGTCATGGGGCATTGATTCTTATGTATGTTATTACACGAGGGTAGCCAGCGACGCAGCCACACTTTGGCGACCGACTGGCTACCGAGCCCCGTCGCCACTGCGGTAGCCACTGGCTACCCATATTGGCGACGCTGCGTTGTAGCATATGGAGCTTATTACACTAGGTCGCCAGTATCACGTCGCCACTCGGTTATTTCATATCACGGGGGTACTTGCACACTGTTGTGTTGCGTTCTGTTGTGTTGTGAGTGTGTGAATTGTTCACTTCAGTTGATAAAATGTCTATATCATCCTTTATGACTCGAAGAAACTGGATTGTGACATACGAAAATAATTGAAACATTTTTTATTGTCCGCACAGAGCTCATCAAAAAGGGTGTAATATAACCCTTTTGATTCTCTTGCACTAAGCATTGGATGAACGTACGTTTTTCTCTTCCTTTGCCTCCTTTTCTTCAGAAGTAACAGAAGGAGAAGATACTTATAATCACTCATTATTCACTGTAAACACCGCTCATAACAAGTACAAGTGCAAGACAAGCACTCACAACAACGGCGCCACGGCGGTAAAATTCTGGCTACTCAACTGGTTATAGGTTTGGTGGCCAGTGCGTCGCCAGCTACTGCCGCTGGCGACGTCGCCAGGCTACCTCGTGTAATAGGGGCCTAACTGAATCTACAAAATTGCATGACCAATATAGTTATTGGCGCAATCTTTGCACACTTTCAGAGATTAAGGTATTCATCTTTCATATAAATAAAAGTACAATCTCAATTCATAAAGATGTGCACATTTGCATCAACTATATACTCGACTGACTGACGACACTTTTTCTGACTTCATTAATTAATATTTGACTTCAACACGCAAGAACCACAAGGTGACAGAGCACACTCCCTATATACAATACATGTAGGATCTGAATTTACATATAGCTCACACTATCTTAAATGTAATCATCTATTCAAATTGTTCTTGAAAAGTTTAATGAAGTAGCCTTTAAACTAAGTAGATTTGACAATTTTGTATCTTGTATGACTTACCTTTTTTCCTGTGCTGTTGTTAAATGGGGCATTTCATTTTCTATAACTTCGATGACACAATTTTTGCCTAGCCTTCCAGTCAGATTCATAATAACATTAGTACATTCCTTCTTCAACGAATTGTCTACGACTAGTTGTGTTTTTAATACCTCCAACATCATTTGTCTGCTCACTGGCTTATCCTTTTGGGGGTACCTGATAAAAAAAGAGAGTTGTTAGCAAACAATATAACAAGAAAATTAAAAAAATAGATAATGTAAACTCTTACCTTAGCAATCCTTATTATGGTTGTCCGATATTAATTTCGAACCCGTAGGTCCATCTTCAGTCCGAAGTTTAAGTAGACCAAATGCTTATTATAAAATCTACCCGATGGACTTCGTAGAAATGTTGACATTTAACACGAACACGATACACATTACAATTGACATAAATAATATACGGAATTTAGGGATAAAAACCATGGTTTTATAAAACAGTGGGATAACCTCACTTCAGTCAGGGAACACGCTGCCGGCAGAACTGTCAAAATAGTCAGGATTGTGGGTTGAGGTTATGTTGAGGATGATGGACATTTGACTACGGAATGAAAAAACATAGTCTTGGATGTATTTGGATTGATGCGGCTAGGTGTTTGATTGATTATTTGTTTTCAGAAGTGTATCAAAAATTATCTTTGCTGAGAAATTACGTTGGTCATTGAGGACTTCAGACGGGTTGGATTTAGTATTACTGTATATATGGAATTGTTCAATTATGTCCAACTTATTGCTTTTTGGGCCTTTATGTAGGATTTCTAGGTCTTGGTCTGTGGTCGAATATGAGTGCATATGATTTATAAGATGCTCATCATATTGTATTGGAATTTCTGGGAAGGTGTTCTTTGTATCGGGTTTTGAAGCTACGGCCTTTTTGGCCAATATAATACTTTGGGCAAGTGGCACACTTGAGTTTATATATCCCCGAAGCTTCATAATCGTTTACTCACTGCTATGCTTTGGTTTGTTGAGGATCTGGGTTAGGCTGTAAAATGTTAATAGTAGGCTTATAGCATAATATAAAATAAATAAATTTGATCAATATACATCCATAAACAAGCAAATACCGTACTAAAGTTGACTTACTATTTCTCCATCGGACTAATATGGGAGTTTAATATTTTCTTTAGCCTACTTTTTCTGTAACATTTAATTGTGCAACAACGCTTCAATGTACACAATTATTTCTTGTTTTCATTGGCTCTAAATGTTTACTGCAATTAAAATTTGGAATTTTTATGTATTAAGAGTAAAAATTTGACAAAACCATATTTTGAAAATCTGTTAATGTTCCTATTACCCGATTGTACAGACTGAATAAAAAGTTTATCCAGACCTATACGTGCATGCCAAATTTTATGAAAATAGGTCAAAATTGCTTGAGTTCTCGCTTCCATATATACAGGCCCTATATATATATATATAAAGATTTGAACGAATAGTGTTTTTGGTCCCTGTGGACATAAAAATGAAAAAGTAAGTCAGTCCTGAGTCTAGGTTTAACCATACCGTCTACAGTAATAATTTCTTCCCCATGAAATTAAATATTCCTTTATTATCACAATACATTTCAAATTTTCAGCAATGCTGATGAAACAGGTGACATTGTCCATTATTAAAACTATATTTACAATTCATTCCTACAAACTAAATAAATGTAATAGAAAATTTTTTAACTGTGATTAAAATATTCAGAAATAGATTCAAACTGCTTTTGTAAGAAATACATTTTAAACTTGTTTTTGAATTTTGAAATATTGTTAATTTCTCTGAATTTGGTAGGTAGACTGGGATTGTAAAGCCTGAGACCCATATAAAATGGTTATCTTTCATACAGACAGAGACGATGTCTTTGATATTTCAAATTTTTTTTCAAACAAGTAGGATATTGATGGATGAATTGGTTGTTGTCATATGATTGGTAGTTACTTTTTAAAGAAACCATCATTTTAAATATATATAAAGAAGGTATTATTAATTTATCATATTTTTTTAATAGGTTTAAATTATGCTCTTTTTGGTGCAAAAGATGGGATTCTTAAATACTTCTTTTGTTTTTTAAAAACTGTGTCGGCATATGAAGTTGAGTCCCATAGTTCAATTCAATACCGCATGATGGAATAAAACATTGCATAATATACAGTAAGTTTAGTTTTCAGATCAATTATATTCCTTAAAACATACATTTGAGAACAGGCTGTATTCAGCCTCTTTACTATCATGTCTATGTGTGGTTTCCAGGTTAAATTTCTATCAATAATTAAGCCTAAGAACTTTGTATGTTCAACAAAAGGTAAAGTATCGCTTTGGTAGCGTAATTAAAAATTTTGATTCCCTCTATTTTGGATTGTTTGAAATAATATAACCTGTGTTTTAGAACTATTGAGTTGCAGCCCATTTACTGTAAACCAACTGGACAAATCTATGAGAGAGCGGTTGAATTCTAATTTAAGATTGGGTATATCTTTTGCTTTAACTATGGCTGTAGTGTCATCTGCATATAATATGAGGCTAGAAGACACATTTTGAGGTACATCATTCACAAAAATTAAAAATAGTAAAGGACCTAATATCGAACCTTGTGGGACACCACATTTAACTTCGTGCCAATTCGAGATAAACTTTTTGCCGTTTTTTTAAATTGATGTTCTTTGTTTCCTGTTAGTTAAATAAGAATCAATCCAATAGGGGAAATTCTCTAAAAAGATGCCATCTATTAATTAAAATAGTCCCTAAGAGAGGTATTTCAACAAAGGTGTTTTGTGCTTATGCCTACTAAAAATTGAAGTTGAATGGAGGATATGCGTCTCATGCAAGGGCTCTATAGAAGTTGATTAGATGATAACTGATTTCACTGTTTACTTACAGAGTGAACATGTCTTCTATGAGCCTTTCTGTCTCAAAAGCCAAGTCTCTATTTTTATTATTGAGATAAGGCAAAAGTTTCTCAAGCAGTTGAGTCGGAGTGTGCGCATTGACCTCGATTAATTTGAGGAAATATGTCTTCACTTTTTCACGGACCCCTTCCTTAGAGTCACCTGAAAAGAAATTAAAACATTTTAAATACAACTTTAACATTTACATATATTTTTTTATTGTCCTTGACTTTGTAAATTATTGTTAATTAAATAAACATTAAGTAAACATCTGGTCTAAATTAGCCTATGGACTTTTTTCCCACTGAATTAAAAGCTACGTAATCTACTGAATTTCCAAAATGACTCGAGTATGCCTGACAATAGTGTTGGATGTCGAGTGATATATTATGTCTAGGGTTAGAGGCCCTGTGCAATGTGCACACAGCAAGTAGATCGGTCATCAGTGTTTAGTTAACACCAGAGTTTGCGGCAATTAACTATGTAGAGTATATTTGTAGATGCTTTTGAATAGTGAGCCAGACAAACTCTTTTTTAGATATAAGTCGACAATCTACACATGCCTCAAAAATTTTAAGTAGCATTAGAAAGCACAGCCTCTGCTAAATTACTTGAGTCGCACCTCTGTCAATGGGTGGTTTTGGATATACTTACATTTGTATGTCCCCAACAGTATATATTTAGTTTGAAATCTTATGTTAGTTCAATCTTAGAAAAAAAAATTAAAGAAAGAAAAAGGAATTTTAGACCTCAACCTTACTCTTGATATTTAACAATAAATTCACCTAATACAGGGTGTTTATAAAAGAATGCCGGGATTTTAAACGGCCGTTGCTCGGGGACTATTCAAGATAATTAAATGATTTAAACGTCAAATTGAAGGGGAAAGAACAACGTTTTTCTCATACTTTAATACAAATTCGGATAAATTGAATAAAATTCAGATTTTCATCAATCTTATATGAACGTAAAACTGGCAAAGTCTGCAGGCTTAGAGCAATCAGTGGGTTTATATGATGTCTGAATATTTTTAGACACAAAGACTATATCTTTTACAGATTACATCACAAAGTGTTGATTTAGGTATGTTCAACTGAAGACATTGTTGGCCAATTGACTTTTTGGGGCTTCTGATGCAGAATTGTCGGATTTCTTCGACTATGTCATCACTTGTTTTAAGCCGGCCAGGTGAATGTCCTTTCAAAACATTATGGTGCCACAAAACTCATTAATCCAGTGTCAAATTTCTTCATCATCAGGTAGATTTTTTAATTTAGTTTATTTTAGCAGTTGATTATAAACTCTGTGAACCACAGATTACACTCTGTGCCTTCTGTTGCGCAGTAAACATTGCACTGGCGACAGGTGTGTGAGACACATTAGCGGCCTACCATCCTGCACCTGTTTTGCCCATTCCAAGGTCAAAGTTTCCTCCCTCGCTACATGGGAAACAAAACTTAGTTGGTTTAGCTTCAATTTTACATATAAAACGTTTAGTTACCTTGAATAGTATCCAAGCAATTACCATTTAAAATCCCGGCATTATTTTATGATTGAAGTCTTTGTCCTTGACCGATACTGTCACACAGATTGTGTCACAGTTGATACGAGTTGACAACAAAACATATATTATTTACCGATTTGCAATATGCACATTTTAATGTGACATAAAATAAAAATGTAAAAGTATAAAAACTGCCAGAACTGCTACTTGTTAAATTAGCTTGGGGAGACTGCAAAGAAGTTTGTACGGAACTCAACAGATTGAGAATCCAAATATTGTGGTTGATTTAACTTCAGATATAAAAATGTTATTGGTGGCATATAAAATGTAGATACCGTTTTAGATGAAAATCAATTGTACCGGTACTTACCAAGTCTATTCACTAGAATAGGAAAAACTCCGCCACTGTAGACTTTGTATTTAGCTTGCATTACTTCAGCTACAATCATCAAGGCATCCAGGCCATATTGGGATATCTGTGGGAATTGAATTTGGTTCAATTAAAATATTATTTGCGTGAATCACTGAGCTCGAATATACAATAAGCGCGGATGAACTCATTCTTTACTTATTCCGCCCCATATCAGGCCCAGCACATTGAACTGGGCGATATTTCACAGTTAACTACCTACAGGCCTACTCGATATTTTTAAAACAAACCCCTTTCTGCATGTAGGAAAAATCTGGACCCTTCCCATAAATTGGGAAGGAAATAAAAATCCTATCCCGTCCCAAACTAAAAATTCATACCCATCTAGATACATAACAAGTAGAAAAACAGACTAAGATTGTTTTGTGCAATAAAATTACTACTACAATGAATAGGATGTAAACACCTTTAGACGGGTTTAGTTCATTACGTCTATTTTACATTGCCCTAGTGGGTTATTGCCAAGCCTAAAGGTCTAATAAGACACATTAGCCTACACAAATTGTTGAATAAAAATAATGCGTGTTCTAAAGAAACAAAAAATCAAATATAGGGAAACTAGTTCTGTTCAGACGGAAATTAAATCCTATGATTTTCATTTAAAAACATTTGTAGTATAGGTAAAAGATCAAATAAACTTACCTTGGGGTTTGGAAAGCTGACCCACAGCTTAGCCAGACTTTCGATGAAGACAGCTATGTCTTGGTTTCCAAGAATAACCCCAGGGTTGTCAGCAAGAAACTTAATCATCAATGGCCCCTGATCGTTTTTGTAGGAGAATGTCGGCCTGCCTGGTTCTTCTAAGAAACTATTCATTTTCAAACAGAGTTCGGCCATCAACTCATCTCTTCTTTTCTGCTCAGCATTAGCCATGATTATTATGATGTTACTTCAATTTAGTTTGGAAATTGTTAACATCTCCTGAAACATGAATTTAAAAAATCAGCAGTGAGGCTAGGCCTACGTAAAAAATACTATCTTGCATGTAACCTTAGGCCTATCGTAGAATATGTCACCATGAAGACCAGATGCTCTGTTGAAACACAAGAAATGTTTAGGTAGGCTAAAGTAAAACTCACTTCTATCTTAGGAAAATACAATACCTTAATGTTAGAGTATACCGATAATTACAATATTGTACTAGGCCTATATTGAACTTACCAGTTCCAAACCAGTTGCCTATTCTTTCGATTGTTCTCTTACCCAGTCAGCCAGAACAAAATTAAATGATAAAAAGAGTTTGATAGGTTTAATAACTCAAATTGAATTGTTAGAAATGCCAATCGAAAGAAAATTTAAATTAAATTATTACACAGGTACCGGTACCTATAAAATATCAGCGCACTAATTATCAGCATATACAATTTAAATGAACTTGATGGCTTTGAACTTAATGATAGGCCTAAAAGATTTATTACTGCATCATCGTAGGATATCACTTGGGATCGTTCAGCAGCAAGTTAGTATCTCAAACATTGAAATTGCCTTAACTTAGGACCTGCTTACAACACCTGCTTATTATGACAAGTGCTTTGATATCATGCCAAATGTGTGGTCCCTAAGGCATAACTGTTGCAAACTGAAGCCAAACAGCTATAAACTTAGTTGATTGTTAACAAAATCAGCCAGAGTAAATTGTTTGCCAACCACTCAACGTAAAACAGTCTACATGCTAACAAAACTCAATAAATACAGCCAACATAATATGGCTCAACAATCCTGTTGGAAAAAATACAGAAAGCCCAGTATGAGGCTGGACCTGACCTCAGTTTCACTACGTATGGGTTATCTCAACCTAAGTTCATCTTCAACTGTACCCGGCCTAAATATTAGTCCATCTCAATTTATAAATTGAAACATATTCTAAACAATATTGTACTTAACATCTGATTTATAATCATATAATGACACTTTTGAGTCTGCTAATCTATAGGCTACTTCCATTGACTATTGGATACTGAAGTAGACATCCCATCTATATGGAACAGCTATAGCCATTTTTTTTACAAAAAAAGAAATGTAGTTGTGAGAGGCAGTCACAGAATGTGCTAGTGTTTGAAATTCTATTTTCTACATTATTTTCTGTTGCTGACTAAGTTGATGGGTCATAACCGTTGCTATAGCTCTCGATAAGTGAATTCTATGAGTTTGACTCATTAATAAAAGTTTATATATTTGAAAAAATTAGTTATTTAGAGCAGCACAATCTGTCGGTGGCTCACATCAACTAAGACAATTTTTATTTAAAATCTGGTGACAAATTTTACATGGGGATGGAACGTCTAGTTGTAATAGTCAAAGCTACTACCCTCTAAGGATATACAAGCCTTGGCTTTTTTCAGAGGTCGGCAGCCTGTTTTACCTTGCATTTGCTCGTCCACATGGGCCACTGAGTGTGGAACATATCCAGCAAGGAGTGAGCTGATACAGTTCAAGGGTGGACTGTACAGACATATATCGCCTATAAGGGCCCTTTCACACGAGGCCATAGGTGGCGAGCTTAAACTTTGTTTTAAATGGGAGCGTTCAGAGCAGTCATCAACAGTTGAAACTGTCAGTCCACGCATGGAGACAAACGTACTTGTGCTAGTTTTTGAATGGTTTTCTGTTGATCTGTTTATTTGTTTATTGTTTGATTATAAACAAATCTGTGAGTAGAAGATAAATAAGAAGTAGGTTGCAGCAAAAAAGAAAGAACAGATTTAGGGAATACTTAATTAATGAATACTGTAGAGGTTTAAAAATTTCTTTTGGGCTTTTACCCAATATGATGTAAATAATTTGATAAGCTAGAATAAAATAAGTAGGCCTATGTATTTTAGTGTGACTTCATGATATCCATCGAGATAAGTTTGTAATACATACTTAACATAAGCATGCAAAATTTTAACAAAATGTAAGCCTATATAAATAAACAAATAAGTAAGGCTTAGCAGTGTCATCCTCCATAAGAATAAGATGGGAATTTTAAATTTTCAGTTGGTATTTTTTTTATCCTCCATAACTGTTAAGCATTCAACGATTCAATAAACTAAATTATTTGTTAAGGCTCTACAAAATTGCTTACAGTCGGGGCCAAGAAAGTTTGCAGTTGGCGGCAGCCAATCACAAGACAAGGCTAGTGCGACGTCGCCATATCGCCCGTTGACAACACTAATTAAAATACTAATCAATATTTTCAAATCAGCTGGTATTATTAGTTTTGGCAACACCACACTGTCCTCATTGGCTCCTTCGAAGTCACGTGGTACATAGGTTCCTGCCTCAACTGCAAACTTTCATGGTCCCGACTTTAGAAAGAAATTGCAAAATATACATTTTGAGGGTCGATTTGAGAAAAAACCAATTTTACCCCATTAAAACATGCATTTAAGTCTGTTTTCATTGTAGGATCATGCTGATTTGAAAACTCGGTGGAATAACTTAAATGTAGGTTTACACTATTGTTTCAAATTTGTCAAAATTGGCTCGAGTTACTGTGCTACGCACACTCACACATTAGTATGAGATCGACCAGATGGCGTTTTTGGTTTCTGGGTGACATAAAAATAAAAAAGGTTATTGGTCCCGGGTCTAGGTCTTAAACCATGAGTCCTACTCCTATATCAACTAAAAACCGTCTAACCGTCTCAGTCAGGAATTGGCTAACTCCGGAACCCGCTAACTCGATTTTGTCTCGCGGCGGAATTCACTAACTCTGGAAGTATAAAAAAAAAATAGAATATGAAAAATATTCAAAATTTAGTTTAATTGGTACTAAATAATTAAACCTCTACGAAATTAAGCTAAAATACACGCAAGTTCTTAAACACGGAAAACAGATTAAATTGTAATGTCGTAATAAACCAAAACCATTAATTAATACAGTCATCAACCATCATAACTTTCATAACTAATTCATAGATTTTAAATTAAATGTTCGTCGTTGAACCGTCCAACTTACGTGTACAAATATGATGACATAGACTAAGTTTTTATCTAGGCCTAATAGTTTGAACCAAAGCATTGTAGGCCTACTAGTAAATAGTTGCCTAATTCTAAAATGTGTTGAATTTTTTAGCAATAATGTTACATGTTTTAAAACCGTTTTTAGATTGTACACCTAAGCACCACTAGTAAAAAATAGGAGAAGATATAATATTCATATAATAAAACGTGACAGGGTTATTTTAATTCACGATTCTTAATAAACGATTTTCCTGATTTGAGTGTTGTGTTTATTGCTTTCACAATCGATATAAACTATACCAAGCTGTTAAAACGCGATACTGATTCTTCTAAAAGGGGTATACTTTTTAATAATCTCAAGAAAACATAGTACCGGTACAAAAAGAACTTAAATTTTAATCAGACATAACTATTCCAGACCAACTCTTTAACAATCAATCAAAAGGAAAACACTAATTGCAAAATGTGAACAAATAAAACATCTGATGAATTAAATTAATATATAAATAATCATCTAGAGACAGTCATTTTCAACACCAAGCCATTGCTCGGTTCACCGTTCCCCAGTACTGAGCTACACAATAGACAATAGCTTTGTTTTTGGATAAGATCAAGTAATTTTAGCTATGGCCACCATTCATAAGAATTGTAACAAACAAAAACGCCTGGGTCCATTTAGAACCAGCCTGGAGAAAAACTCAAGACTTTTAAAAAGTAGGCCTACTGAATGACGTAAAACTAATATTAATTCAACAAAATTAAGAGGATGACCCGGGTTCTACACTAATAGCCTACGATAAAAGAAATTTACAAGTTGTATTTATGCATAGACTAACTTTTAATGTAATCCATGAATACATTAGGCCTACCACTTTATAATGTATTGATAAATATTTACAGTAGAACCTCTTTAATCCGAACTACTTGGGACCAGGGGTAGTTCGGACTATTGAATAGTTTGGATTACAGAACATTGTTGTTTTTACATAACAATAGCTAAAACATGGCTAAAATTGATCAAAATTATTTTGGGGTATGTGAAAAAATGTTTTATAAAGTAAAATACAGTGTTTATTTGTTTATTTAATAAAGTAGTAAACATGGTGAATAAACAGTACTGTACATTAAATACAGTATACAATAAAGAACTGCTGTACTGTGTATAAAGTACGGCAATGAGGGGTTCGGATTAGAGGGCGTTCGGATTACGGGGGTTCGGATTAAAGAGGTTCTACTGTATTTTAATTCAATAGCTCTATTTAAAAATACATTACCACTACAATGCAATTCTGTAATGACGTTTAACGTGTAAATTTTAGTATGATTTATGATTTAAGGTTACAAGCCCAGTATATAAAATACAAACTCAATAATTTTATTTGCAGAAGTTCACAAAATGGTATTTATTCGAATAAAAGAAACAAATGGCGGACTACGAAAATAGATATTTCATAACATGTAACAGATCCAAATTAAATGTGCATTTTTATCTTTTTGCATACCAATAAGCTACTATTTAAGTAAGAAACCCACATATAAAACATACTACCTTATATTAGTAGGCTACATTTCTCATCCTTATGGATCATCTGAAGACAGTTGTATTGTTAGTTCTGTCCGGAGCACTGTCTTTAGAGGTCGTGTTTTGTTTACAATTGTTTCTTGTTTTCAGTAATTTAAAACCTCGTTTAACCAAATAAAACGTTCTAATCACAACTAATAACACGTCCCCTAGTTATATAACCAAACAGTAAAGAACAAATCATGAAGTTAACTAAAATAATAGAAACACAATTTTGTCGACACTAGCGATCAGTGTCACCGGACATGAACTAGACACGAAAAACGAGCTTCAAAGTTTACAATGGGATGTAAAGTTTACTTGTGTTGGTTAGTCTATGGTAAGACTATAATGCATTTTCCATCCTAATAATCATAAGAATAATGTTAAACATACTTCTAAATACAGGGTGTTTTTAAAAGAATGCCGGGATTTCAAAAGGTCGTTGCTCGGGGACTATTCAAGATAATTAAACAATTTAAGCGTCAAATTGAAGGGAAAAGAATAAAGTTTTTTTCACATTCTTTCATACATTTCGGAATGATTTTATAAAATTCAGATTTTTATTTTCAGATTTTATATGAGCGTAAAACTGGCAAAGTCCTTATGCTTAGGGCGATCGGGGGGTTTATCTGATGTCTTAACTGAATCTTTTTCTACACAAAAACTCTATCTTTAATACATATATAACATCATAAAGTGACCAACTTAGGTTTCTTAAACTAAAGACTTCGTCGGGCAATCGACTTTTTCGGGCATCTGATGCAGAATTGTCGGATTTCTTTGACTATGTCATCGTTTGTTTTTAGCTGGCCAGGTGAATGACTTTTCAAAACACTTCGGTGCCACGAAACTCATTAAACCAGCTTCAAGTTTCTTTATCATCAAATAGATTTAAATTTAGCTTAATTTAGCAATAGATACAAACTCTGCGAATTACAAATTACAATCTGTGCCTTCTGTTGCGCCGTAAACGTCGTACTGGCGACTGGCGTCAGTCGTATGAGTCACAATAGCGGCCTATCACCCCGCACCTGTTTTACGCATGCCAAGGTCAAAGTTTCCTCCCTTGCTACGTACGGAAAACAAAACTTAGTTACTTTAGCTTCAATTTGACGTATAAAACGTTTAGTTACCTTGAATAGTATCCAAGCAATTACTATTTAAAATCACGGCATTCTTTTAAAAACACCCTGTATATTTATTTTATCGACTACGTTGCTCTTACTCCTAATTAATCGTAGGATACGACATTATGGTACCGATACGATATAGGTCCTACACTTTCGGCAACACTGGCCAAAAATATTCGTGCCTGGCTCCCATTGGACGGTCCGCGAGGCTTCTGATTGGAAGTTAGCGAGTTCCGCCGAGGGACCGAGTTAGCGACTTCCGTACGAGGACGGAATTCGCTAACCCGGCTCTAGAGCGGGTTAGCGGGTTCCGGAGTTAGCCAATTCCGCGGACCCGGGAAATTTCCTAAAAGCAAACTTACTGAATCTTATGAATAGACCTAACTGTTGTAAGTTACATGAGGATTCCAATTCAGTTGCAATTCTATAGACAGGCCTAGGCTACAGTAATAAATTGTTTAAGATACGGTATCTATAGGCCTAAAGTGTTAAATGTAACTATCTAGTTTCTTGGGCGAAATGTTGAAATCCTACTCCATCATATTATCGAACATAATACAGTACTATCGAATCAACCGATAACTCAGTTAAACTCAAGGGCAAGTCATTGATGGCAAAGAGAAAAAGGAGAGGGCCAAAAACGGAACTTCTTGAGGGACTCTTACAGTTAGAGGACAGGGCGGAGGGCCATAAGATGTTGCATATGCAAACTAAACTGCCTGCCTCTGGTCAGTTTGAGTACGCTCTAAACAGAAGTTTCCAGTTTTAAACTAGCCTAGTTGTTACGCTTACTTTTACGCTTATCTTTCCTGAAAAAGTAATGTAAGTTAGGCCTACTGTTAAAAGTAATGTTGATGCTGTGGGACTGTTTATTTTGTATGCTAAAAATTAGAGGGAAACCGGTTGTTTTAAAAAAACACATCCAAGCCTAGGCCCACTGTACATTATTTGGACAAGGTACAGTAGGGCCTATGTAGGGTATTAAACCTACCAATCTCGCTATTAAAGTTTAGTATAGACTACAATTGATAGACTGAACTATTTAATGGATGGTTGTTTCAAGAAATCCGAACACATTTGTACCGTAAGTTTGTTATTTTAACCTTAACCGTAATTTAAAACTTCGTGTAGGTGTACCTTACACTAATTGGAAGACCTAGTAGACCCCTACTAGTTGCTGCATCTGTCAAATATGAGTATTCAAAATATGATACTAATATAATTTAAGCGTGATATCCAAATAAATAAATCTTACCTAAATTATAATATACACTTAACAAGTCAGCATACTTCGTAAAAGGTTGAAACTAAATATTCTCAACACATATCGCTTGACAAAAGTGAGGATTTTTGTCCACAACAATATATATGATGATACCCAATTCCCAAACTAAACTACTATTTCAATTCCAGTTTCTATCCAATGCCAGTGTTCCTTTTCCAATGCTGCCGAATACAGAAAAACCAGTGTGACCAATGTGAAATTGTCATATCCTATACCTCCATAGTATACACATATAATATATGTGATATATAGTAAATATGTAGTTTCTATAAACGCATTGTTACAACAGACCTTATTATTCAACATAAAATTTCGTAATTCTTTTAGCGAATTTCCCTAAAAAGAAAGAAGAAAGAAGCTATATTACCGTATGTAAAATGGCGTGAGACATACCTTGGACCCAACCTATTTACTTTTTCTATCTAAAAATACCCCCGCCACAGCAAACCTGCAGACTAAGCGAATTTCCATTTGCCTGATTGTAAACTAAAATGTCTCCTTAAAAATATCACATTTATTCCCTAGTAACATTAGTTTAACAACATTAATAACATTACTATCGTGCTGACAGACTTAAAATATCTAAGAATGTGGACGGATGATGTTTTTGGCCTCTATGACCCTTCAAAATGAACAAGTAAATCGGTCCCGGGTCCAGGTCTTACCACGAGACCTACGGTAATAGCTAATAGCCTATACCTTTGAATAGGAAATTCGCCAAACAAACTGATCGAATTAACAACTTATACTGAAACAATAGAAACAAATTAATAGGCATCATTAAACTATTATTCATCCAAACCAGCGTGATCTTCCAGAGACCACCCATATATAACTAATTTTTGTTTCAATGCAAAGCACAAGAAAATTCACAACCGAATGTTATAAATGCAACACTAGTTACATCATTTCAGGAGTCAGTTTGTAGAACTAAGGCACAGAGATAACAGCCTAATAAGAAAAACAAGATCAAATTTTCAACCAATAAATCGAGGAGTTCCCCAAGGTTCAGTTATGGGTCCGGTACTGTTTATTCTTTTTACCAACGATTTGCCGCAACAAATAGGAGACGCCTGCCTTACTCTTATGTATGCTGATGACACAACCTTAGTGTTTAATGAACCACTAGCTGAAAATCTAGAAGTAAAATCCTATGTGTCACTCAGTATGGCCTACCAATACTGCTATAACAATGATCTCGCAGTAAACACGTCTAAAACAACTCAAATAGCTTTTGGCCGTAAATCTCAAGAAGTGCCACGACTCCCAGATGTAGAAGTGGAAGATGAAGCTAAGTTTTTGGGCATCACACTCGACAAGAATTTAACCTGGACCCCTCATGTGGACAATATATGTAAAAAATTAAGTTCAACCATCTATGCTCTTAAACATATAAAAAATGCAACAGATGACATGACAACAAAAGTAGCATACTTTGCACTTTTCGAGTCGCATATGAGATATGGACTTGTAGCATGGGGTGGAACCTCTGCCACTAACATGCAAAGAGTTCTCAGAAAACAAAAAAAGGCAGTCAGAATAACTGCAGGACTCCACAGACTCGACAGCTGCAGGGAAGCATTCAGGTCACTCAAAGTACTTACCCTTGTAGCACTCTACATCCAGGAAGTTGTGTTATTTGCAGTAAGAAATAACCCTACAAGGCGTGGCGAAATGCACCAACACAACCTGAGAAACACCATGCAGTACAACCTTCCACAACATCGCACGACACAGTTTGAAAAGAAACCTTCATACGCAGGAATGAAAATCTACAACAGGCTACCTCCAGATCTAAGAAGCAAGTCAGAAGATGACCTCAAACCAGCTTTGCATCAATGGCTCATTAATCGACCTTTCTATTCCTTAGAAGAATACCGTCAACAGGTCTTTGACTAAACAACACCTCAACCAAACATTTAGAAAAAATTGTAAATTGACGCTACTACTATTCTTAATGAATGTGTAAATAAAGATTATTTGTCTATTGTCTATTGTCTATTGTCTATTTATTTCTAATTTAATCATCATTATTTAAATACGCCCAAATTAAAGATACTTTTATTGTGAACTCAACTAGGCATATATGACTATTTATTTTTCTTTTGCATATGATTGACTAAATAGATATAAAACAGAATACAAAAAAATAAAATTTACAATAATAAATAAAAGAAACGTCTTATAACACTTAAAACATATATCTTGAATGGCGTCCCTACTTACGCCATTCAAGATTCTTGTCATTCGCCTATTAGGTCTGATGATGATTGGAGTGTCCAATCGAAATCGATCACCACTTACCATCTTTTTTGTATATTTACCGTCTTGTGAGTAACAGTAGTATAAGCGTAAATATATGTTTTAAGTGTTATAAGACGTTTCTTTTATTTACTTTCCGTAAATTTAATAACACGTACAATGCTGATCAAGAAGTTATTTAATAATAAATATACAAGAATAATAATCTGATTCACAAAAAAACATAGCTATGATTTTGGTTTTTATTGTAAAACAAAACAGTGCACTAAGGGAACAGAAAATATAAAGGCTAGGTAACTACCATTAGAAACTATTTGGTAATTTCCTGAGCCGTCCATATATTAATCACGCTTAAGATTAAGACGGAAATAGCTAGATCATTTCCTGAATCGTCTGTATGCTATTACTCTAGTGATTCAAAGAATTGGCTGCAATACATTTTGTTTAACTTAATATCTCAACAATAAGAATTCTATTCTAGGAAGGTCACTATCCCATCAGTCGCCCTCTCAGTAACGGAAGCATTCCCCCCCCCCCAACCCAAAGCCATTGCCCTTTGCACCCCTCCCCCATCGGGGCACCAACGTCATCCTCCTCTCTTACCCACGGGTCAGGTATTTTTGGGGAGATCGGTATTCTTGGGGGGAATGCTATAGTTAGTGTGCGAACTGAAGCTTAATGAAGCGTAAAAGGGTTCTACTGCTGATTAGGGCCAGGGGTCGCCAGCTCTCCGTTTCCCGATGAAAAGACACTGATCCCAGGATTTCTTATTCAAAACTGACCGGAATCTCGGGATTGAGACCCCTAATCAGCTGCTGAAATCCAGGCTGAGAGCAACCATCGAAGGATCTTTCTCTCCAGCAGCACGGCTTTCAAAAGGGACATTCAATTTTTCTACAGTTACAGAAGTGGTCAGTGATATCTAGTAAGCTAAAACGAGCCATCATACCAAGTCAATTTGGCCGCTGGTGACGCTGACACTAAAAATATCTTCAATTCTGCTTGCTGAGTGGATATGTTAGAGGTCTTGCAGCAGAACTTCAGTGTACAAGACTACCTCTTAGTCGTTGTGCAGGACTACCAGAAGGACTATCATCTGTTGTTTGAGACTCATGAGGGGAGAAAATTCAAAATAGAAATAGGTTACTGCCAGTGCGACACAGGGGTCGATCCTTGGCCTGTTGAATGTCCTATACGACGGTCTGCTCCCCCTAAACATGCATAGAGATGTTTAGTTGCTGTCAAAACAGTGTGAACTCTGGAGTTGACCCTGATGCACACGGATCAAGTGATGATTAGATTGATCAATGGATCACGAGTCACATACTCATTACGGTGGTCACCATAGTGAGATTATCATGCTCACTCAAAAACTAATCCCCACATTGTTCCCTATGAATTTCAAGAAATAGAGGGACAGAAGCAGCAGCAAGGTATTTAGGATTGATTGTAAGCTCAGCTACTGATGAGAACATATGAGAGGGTCTTATCTATCTTGTATAAGTGCAATAAAAAAACATGTTCTTGTCCTGTGTTTATGGGATTAAAATAAGTAATGGACTCACATGGTTATATATTACAGTAGGGTTTGTATAGACTAGAGAGTACAGTAGACTCCCTTTTATTCGGACTCCACAGGACCGAGGCCAGTCTGGATAACAGGTTTTCCGGTTAAACCGACATCCCCAAAAACTTTTTATGTAACCCAAATATTTGACTTAAATTTAGGAGAGCATTGTTTTTAGACACGTGATCATTGGTCTCAAATCTTTCCCTCGAGAACAGTCGTTTCAGTACCGCCCACTTCCTGCCGGTCTAATCCGGTTAAACCGATGTACTGATAAAAATTGTCCGGTTAAAGAGATGCCATTTCCGCCAAGTGTAGTCCGGTTAAACCGATGTCCGGTTAAAAGGTGTCCAGATTAGAGGGAGTCTACTGTAAACTTTTTTAGCATGTATTACAAGTAATTTTGAGCAGCCCATACTGTGGGTTGTCTTTCACATGTCAGTGACTTATTAAGCTGCTGCTTTAGCAATGTTTATGATATTACTACATCATCTATGACACTGTTTTCTTGCTGGTTCTAATTCATTTTAAATTAAATTACTTTTGAAGTACAGTATGTAACTTCTGCCTACTTCTCTAGCCATTGAGCAATATAGCTTATATTAGTTAAAGCACGCAGCTACTTTTTATCTTAGGATCTCAGTTTAAAGCAATCGAAACTCATGTATTGTATATTATATCACTTTTATAATCTCTATAAATAAACCATGACCACTCAATTGGATGAATAAAACAAAGATTCCCACTTCACAACAATTTATTAATTTTGTAGTCTACTTCAAATTAAAGTTATTTAATCCACAAATATTTGTGATTCAACTGGACAAAAGTTACAAGTATTTTTCAAACATAGAGCAGGTTATATCATATTGAACAAATCGTATTGAATCATTATGTATATTGGAAACCTGATCATTAAATAGCTCAGGGAATTTGTTGATACAGTACAGCCATAACACTTTTTACTAAATACAAGTTGTTGAATTCTGTGATTTTACAAAAAAAAATATCGACACACAGGATCACTTTGAAAATTTAATAAACACTTTCTAAACAAGTTATTTTTTTATTTAAACTAAAATTATGCAAGATATTCAATTTTATATAACATAATTACAAGGAAAATACTGTAACAATGACCTTTACATAGGAACCCTAAATAGTTGTATCAAAAATCTACAATTATCTTGATTTTATCTTATAAATTCATGAAAATAAGCAGGTCATGTTCACCATTCTTTAAACAAAGATGTATAGGAGCTGAGATTTTCAATCGAACCAAGCTTGAACAAATTTCAATCTCTATGATTTATTTGTGCAATTTTTTTTAAATAATGAAAGTGTTATAAAATAAGTTGATTGGTCACAATTCATTTCTAAATGCATTTGATTTAAGGTTGTAATGTAAAGGTAATCATACAATTTTTTTTTAGAATCTGGACTGAGGCTCTGGACTTTTTTGACTTTTGTCAAAGTACTCAAGTTTGAATATTTTATTTTATAAGTTAAGAAGCTTTCCATTAGATATACACTTCCTGTGCAGCTACTTTCTTTGTAAACACCAAAAAGGAAACCTTCAAATTTAAAGACCAGTACCTCAAATTACCTCTAATAAAATACCATATCGTTTGATAGGAAGCTAATAGTTTAGAATAATACTCCCGCCCCAGCAAACCTGCGGACTAAGCGAATTTCTACTTGTCTGATTATATTTTTACTAAAATATTTCTATAAAAACATGGTCCGATCATGCTGGTTCGCGAACTCGTTCAAATAAATGTATGTTTACATGTTTATTTCGAATTTCATCAAAATCGGATCATTTTTGCTCGTGTTATCGTGCTAACACACACACACACACATATATATATATATATATATATATATATATAAACGGATGATGTTTTTAGCCTCTGGAGACCTCAAAACAAAAAAGTAAATCGGTCCCGGGTCCAGGTCTTACCACGAGACCTACAGTAATAACTTGTTCCCTATATGGAAAATTCGCTAAAACAAAACCCAATAAGTTTAAACTAAACAAGTTTTTAGAGCACGTCTTATATGGTTACCAATGGAAAAGTAGTATTAGCTGTACCCGTAGTAATCGTAAATTTGCATTTATCACGATGTCACAAGACTCACAATAATTGCAATCCATAATCACTGCTCTATTTTGATAATGAACTAAGCAATTGCATTGAGCTTGAGAATTGTCCATAGAGGAATCTTCCCAGACACTTTATGCCATAGCGATTACATTGGGGAAGTAAAAGCTCAACTCGGCTTGACTTTTTTGACTTCGTGCCAAATCACTCAAGCTTTCAAAAATGACTATCCTTGGCTTAACTCGAACGCCCAACCCTACTTAAAAGGAAATTACACTGAACTCTGAATCGTGTTTTACAACTTAATTTTTATAAAACTAAATTAATTTGGCATCAAAGTTTTAAAATCTCATGACATGATGAATTTAAATTAATGATTTCCTGTTGATAAAAGGATTTTTATTTTGATATTTCACTGATTTTATAACACTTGTATAGCTTCTTCAATTAAAAAGTCAATATATATATAGCTTACTTACTATTCAATTAATTATTCTATTATTACTAGTTTATCTGGAAGATAAAAATCCACATTGAAATGATAATCTAAAATATTATTACTGTGTTGGTTTATTAACAGAGTTGAGCAGGAATATTATAGCATTACACTTTAATAATTCAATGCACAATATGAAAAAACTGACTTTTGAAAATAAGATTTTAAATGGTTTACGTAATTTGAATTCAGAGAATAAAACAAGTCCCAGGTATGTTCAATGGATTATAGAAATACCCCACCCCAGCAAACCTGCCAACAAAGCAAATTTCCATTCATCTGATTCTATTTTTACTAAAATATTTCCATAAACCCATTTCCATATTTATTTTATATTTAAATAACATTAGATTTAATTAATAGGCTTGCTGTTACGGTGAAGGGAAAAGTGTTTTTTGATCAAATTTCAACAGTATGGGATAAAATATATTAATTTGTCAAATTTCATTATAACATATCCATAAACAAGTTAAGTACAAAAGTTAAATGTACAGTTTTTTTTTTGTTTTTTTTTTAAATTTTCCCTAGCCTTTAATTGTCAACTATAACCTTTGCCTCCAAAACACCATTTTAGAACAACAAAAAAGGACTATCTTACTTTTAAACTGTAATTTCATTATTTTACAATGGTTACCACATCTTATAAAACCATCTTTAAAATTGAAAATTATTTGTATTCGTCCCAGGACTTTTTAGTGAACACACATTTGTATGTATTTTTGTTTTCAGTTTAAAGAAATGAAAAATTTAAAATTCATGTTAAAAAATGAAAAATTAGCTTTATCACTCAGTTTTCAACAAGAACTAATTAATCATCAATAAAAGTTAAATTTAAGAAAATTCAAAAGGTGGGATATTTCAATGTGAACTTGCGTTGACAAAATTTAAAAATATTTTTACAACCAAATTCAATATCACATAAAAGTAAATGACTATTTAAATTTATTATAAGAACTTATCCTTTAAAAGATGTGAGAGATTACCAAGAATAAATTGCAAAATTGAAATTAATAACAGACAGATGATTCCTGATCCGACAATAATTTTTGGAAATTACATTTAATAAGCGAGTTAAACTCAGAAAACACTCTTAGAAAGTAGGTTTGTATTTTAGCTTACTTCTACAGATTTACAAAATGGTAAAGAGAGTGCAATTACATTTGAGGCGAACTGTCCGCATTACAGCATATTTATAATATAAATTAATATTTTACAAAACTTATTTTACAAGGAATCGTTGGCTGGCCATAGGCAGCGTAAAACAATTATACAAATATACTACAAAATAAACATATGAAACAATTTACAACACAAGAGAAGAGTTGAGCTCGTCTTTACAACACATTTACAGTATAATTATGTACACACTAAGCATGTAAGTAGTATATTTGCTACTCCACTAATCTAGGTTCACACCTTTTGCCCGTCTACCAACAAAAATATCCTCGAGAAGGAGGATTTGATTAATGAATATATTTTAAAACTAATGCATTTCCACCAACAACCAGTGAGAAATAAACTAACCGTAAGTCTGAACTGAAACCAGAACACTCATATCACAATTAACAAACATCAACTTAAGCTTTTGACTTGATCGAATTACTCTAGTTTTAATATTTTATGCCTGAATAATATTCATCGGATGAATAAAAATGTCAAATCCAATAAACTTGAATCAAACAAATGATTAATTACAAAAGTTCTTTGGATAGAAAGATTTTTTATATAAATATAATAATCAATAAATAGTCAACATATAATCAAACAAATCAACAGAGGTAGGATGAAATATTAAATTTACCAACTTTACTAGTTTCATACTCCTAAACTTTAAAAACACATTAACAACAAATTCACTAACTTATGATGGATGAACATTTTTTCCACTTATAAAAAAGTGATTACACAAATTCATAATAACAGTGACATTATCAAGTTACATTATGAAAAACAATCATAATTATAAAATATTACTTACGACTATTGTTTTACTTAAGGCATAGAATGTCTCACGGTTACAAAATGGTAGTCCTAAACTCTAAATGCCCTGCTCTATACATAACATAGATAAATAAACAAATAGAAACAAACAAGTTGACAAAAAACATTATGATGTAGTACGTGAACCAGTATTGACTAGTAAATGGAAAGCACAAGTGATTATCATAAATTAAGAAATGCATAAGGAAAAAACGCTGAATTTCCCTCTAGACACAAAAATAAATGTAAAAATGAATACAATAAATCCTTAACAACTATGAGGTTAGATTGCACTTTGAACAATGACACCAAAACGATCAACGCTTTGACTACATCTGCCTCAAAAGCCTTCAAATTGTGATTTCAAACCACTTTAAGTTCCAAAGTGTACACAGTTTTTATAATTGGACAGTTAAAATGTTTGTTAATAAGCATGTTGTTAAAAATTATACAATTTATTGTTTTTAAAACCTTTTACTATACACATTTTTTATGTTGTACATAATTAGGGTTGATTATTCAGTAATTAAAAAAATAGAAACCGATTGACTACCAAGTAGTTACACAAATAACAAATTATTGCAACTAAATCTATGACTAAATTAAATTAAAATTGGTGATCAATAAATTAAGATTCTAAAACAATGTTTGCCAGATTTTGCAGCCCAAGCAAGAATTTCCACTTCCACTTCTTATGAATCTGAAAAATCAAATACCATTTTAATTGAAAAATTATGAACATACTCCTCTCAACTAAAGATACCTGTAAGTTATTTATACTATAGTTATCTACAATACCTATTACTTCAGGCAACCTTTAATAATTACATTATTTGGCCAACGTTTTATGAGAGTAAGAAGTACCCAAATATTTTATATGTTTTTTTTTTATAAAAAGGACAAACTAAGGAAGTTTTTCATCTATCTAGGGCTGTTATATGCATGCAACTTTAAGTTACATTTTGATACAGCAATTCTATTAGATTTGGTTAGATTTAGAATAGGCAAGCCAACATTTGTTCATTAACTTGAGTACCAAAGTAGTAGGAACTTGAGTATTTTAGTAGGTTATAAGTCTTTCCTGATTGCTTTTTAACAATTAAATTGAATTAAATAAGTAACTTTACCGTCATAAAATTAAATGTTCAACTCTAGAACTCAAAAGAAAATCTTTAACATTAAAATAAGTTAATAACAAACAAAATAAATAATAATACATCAATGCCATTTTTTATTCCGTTGTACATTTGAGTTCAAATTTGTGGCATTGTATTTTACTTATAAAGACCTTTAATTAGATGTGCATATCAACTTATAACTTATGGCATATGCTTAGATTAAAGATTTTCCTTCTGGCTCCTAGAGGGCCGTCCCCCTGAGGAGGTAGCGTATTACTGAATATTGTCTAAAAATTAATGTTATTATGTCCAGTTTTTGAAGGGAAAAAGCAACTTGGCTTTAGAATTTGTTAAGGAGAAAGGAAGGATACACAGCTAACTCACCTGAATTTAGAGTCCCAGGAGGTTAATGGAACACAAAAAAGTTACACAATTTAACTTGCTAATGTTTTTTAAGCTAATAATTTAAACAATTAAATTGTGTTACTTTTTTGTGTTCAATTGTGTTCAACCTCCTGGCACTCTTAATTCAGGTGAGTTAGTTGTGTATCCTTCCTTTCTCCTTAACAAATATTATTATGTCCAGTAACTTTGTTCCAAGTTTTGTAGCTCTAACGTTATTATTATTTTTTTAATATTTATCTATCCAGGTCTTTTTTGCCACCTGTATGCAGTTTCCAACCAAAATGTTGTATCATCAACTGTCCCCAAAGAATTAGCAGGTACTAAATTCATACGCTAATTATTTTATATTTATTTATAGTTTGGAAACAGGTCTTATTCAGTGATTTTACAGTTTTGCCTATATATCATTCACCAATCAAAATGTTTATCAACAATTATCAGCGTAAAATTGACAGAATTGCTAAATCTTACTGTTATTCTGTAGGTGAATTTTCATGGTTTATTTTGTGAGTAAAAATCTTCCTGTTATAAGAAAGTATCTTAAGTAATATGTAACTCAATTTCATTACCTTTAACATTAGTTCCCCAAAACTTGGGCTTGGTCAACTCAAAATCTCCTATTAACTTTAACAAATTTATTGAAGTTACTAATAATTTTTATAGAAAAGTTGTATAGTATATTTTAATAACTTAAGATAATATGCTCACTTTAATACTATTTTTTAAGAAATAATAAAGCTAAGATATATTGTCAGTTACATAGTATGCTTAAAATAAAAGGAAAATGTATAATTATTTAGCTTAAAAACTTGTAAAACAGATGTTAATTAAGAAAATTTTTAAAATTCAATGGTTATAACAAAAATACTGATGGATAAATCCCTTATTAGTGTAGATGAGGACCAGAAAAGAAAAGAAAAGAAAAAATCATTCGAATATTTCAAATCTTACACCCATTTTTCGTACATCTGTTTCGCTAAATATTTTGTTAGCATTGTTCAACTTAGGAGTTTCTCCCAAGCCCAAAGGTTTTGGTTCAGACTCGTGCTTGCCATTGACCACTGCCCGAACGTAAGGTGCTGAAGTCTTGGTGACCGTAGGTTGAAGACCATTCTTGGAATGATTGGACAGCACAGTGCTTACTACTGGAGGTGTCTTCTTTTTTATTTTCTTGTTTTGGATTTTCGATGTTGAAACGTCGGTTGACCGTTTGAGCACATTGCCGAGGATGTTTGGCAAATGAAACGTCGGTTCAGTGGGCGCAATCAATCGATTCTGAGTATTCGGGTACTGTCTCGAGAGTACAGACTTTAAATTGTTTATTTGTAAATTGTTTAAAGTCGACTCTTTTGTCAAACACACTTTCTTGTTGGGTCTGTTGGGCTTATCTGCCTTTGTCCGTTTCTTCTGCAAGGCGGCTCGCGAACTCACGTGGTTCAACATGTTACTGAGGGAGGAGGACTGCGAGTACAGATCTCCTCGATGCGCTGACATGTAGATACCGTTTCCAGCTCGTTGTAAACATGATTCTAAACCTTGTCTAGCTATCTGCATACGCCTGTTCGAGTACACCAGGCCGCCGATCTTATGAGTGGAGAACATTGAGGTAACCTATTGTAAAACAAAAATTAATAAATAATCAGTATTGACTCACTCCTACTTTTTGAATATAATCATTGTATGTAAAAAAGTAACAATGTATTCATATCTATACCTGTATCAGTGCTCAATTTACAGGGGAACGCAGCAGAACGGAGTTCCAGTACCTCTCTTTCAGAAAGATCAAAATATTGGCATAAATAGGTACTAATCACACTAAATAGGTAAATTATAGTTGCGGCCCCTCATTTTTTACAAATCGAGCACTGCCTGTAACGGTTCAACAATGGAAGATTTTGCTTTTTAAACTTTTAGAGTAATCTTCAATTGCCAACTTTTGGCACCACTGAAAATTCTTGATTTGGCTCTTGTCATTCTGTCATTAAAATGTCCAAGTATAGTTATCCTAAGCTATTTTTGTAACTTGTACTGGTTTACATTGCTATAATTTAGAATTGTTAACCAGACACGAACTAACTTTTGCCATTGTAATTCAGTGCTCCTTGGCAGAGCCTTGTACCATGTATAGATAGAAAGAAATAATTTTACCTAGGATATATGAATTGACTTACTCCTAGAGCACGGGGATGGTTGTGTGTGTATGTGATAGTGTCAGTTTGCGCAGCCGAGGTAGGAGGTGCAGTCACAGGGGCTGTTGGCTGTTGGTGAAGAATCCTGGCATGTGAACTCAGCACCAGACTAGAGGGGATGGCTGACAGATAAGTCGGATTAGACGATGTCATGTCGAAAGTCATCTCAGGGAGTCTTTGTACCACTGTTGTTGTTACAGGCTCCACTATACTTATCTTCTCAATCTTGGTAGGTTTCGGCTCCAGCACCGGCAATGCACTTGGCTGTAAATATACGAATAGGCCTATATTATCAAAATTTTGCTTGAATAAAAAGTAAGTATTACTTAAATTTATGCCTTTATCAACCCAATAAAATATACCAATTAAATTGCCTTCATTGATCAAGCGTTTCTTTTCGACAAACCCTTGTTGGCAGTACTGGATTATCGAGTGTTAGATTTATAAGGTTGATGATAGTATAAAAGGATTTGTTCATGCAGACTATCTAAGAAAATGTTTAGCTAAATCAGATAAGATAATAGGCCTACCACTAAATTTCCTAAGGAAAATTTCCTAGCCTAGACAAACATCAACTACAACCCTGAAAACTCCGGAAAAGATAACTTCTCCTGAGGTGATTAACAGAAAACTAAAGACCAGATAAAAACCGAGGTTTTATGACACATGACTCAAGTCATACCAGGTTCCAGTGTTTTTAAAGAGCTCGGAAACCACCAATTAAAGTACACACTGTTAGACAAAGAAGAAATCCTTCCAAATTTATTTTGCTAACGTTTTGTGTTATTATTTGGTAGAGGAGTTGAGTTGTTACAAGGAAGACATTTATTTTGTTATAATATTTTAAACTTATTTTATTTAAGCCAAGAAGTCATAAATTAGTTTTTAATATAAGACAATAAGCCCAGCCATTACATCTGAGGACAAAGACGATATTGGCAGTCTACTAAGTTCCTATCGTGTCCGCTTCATAAATTAAAATTAATGTTGTGTTTTTACGTTTCATATCTAGTCCAGTGTAAATACTCAAATAGACCTATATGTTTAAATTTAAATTTGCTAAATAGTAAATACAGTTTCTTTCGTGTCTTCTTACAGAGACTATCTACATTAAATATAAATTAAATAACTTAATTACTTGAGCAGCTGGAGGTGTTAGAGTTACAGATGCGTTCTGTTGTTCTAAGTTCTTTTTCTTCGCTTGGATGAGCGCTTCTTTGGCCTGGCGATGGTCTGCGAGTAATTGATCGAACGGCTTACTCCGACCCGTGACTGCCCGCCGCAAGCTCATTGGATGAGACTGTAGAACGTAAAGAAATGTCATATTATTTTAAGAACAAACAAAAAATGTAAGGTAAAATATTCTCTAAGAGACTTTAAAAGAATAAGAAAATTTTACAACAACAATTTAAACTCTCGTCAACTAAAAAAGCAAATCGGACAGTTTTATATAATTTGTACTCTTATACACAAAAACATCTGCTGCCTCGAAATCAATATCCGTGTTTTCACCCTAGACGTTTCCATTCTTTGGCCCAAAAAATACATTTTCCAATTAGAAAAAGGAATAGTTATTGATTTTCATATAGTTTAAGATACCTAATTACCTGTTTTATACCTTTTTTAGTAACAGGATTCACAACCCCCTAAAAAAAAACCCTTAGTAAAAAAGGGTTTAGCGATTTGAATTTTAAGACTCAATTTTTTAAGTGTTGGTTTTGGCTTTGGAATTGAAAATCTCTATTTGGACCATTTCTACTAGATACATAATTTTAGTTATTTTAACTTTAAACCTTACAGCTTTTCTAATGTTTTAAATTGTTGAGGATGTAATAAAATTAATCGTTGTAAAACTATTTCAGTTTTAACTCTTGCGAAGATTTGTGACTTTGTCGATTTTGATATATGTGTATTTTGTGAAGACCTAGTAAAATCTGTGAGTTTACAATGACTAACGTTACCTTGCAAGTCAAGGACCAAGTACAAGGTTTCATTGTCTCAGCAGTAACAACCCCACAGTGCTTGTCAGGATCATACTCCCTCTCTTTGATGGGAGCATGTTTGCGGGGGGGACGGCGGGGGGCTTTGGCAACAACGGGGGCCACAGTAGTCACAGCAGGGGCTGCAGCAATAGGAGCTCCAGATAGGGGCGTCAACGCCACAATAGGCTGTAAGCTCTCACCCTGAGGAAAATAAAATCACATGTAAGTAAATTTCAAGAGTTTTTAAGTTTCACGATTCTTCAAATACACACACTAAGATTAGAAGATTGGAAACCTTCTTTATTGTAGAAACATATTTAAGATCAAGGCCCTACATTATTTAGATAGCTGGGCATCCATTAGTTACATTGTAACTTGCTAACAATTTATTGTGGGTACAAGGGAGATAAATAGACTCATGGGTACACGGGTGATCTTCCCATTCTGCTCTCCCAGTAGTGATGTGCAATTGTGAGATATTCCAGTTTTCAATGGTTGTGTTTCAAATCAATTTCATTTTCATTCTAAAATAACACTTTGCCAATCAAATCTGTTTTGATGTTTTTGGGCAGTTAACAAATAATTGTAAATTAAAATAAGGAGAACGAATGATTCAATTCGATATTATTATAATTATTATTATAAAAAAATATGTATATTTATTCTTCCACCGTAATCTCATTTAAATAGAATAATGTTGAACATTGTATTTTAGAATTTTTTCACACAACTTGCAAATCATTAAGTTACATGGTAAACTATTTTGTAAGCAATATTTTCATCATGCTATAGGAGAATAAAGTGTGGTTATTATATTATATAACGACAGGTATATGAATGAGGCAAAAACTTATCAAATTAATGTTTTCAAATACATTTAAAGTGTAATGTTTTGTGCGCTTTTTCTTCAATAAAAAAATGAATGAAAGAATAACAATTTAGATGTTTTTACATGGTGTAGTAGCCTCTGGATCACTAAAGTTAAGCTTAATGGTTTATATAACCTTGCTTCGATGTTTTTGTCACACCTGATGATGGACTCAAGAAGACAGAATCTATAGTAGTGTAATACTCCAAAGGACCACTTGACCAAGCAAGGTAATATAAACCATATAGCTTGGATATTTTTATCTTTACATGGCCTTTAACCCGTGCAATGTGGTTGCCTGATGGCCAGCTGCAGCCAGTGGCGCGAACAGCTAATGTGCTGTGTGGATGAGTGACGTGGAACGTTTAAATTTAGTTTCATCCAAATGAGAGGCATATACTGTGTCCCAGTCGTTGTGGACATAGTTTTACAAGAACCCAACCAGATAGCAGCACTAAACAATACTGCTAGCCGGCCCTCAGTATTGCTAAATGAAGGGAAGGAGCAGGGTTGAAGTACCCGGATACACCATAGAAAAATACTGCAAAAAGTGGTCAAGCACAATTTTAAGGTTAGGTTCCTTCCACAATGCTACAGTACATTCATTATCACTATTCTATTGCATGTCATTAGATCCAAGCCTAAACCACACGCTATAATAAATTTTGTAACAATCCCTACCACCTATAAAATAGTTGGATCTGAAAACGAATTGTACCAGATTGAAGTATAACACTGGCACAATAAGTGGCAAACGAAACAACGTCTCACGGCAGTGGCTAACCACGCATTGAAACAACAGTTTGTACATGACGCTTTGACGAGTATAGGCCTATTCGACGCGCGCCACTGGAAAGCGCTATAAGTGACGAGATTACTTATCATGCGCAGTGAACGTGTTATATTATTATTTTCCTGTGTTATATTAAGCAAAGCCATTTGGTTATTTTATCGTCATGTGATTATAATCTAAGTTGTAAGTTTATTAACAATTACCTTAATTGGTCAACAAAACATCAAATTAAGGTTTTGTGGATGTATTATTTATAGAACTCTAAGGCAGTTTAAAAAAAGGGATAAACAGTGTATAAATAATTTTTTGATAATAGTTAACTTTTACATACACCAACAACTTTTGACTCGATATAATTTTTTTAGGTCAACAGCCAAAGTGATACAGTTTATAATGGGGAGTGCATGAGCAGCGGCGGCTTCTGCCAACGTAGAGTGGACAAGTGCTGGACCGCATGTCCAACAATGAACCAGCAATCCATGAGTTTTATATTGTTGACGTATCCTTAATTATCATCTCGCTTGCCAAAAATAAACTTTAAACAAAGAATGCTTGTAATGTTCTCTGAGAATGAAAATAAAATTGTTTTCTATCGCCATAATAGAAAATAACAAACCTTTGAAGAACCAGCTTCAGCAATGGGTGTCTCGAGTGTAAGAGAGACAGGAAGACTTGGAGGTGGGTTAACCACTCCTTCTCTTCCTTTACTGTCTTTATTCATTGTCTTTTTCGAGCTTGACTTCACTTTTGTTTTGATTTTGACTTTTTCTGTGGCTACTACATCAGTAGGGGGTTGGGCTGGTGGGTTTTCACTCGGTCTATTTGAGTGTCTTGTTTCTGTAAAAAATATTGTTAAAGTAAGATGCCATAATGACAAATGTTTCCATTAACATTGTGGATTGTTGAATTTTAGATCTGAGAGTGTAAGTAAATTACAGGATATGTACAGCATATAAACACTGTCTAGGCTCACTAAAGGAATGATTGCAATTTTTCTACAAGCAAAGTTACGCTTAAGCTATCTTATTTTATTGTTGGATTTCTTGTGTTGGGATGGTTTGAAAAATATTGATATCTAGGCTAATATTATTAAGAAACATTTTTTTTTTTTTTATAGCATAAAGTTTCTACATTAAGAACACTTTTAATTAATTACATATTAAAGTAATGCACTCAATACAATTTCAAAGGTAATCAAATGTTTCAAGGAAGATATTGCTCGACAAAAATTCTTACCATAGTGGGACAGTAGAGCTTGAGGTTTCACCAGAAGATTACAAGAGTCACACATGATTACGGTAAAGGGATCTCTCTCCGGACACAGCCCATACGTCTTCATATCTGAAGAGCAAGAATACAAGTTACAAGGAAAGCCAGCACAGCTGGAGAAATAGGTGACACTAAGAATTTTAACAAGAAATGTATATGGAACTGCAGTCATAGTTCTTTCAAACTAATGCCACTTATCCTAAAAATGTTATTATGTTAAAATGTTAAAAAGGCTATGTTCATGAAGTTTTCAAATTTAATCTTAAACAAGTAAACTTTTTTCTGCACATTTTTGTCGGTGTAATCAGTGATAGGCCTACAACTGTCCTGTCAATATTGTGTTATCAAACGTCCAACTTAGCCTATGAGTAGGTAATTGTAAAATATGTCTCTACTAGCAAACCCTATCAAAGAAAATTTAAATTTAATTTTAATTAAATTAAATTTTGCTCAAGAAAATTTAAATTAAAAAGCTAAATGTTTTATCTGGTAACAATAATTTTTTAATAAGCATTACGAATATGACCTGCAAATTCAATGTATTTTTATTGAATCTATTCATATAAATAAATAAATAATACCTTTACTGAAAGCGATCTTCGGTAAAAACTGGTTTTCAAGACAACTCAAGTCATAAACAATACAATTCCATACAATAATTGAATTACAAACAGTACAAGATTGGTAAGTGGAACTAAACTAGCTTTATTTTGGCCTTAAACAACTTTTTATGTTTCTTAGGAGGGTATTGTATGCCTAGGGTCCAAAGTATGAGAACCCTTTTTTACCTACGTCTCACACCGCACTCTTGGCATTTCAAGCAAGCCATCGTGGCTAGTACAGCGTAACGTGGTATTTGGCTTTTTAACCTACATAGATTTAGTACCTATTTTTAAAAAAATACTTAAAAAAAATGTTTAAAAGTAAACATTTCAGAATATATATTAAAGGCAAGATTATAAGTTTTAATAAAAAACATTTCACTACGATCAGAAGATTTCAGACAAGGCATATATGATATAAAATTATGATGGCCATATTGTAAACAATTTCTATTGGTGTTTACAAAATGAATATGATTTTTTTAAACTTGGTATTTAATGCCAGTGTGTTATTTTCATTAACAATGGTTTTCAAATGCTAAAGATGACAAATGATTATGAAATATTTAATCTTCAATAACATTTAAATCCATGTGTGTAGCCCCTGAGCTGTTGGACATAATATAATAATGTAAGACTATATTACTTACATATGACAATTCAGGACATATTTCAGTGTTAAAACACCATCGTCAGCTCCAGGTACATATGTAGAGTTGATCAGTAGTTAACATCGTCAGAAGATAAACACATTACAAACACGAATACTGTAATTACATTAAACAATTAAAGATTTTAGAAACAGGCCTGTTCTAACAAAGCATAGCCAATAGCTAGTCTGTCCCTTGCTACCTGTGCGGTCGGTCATCTTTTGTTAGAACAGGCCTGTTTCTAAAATGTTTAAACATCGATCAGTTAAACATTTAATTGTTTTATGTATTTATTCGTGCCATTTCGTACTGTGTTTATCTTCTGATGATGTTAACTACTGATCAACTCTACATACCGTACCTACGTACCTGAAGTTGACGATGGTGTTTTAACACCGAAAAATGTCCTGAATTGACATATTTTATTGAGCTGTGACGGGATTAAGTAAGTAATTTAGTCTTAAATTTAATAACATATTCTGTAATAGGCAATTTGAATTCTATATTTAGTTTTGTGTTCATTTAGCACTCTTAGGGATCGCAGCTTTCAATTAATAACCTTACTTACTTCTATAGTAAAAAAAGTGTCCATCACCACTAGTACAGCTCGTGACATCTAAGCTGGCACTTGGCCGATCGCTACTAGTACCTACTTCAAAAACATTATGTTCCGTCATGCGGGTTGCATCAACTGTCCTCGCGACCCATATGAAGGCGCTCAAGTACATAACACAAGGGGAGTCTACCCCGTGAGGCAGCGGAAATGTTTGCAGTCCGGTCTTTTACCTACCTCCACCCTCCTCCCGCCAACACTGCCCGCGCTAGGCCAAGTGCCAGCTTAGGTGTCACGAGCTGTAAATGCTAACACCTTCATTGTACTTTCATATAAATTCTAGGGACTGTTGTATAACTAATTTTATAAAGATAAAAATTATAAAAAAATTTTATTTATAACGCATACCTTCTTTTGGTAATTTCATTACGTAGCCTTTGTTTGTTCCAACAGGCGTCGATTCAGGTGGTTTTTCAGCTGCAAAATTACACTTGTTAGAATAATAGTATTGAGCATGTATCATTCTATGTTTGTCTAATAACAAAACTATATGAAAGTTACAAAACAGTTGGTAGGTTTTTTTTCTTAGTATATGTATTGTTACTTTGAAAGTTAACTACAGTCAAGATGTTGTATTGTAATTGGCCATATATTACTCCTACAATCACGAAAACACTGTGATTGTCTCCCGCGATTACAGCAACATTGTGATTACTTCCCAATCACAGCAACACTGTTCTTGTTTATCTACCATCAATCAATCAATCAATCTTTATTTGCCATAAGGATACATTTACATATCATTGACAAAGTCTATTTGCAGTTTTCAAACCAAGTCTTAACTAAACAACAAAATACTCTAACAGGCCAAATATTACAATTAACATTCAACTCCATTCACATTCTTAACTGAAGTTAAAACCAAACTAAAGGACGATTTCTCCCAGTTTAAAATAATAATATAATAATAAAATATTAAAATATAATAATACCGTGATCTTAACAGCATAAGTGACCTTTTCCCATGATTGTATATATCTATTACATGTACCCATGTTATATGCCAAGATATACTGGAAGCCGACCACGACTTACCAGACAGTATGCCTCTTCACACCATCCATAAAGCCTATAATAGTTTTGCCCACCAACTATTGTCCATTCCCCTCAACACCACTGATATACATTGTTAATACATTGTATAATACATTGTTGTTTCCAACGGTTACAAACCCTCTTTCATTTATAAACTCATCATTAAACATACGAACATAACCGGGCCGATCTTGGATGGAGAGAATAAAAAAAATATATGGCGTTGCTCTTAACAACACCTTAAGAAGCATTCTCCAACCATTTAATTAACTCCAACCACAACTATAATAAATATAAATAATAATCTCAATGTCATCCATTTATGCAACAAAGGAAAATACATGGACACGTTACAAGAATTTGAAATATATCGTGCTTCCAAAAAACAGCCTGAAAATGTCCTAAATAAAAAAATTGTCATTCCAATCAAATATTATTTACAATACGTGTAGGCCTAATTTAAATTTCTGTATAACAAATACTTAATATCTCAATTATTTGTTGTGATATTCAAATTATTTGAGTGGTTTAGTATGTTTTAATAATTTAAATTATTTTAAACAAACCCATACCTTCTTTTGGCAATTTTAGAACACAGCCCTTGTTCTTTTCCGTTGATATCAGTTCGGGCGGTTTGTCGGCTGTAAAATAAAACAAATAAGAAAAATTACAAACATTTCCAGTTTAAGATTTACCATTACCTATCCTTGACTAATAATTATCTTTCAGTTGGATCTTGTCAAATGCTTCACTTAAAACTACTTTCAAAAATACTATTTTATTAGGTTTTTTAATATTAGGTTTTTTTAATGGCATGAGTAGTTGGCCCAGCTTGGTCCGAGTAATTTAAGTGGCAACCACTGTGAAGATAAAGGTCAGAATGCAAACGTCATGTATTTTATGAAAACAGAATCATTTTTTTTCTTTCAAAAATCGTTACTTTTCATGTTTACACAAGTAAATGTTTCCTAGAATTTAGGAATCCCAGTTGTTATGAAATTGTGTTTAAGTACAGAATACTGGACACCAAAAGATATTTGAATACATTTTTTAAATAAACTTGTCTGATGCTATCGCAAGTTTGTTGAGGATTGTTATGGCATCATGTAACAGTAAAACGCTACACTTTTATGTTGTAAGGTTTACTCTAGTTTAATAATTGTGGATGTGTCTATCCAGAAATAATGAGCATTCATCCCAAATTCATAGTACATGGTCACAATTGAAAATGTAGAGGCTGGGTACCATGAGCAATCCCATCTCCCTGAAATCATTTCTACATAATCTCTGGCCCAAAATTTACAAATTATCTTCATTGCCTTTTTCTATGGTTTGAATTTCTCATTTCAACTTGAAGATAGCACCCCACAAGCTACCCCACAAGAAGAGAAGAAATGAGAGAGTAGGTTAGACAAAAATATGCCATAAAAAGACACAATTTGTGCAAAGTTTTGCAAGGTTACGTAAGAAAAAATTCCATTATGTAATCTTGGCACAAATGTAACAACTCGGTTTTGTGGGGGTTTTAAGGGGGAGAAATTGTTTTTTCCCATAAAAAAATTAATTTCTCTCTAACCCACTTTGAGGAGCTTAAAAAATCAAATAACTTGGTATATTGAAGTGTTTTGTATTAGTTAAGCAGGAATATTAATTTTAAAATCCCATATTATTCTTGTGGAGTATAAGTAAACTGTTGTAGTTTGTTTGTTTATGGTATATATTTTTATTAAACTTGGTAAATTTATTTATTTTATACTAAGCATTTAATATTTTATGAAAAACACACTTTATTACCCCCCTTGTAGCAGCAAACCTAGGTACTTGTTAAACCTAATGATATTTAAGTAGATTTAAGTGAAAATCAAATCAGGCATATGGAAATTCGCTTAGTCTGCAGGTTTGCTGCAACAGGTATTTTTGGCCCAGCACTTTTCACAAAGGGTCAAACAGTGCCTAGAAATACGAAAAATGTTTTGTTCCAAGTATTATATCAAGGCTCATGGTATTGGAATGTTTTTTAATATAGGTTGTTTTTAGCAGAATGAATATAATTTAGCTATGCCAAAATGTATAATTGTATTTATGAGAAATTTTCATTTCAAAAAAGGTTATATTTCATGAACTACAAGGTAGTTGGTTGTAATATGGATTATGTGTTTTTGTAACCTGAATATTGACTTTACTCCGGTAGGTTGATCCTATAAGATTATACCTTACCTTTGAAATGATTCTACGTAAGCTTGATAAAACATTTTGAGAGTCTCATTGTAAAAATATTCCCTTAGATGCACAAATGGATTTAAGTTTATTTTATGATTGATTCAGATGCACATCCCAATTTATTGATTCATCTTTGTAAACATCCAGGAATTTATGAGGTTGAGCCAAATTCAGGGAGACAACTTTGTTTCCATTGTTTGTGATTAAAATTGTATTGTTTGCATTTTTTCAGGATTAAGTTTCAATCCTTTACTCAAGAACAACTCCATTGCTTAAGAACCAACTCTCCATATCGTCAACCACATTTTAAAAGAAAAAAAAATACCAAGGTACTATTATTAATTAGACTATCAAAGCAGTACTGCCATTAGCAAAAATAATTACTTCCTGATCAATTGCTTTAGGGAGGTCATTAATGTAAATTAGACAGAATACTGAGCCTAAGATAACCTTGGGGCACACCGATAGGTTTTTCCCACAATGAAAAGTGCTTCATGTTATCCAATGTGATTACAGTTCTTTCTTTCCTATTATAAAGAAAGGTAAGAACACAATAGAGAGAGACAACTTCTACAGATCCCATAATAACTCAGCTTGAGCTGAAGAACTGAGTGAGCCTCAAAGCCTTGGACAGGTCACAGAAAACACCAGCTATAGCCTAAGACCTATTAAAAGCCTGTGTAACTTAATAAGTACAGTAGTACAAATGTGTTAGCATTTATTGTGTTATACAAGTCTTTTAGACCTGTAGGACTTAACAAAGCAGAGTACTTCAAAATTTAAAACCCACAATAGGCATTTTCAATTTCAGGAAAATCGGTTCTATAGGATTCAAGTGCAGGTCTACCAGGATTCGACTAGCTTCTTCTTGTGCTACCAAGGCTTGTATGTTGAAGTGAGAAGAGTTACCCCAAATCACTAAGGTGTGACTCTAAAAGTTGGGTGGAAAATAGTTCTGGCTGTGTCCATATAACTGATGTTCTTCGTTTGTCTAGTAACAGAGGCTGATCTTGTTGACTAGTTGGTATATATAGTTCAGGTCAGTTTACTATCAATTATGAATCCCAAGTAGTTTGCTTGAGTTTATTAGAGTTAGCCTTCAACCATCTAAACCTGCTGTGGATACGCTGAACATTGAAAGTTATTGTCACACACTTAACTGAAGAAATTGACCGCTAGTTAGGCTGCACATATTGTATTACGAACAGACACTAACAAAAAATACTATTAAAGTTACAACAAAGTTATAAAGTTACAGATTAGCTGCCAATTACTGAAAAAAAAACTATTAATATTCCAGATAGTTATTAAGTAGAGAATGCCTCAATATTGAACTTAAATACAATTACAGTATATCCCATGCCTCTGTTACGTTAATAAATCTCGGGTGCTGTGTTTCCAACCAACAAAAGAAAACTTTGTTTAATGGATCGATAAAATCCTATTCTATCCCGCTTTTCAATGCAATGAAAGATCCTGTTTTATCCCACTTAAAATCAATGAAAGATCCTTTTATGTACTGGACACTTTGTAATTAAAAAAAATTCCATCTCGAGTGATCTATAGTAATCTTCTTGTCATCAAAAATGCAACATTGTTTCTCATCCGCAGATTTAAACTAACAATTTAAAAAAATAAAAAACTGGGGTTAAATAATTCTAAAACAATTAAAAGTAGGCCTATTGGTTTTGTTTGATGTAATACAAGCAGGATTTGAATTTACTAAGGTTTAATTTCCCAATGAATGGGTACAAACCAGTACTAAAATGATTACGGCTTAGTCACAATATTAAAAAGAAACAACAAAAAAGACAGTAAAATAAGAATAGCACTAAACTTACAGTAAATGGATATTCAAAAGAAGTTTAGTATAAAGTTAATAACGTTACCCACTTTCAAGAACTTTTTAATTAAGTTACCTTTTGGAGTTTATTCAATAAGTTACTGTGGACTTGAAGAACACGAGGAAACCAACAAAATAAAAGGTAACCTATTTATATAGGCTATAGTAAAGAGTGAAACTGACAGACAAGTGACAGCAGGCTGATTCCTGTTTATCATGAGTGGGTTTCTTGCTTGTAGGCAGGGTCACATGTCCTACCCACTTTAGTGTGATAGTATAAGTCACATTAGTATTTATGAACTTAAGCTACAGTAAATGCAATTAAAAAAAAACTTTATATTTATTCGGCTAAATTTGGCAATTATAAGCCCAAAATTCACATTTTTAGGTTGCCTTAATTAAGCATGTGAGGATGGTAGGTCAGCCTTTTTGCGAATTTGGCGCTGTATTACGTGTTTTGAAGTAAGAGTAGATTAGGAAGGTAGAGTTTAGGTTATATGAGGAACAGAATTGTTAGTTTATGTTACCTCCACTTTGTTTGTACAATTAAAACACTAGGTAAGACACTGCAAAATACTATGCAGTGTTTTTTGGGGTGAAAACAAGCCCCAAAAGTGCCTAGGGAAAAAAGTGATTTAGCCTGATTCAACCAAATAAGAACAAAATATTTTTTTAAATCTCATGAGTAGTTTGAGTTTATAACCGTTGCAATTAGTTCATAGTATATAACCAATAAAAATAAGGGTAGTTTTACCCAAACTACAAGTTTAGCTGATGTATTTTACATTGTGTGATTGTATTTTGATATGTAGCCTAACGGAATTGGGGCCACAATATTATAGCATTATATTAAAAAAGTATTGTTTGTATTAAAGCCTGTTTCATTTAGTCAATCAAAACTGTAAAACTAAAATTTAATAGGGCCCAAGTCAACTGTGAACAAAACTATTATCTCAGAACAATAGGCTACTACAGTTGACCATACTTAATAATTATTAGGGTCTAGTTATAATTTGTTATAAGATGGTAATTATAGCCCTAAAATCATAGTATGAATTTAGTAATAAGTTACCACAATAAAACCCCTTATAACTGAACCCAGTTCAATCAAAAATTGGACTTAAAAAAACCGTAGTAAAAATTCATCAATCGGAAAAGTACAGGCAACGACAGCACTAACTTAAGGCGTAGGTAGGGTAATTGGCCAAGCTTAGCCAATGACATTTAATGGGGCAGGCGAGAACATGGATCTCTTACCGTTCGACAAAATTCAGAAAACTGTCGCTTATTGGAAGATACAGTTTAAGTTATACAGTTGTTGAATTTAAGATTATTGTAACTTACTAATTAAAATACGATAGGTAACTTAAACAAACTACACTGTTAAAAAACGTCTTTGAACTGAAATAGCGTTTGAATTTCAACCATTTACCAGCTCTAAAAATAGGCTATCCGAAATGGCTTTTTACAATTTATTTCAGTTAACCCTAGAAAGTTATCGTCATACAGCATGATGCTAAGGGTATCAATATGTAAATTTGACATACATAGGAATTGCTTAGGGGCCTAGTAAGGTATTGTCATGTTACAGTGTGACGCTAAGGGTATCACTTTGTAAACTTGACGTACTGCCAGCCATTTTACTTTACACAAGCCGACCATTATACTATACACAAAGGGTATTGGCACGTAAGTTTGACGTATACGTCCCAAGAAACTGACTAGCAAGGGCATAAAAGAAACACACTACGCCCCAACCAAAGCAACCATCACAAGGCAAATGACTGCTGGAAGAAGGTTAGCGTCAGATGAGAGGGTGGGGGGTGAGACGCTAAAATTAAATTCGCCCTACGTCAAATTTACCTGCAATACCAATCTAGGGTAAAATGGGGGGTTTATTAACTTATATAGCATAATAGGAATATGGCCAGAACTGGCATAACCTTTTTACCAAATTTGACATCAAATTTAGCTTATTTATTACTGACTAAAATGAGCCTAAAATTATAACAACCTTAAAGAGAATGTTGAAATTGCTAAAAGTTAATTTTGGTTTTTATTAGTATAACTAAAAAATTATACTAAAATAAATCTTACCAATAGGGGACGTTCGCCCAAGAGCATTTGTCCACGACTCCCATGGTAATCCTTGAAATTTACTAGGACTTAAAAGACTTGACATGTTGAAATTATAAAGTTTACAGATTATATTTACACTGGAAAATAGTTAAACACTCGGTTATATGCTGTAAATAATTATGAAAATTCATTTTCATAAAAGAAAGGTTGTATTCTGACTGACATAGGCTAAGTACAATTTAATTTCTTCGGGTGTCGTCTGGAGAATTAACTTAATCTTCAAAACAAATTTATTTCACAGGGACAGATTTATGGTGACATAAAATTGATTTAATCCTCAAATATTACTTTAACTGACTATTACCACTATAGACAGTTAAGTAGAAACACACTGTAACATCAAAATACAACTTTTTGTTGTCCAACCCTCTGAACAGCCACTACTGCAGCCCCATTTTGACATTGTCGATAAGATCGCATCCATTTTCCATTTTCTGCAACATATATGCCACAGCCACCGATGAACAAATCTTCTCGTCTTTAGAAATTAGTAGTAGCCACTGAAGAATACTATATCTTATGTTAAAATATGCCACATTTCCATGTCAAAAGTCTAAAATACGGAATAAAAATACTAAAACTTGCGTCCAATAAAAATTCATTAAAACGACCAAGATTACTAAGCTTAGTAGTCACTTGGATGCGTATAATTTACGTGACTATTCTATTTTTAATACTGTACATATATTAATACTATGGATATATTGGCATATAATTGCAACATTGGCGAATATAGCAGTGTTATTCACAAGGCTAAGAGGCTCGTCAAATAGTTCTATCAGTGAGTACAACCACGGCCACCTTTAACTCAAGGCCGCGGCCTGGTAGAATTGGCAACGCCGCAAGTAGAGTTGTTTAGTGTCAGACGTCCCATTAAATAACATATAGCAAATAGGTGACATCGGCTCATTAATTCTCACTTTATCGATTTAAATTTAAACTTATGAACATAAATTTAATAAAATATTGAAAATAAAACTTACAGAATTGAAAACCAAAACAATATGATTTGAAAATCTATATCTGTACATTTAAAGCGGAGTCAATATTTTCACAGTCCAGTAACCAAGCTTTCGTAAATACACAAATACCATTTATTAGCTGCTTCCAAACAAAACAACCCTACTTACGACGTTGCCACTTCGAAGGCCGCAGCCTGGAGTTAAAGCCGGCCATGGTACAATGGCCTACTAAATAGATACTGGCGAAGCGTTTTAAGCGAATTTAGCTATTACCGTAGGTGGCATGGTAAGACTTGGACATGGGACCAATATCCTTTTCAATATACCTATTTCGTACTATTTAGATCCTAAAGCAACGAAATAGTACCCCTCCCGTAACAGAGTTATTAATTAATCAAAGATTCCGGACCGGTGACATGATAAACCGGCCATGCTTGAATTTGACCCTCATCATATATATACCATAATTTAGTACCTAACTTATATATTTATTACTATTTTGTACTCCATAAAAAATGTACTTTAAGGTAAGCTGTGAAATTTATTAAAATATTAAAAATAATACATGGAATTGAAAACCAAAACAATATTTAAACTATAAATCCATTTTTGTACATTTAAAGTTAAGTCAATATTTTCATAGCCCAGTAACCAAGCTTTCGTAACCTTAAAAAAATACACAAATACCATTAGCTGCCTCCAAACAAAAAACTGTTACAACACTTCTTGCGATGTTGTCACTTCGATTCGAAATCCGCGGTCTGGAGTTAAAGGTGGCCGTGACTTACTTAGCCCAGGCATGTCGTAATCTGTAGTTATGAGCTATGTTACTATTTAGTATTTAGTAGCTATTTTGTTTTAACTACACTATCAAGGAGGTAGTTGAGATAGTGCGGAGTGGGAGGACCACAAATACTGGTCGCACCACGTGGTTCTCCTCGTTACTCTTGACATTAAGAAAGCGTTCAACTAAGCCAGGAGCTATATCTGCGGGCGTTTGAGCATGCATACGTTTCACGTACTGAGAATGATCAAGCCCTAAGGTTTCGGACCGTGTCTTGCTTTTTGACACCACTGAAAGTCAGCATCGGTCTCCATCACTTCTGGAGCTGTACAGTAATCGAGCCTAGGATCCGATCTATGGAAAAATGTCTTACGACAGTCTGCTAAGACTTGAAATGCCCGATGAGACCCGCCTTGTAGGTTACGCTGACGACGTCGCTAGTCTATTTGCAGGCAGACACGTTAAAGAGACAGAGCTAAAACTCGGTTAAGTGATGTTTAGTGTCAACGAATGAATGTAGGACCACGGCTTGTCGCTGGTGGTCAGAAATACCGATATGTCTTTCAATACTTTAATACTTTTTCAATACTTTTCAATGAAATGGCGACCATACAAAGTAGGTATTTTAAGCCAAGTATGAATGGATATGAATGTAGGATGAGTGGCGCGATCTTGTAGTCTTGTTAGTGACTAAGGCCGACATATTCCTTAGACACAGCTGTTAATTAATAGCCTACACAGCTAATGGCAACTAAGGGACCTACAGTTTATAGTGGAATCCGAACCACATTTTTGCCTTTGGTTTATACGAATTGGTCTAATTATCAGGATAGTACTGCGGATAGTAGTACTCACCCGTGCGGACGTTAATCCACACCAGGGAGTATCGCATCCACAGTGCATGCCTATAAATATCCACAATTCGTGACCTCCTAGTAGCTGGATTACAGGACGACGCCACCCGTCCCAGTCAAGCAGATAAAGCGAATCGTTGACAAAGCCGCTACGGGAGTAGTAGCTGATGGCCCTTAATACGCTAATGCCAAAGGTTGGTGGTCCCCACTCCTGCAAACACAGCCTACTGATGTCATCTGTCCAATCAGTGCTCTTGTATGGTGCTGAGGTTTGAGCCGATGTGTTGAAGAGGCTTGTTTTCTGTGGCCGGCTTTCCCACGTTCCGCGTTGAGGTGACTTGTGATTTGAGACCTGAAGTTGGCAAAGAGACGGTTGCCACAGGAGAACGCAATCGCAGTTTCAATAGCTGGTAGAGCGAATGGGACGCCAACGCTAGATGACTTGGATATCCAGGCTCATTCTCAGCATCCGATCACGGGTGGAATGGGATCATAGTGAGATCAGGTAATCGTGGCCCAGTATTTGTTGGGCCATGGGTACTTCCGTGCCTTTTTGAATGGAGAAGGCCACCAGCTCCGACTGTCTGTACTGTCCCGGCATAGCAGAAATGGCCGAGCATACCTTCTTCTTTTGCGATAGGTGCCAAGGTGCCATATCCACCATAGGCCTCTTTGATCTCTGAAATTTGTGTCGACATCACTCCCAATAACATCATTGGAGCTATTCTCCAGACTCCCAGAGAGATGGCGCCTTAAACGGTGTCAAGCAGTTCACCAAGGCCATACTTTGAGCTAAGAAAGTAGATCTCCTTCGGCATTAGCCTTCGGAAGAAAATAAGAAGGAAAGTCCCAATGGAATAGTTAAAAATGCTGAGCCCAAAGTAATGTGCTGAACTGTTCCAGGTTAGTGTCCTTAGAGATGAGGTTTTTTTAGCCGGCAGTCCGGGGACTTTTAGCCCAGCACTGCTGAGAGGACATTGAATCTCTCAGTGTGCGAAAACGCATTTTAACCTCATCCCCCCAGAAAAAAAAACAAAAACACATTACAACGCGATCATTGTATCCATCCATAAACATGTTACCGAATCTGGACCCGATAGCCTACTTAACATAAAAGACTTCAATAACTCCATAATTTTTAAGACCATGTACGAAATAGAAACTATCCGATTTAGCAACCCCACAGAAATTAGACAACGTCGCAGATACAACATTCTGGGAAATCCACACCTCTGTCAGTCTAACAACGTTCCCGGCACAAGCAAACTCCTCGCGCTCGCAACACACGCCCGCCGCGCCGCGAGTGCAAACGCTACGATGTGTTTCTCAACCAGAAACATGCAGCACAACTATGGGACCCGCAGAGCTTATGAACCGGTACAGTGACTATCGTGTATATAAACTGTATATATATTAGAATGTAAGTGTAGGATAATGAACTCTGAAGATGCCACAACCTGTGGCGAAATGCGCATCAGACATCAAAAAACTACAAGAACTTCAAGGCAACAAGTCCATCATCACCCGACGACTTGAATGACTACTTTTCTGGTATAGCTGATAATATAATCTCTGACCTACCTCTGTTACAGCCTAACTCAGTTGACTACCTCTCAGACCTAACCCCAACTGTCACCCTTAGAAACTGAAAAAAGGTGAGTGAGAATGATCTGACTAAAATAGTACACAAACTTTAAAGATTCTTTTAGTCAGTATATAGATAGAGTTTCTAGTCATATTCTTAAATCCGTATTTAAATCGATTGCTGCCCCTCTTGCTTATTTAGTCAACAGTTTGGCTAAAGGTGTTTTTCCCGAAAACTTGAAGTTAGCTAAAACCATTCCCATTTACAAGAAGGGTGACCCGGCACAGCCCGCTATTTTTCGGCCGATATCAATTCTTCCTGTTTTCTCTAAGGTTCTGGAGTCAGTAATGAAACAGCAACTGGTGGCCTATTTCGAGAACAACAACCTGTTCAACAATTCCCAACATGGGTTAAGGGCTGGAAGATCCACAACCTCTGCACTCCTTAGCCTAGTCAAGAACATCTCTGATGCCTTTGAATCTAATGACTCCGTCCATCTCAGTCTTTGTGATCTTAGCAAGGCATTCGACGTGGTCTCTTATGATATCCTTCTTGCCAAGCTTGGCAAATATGGTGTCACTGGAGTAGTCCACAAATCATTAGTCAGCTACTTAGGAAACAGGAAACAAATTGTTTCGCTGCAGGGAGCCTCCTCTAGTATCAGGCAAATACACCACGGCGTGCCCCAAGGATCGATTCTGGGCCCTGTCCTGTTGGTCATAATGATAAATGATCTGTCCCTTAACAGGCGAACGCTGCTCTTTGCAGACGACACAACACTACTGACCAGGCACGGCAACCTGAACAACCTGAGAACCGAGGCAGCATTTCTGCTGGATGAAGCCAAAGAATGGTTCGTTTTGAATCGCCTTAAAATCAATGACGATAAAACACAATCCATCACGTGTACCCTCAAACAGGGCATCGAAGACTAGGCGTTCAAACTGCTAGGATTCTGGATCGATTCCAAACTCAACTGGAACCTCCATGTGGAGAAAGTATGCGTCAGGCTAAGCAGAATATTATATCTGATCAGGAAACTTAAGCATGAGATCACACGTCCCTACCTAGTCATAAAGTATCATGCGTTATTCCATAACCACATAAATTATGGACTGGTGGTATGGGGCCATAGCCACGCGACCCAGAGTGTGCTGTTGCTGCAGAAGAAGGCGCTAAGACTAATAACATCCTCTGGCCCTACGGACCACTGTTAGTAGGCCTCTTTTTAAAGAACTTGGCATTCTATCAGTTTTCAGCCAGTATGTGCTAAACACCCTAGACCTTTTGAGAGAAAATATAAACAACTTCTCAACCAGAAACATGCAGCACAACTATGGGACCCGCAGAGCTTATTACCTGGATGCACCCCGTTGTCGACTTAGCCACACGCTTAATTTATACCCATCTCTAGCGATAAAATTATTCAATACGCTACCGACAACCATCCGGACCCTAGAACCAAAACAGTTTAAGTCTGCACTTCGCCAGAGCCTAGTCAGTAGGCCCCTGTACTCGATCAAGGAAATGATTGACGATAACAACTTGAATTTCCAAAAGTCCGAGTCACATCCGTCAGTCCAGTTTAAATTGTATATATATATGTTTATAGTGTTTTATAAGTTTACTCTTTTTTTACGCAATCTATCCAACTTTGGTCAAGGATGAAGGAATCAAGTATTCAAGTAAGTAAGTATTCAAGTAACAAAAACCAAAAAGGTAATTCCATAAATATCGTTCAACTGGTAATAGCTATGGACATCTTAGAATACCTCAACCAACAAAACCCCCCGATATTAAAAATATTGTTGTCCCAGCTATCTAAACTAACCAACCTTCTAAAACCAAGCATGAAAGTATGAGTGGCCACAGCAATAATAGCTTGTATTTAATTTCTACTGTTTAATTTTGAGTATTGCTCAGCTCTCTTCTTGATTATTTATATTACCATTGTTTGCTTTATATAAGTTACTCTGATTACCTTTGCTACTGTCTGCTTGCTAATTCACTTCCATGTCTGCACTTTATAAATTAATGTATTGTTTGTAAAATGGTGTTTACTGTTGAAAATAAATAAATAAACAAATAAATAAATAAATGAATGAATAAATAAATAAATAAATAAATAAATAGATAAATAAATAATTAAATAAATAACATTTTGTTTGAGTTAAGCCTCCTAATCACTGATCAATACGTGTATTGGTTAAATCACCTGCGGTCAAGTGATTCTTTTGACCAATAACTAATTATGGTACCGATCGCCCGCCAGACTCAACGTCCATGTCACCCACCGCTCGACCGATCGGTACCGTAATAGTTATTGGCCATTTTTCGTGTTATGTGTTAAGTGTTTTAAGTGTTGTAAAACTGTTATTCTCATAAAAAAACGACGTGTTTACAAGAACGAAATGACAATGACGACGTCCGCCTGAAGATGATCCCGTGAGGATCGAAACCGGTCGCCTTTCAAGGTCAAAAGGATCACTTGACTGCAGGTAATTTCACCAGTACACGTAAATAAATAAATAAATAAATATTAAAAGAATATGGATGAGAACTATTGTTTTATTCGAACAGGTTACAGCGAAACCTCTTGGAAAGTTATCCACGCCACTAATAAGTTGGAAAATGAAAAATTGAAAAACCTTTTTTAACACATTGACAGATAAATTATCATTATACATATATATATATATATATATAAGTTGTAAATAACAAAAACAATAACCAGAGATAATCAGTAAAACTCAAAAAAGACACATGACAATTTGAAAAATTAATCAAAGGTTCTTATTTACTTCATGGTCGTAAATCAAAGTCAGCTTTACATCAACCAAAAAAAAACAAAAAAAAACACATCGGTCCAGCTGTACTAGTACTGCTGACTGCAGACTGCACAACGTCAACTTTTGTTTTGAATATTGATGTTTGTGTTGATGGTTTGTGGTTTGTTCGTTTGTTATTGTTGTTATGTTTAGGTTAGTTTAGTTCTAGTTGGTTAGGTTGGTTTATTTGAATTTGTTTGGACTCTTGGAGCTTTATCATCGTGCCATGCCTGGCTAAACTTACATCAATATTATGTAATTGACCTACTGTCACTGTTTGTTTTCTTTAGACCTGTGTGCTTGAATTTTAATGAGTTAAGATTAATTATATTATATTATTCTCAAATGAACACTTGATGAATGTACAAAAAAGTGACGAGTGCGACTGAGATGACCTGTGTAGCATTGTTACTGACTAAGGAAAGTTGTTTCTTTGCCAGGACCATTTATGAAGAGCATAGGACTTCTGAATTAAATTTTGAACCATCAAAAGGCAACTGACTTTTCTCAGGGGCGAATCGAACAGCCCTATTAAATGTTATTAATTGGCTACTGTCACTATGATGATAAGGCCTAATTTGATTTATATGAGTATTTTCTTTCAAACTTTTCTTCATCAGCTATCTTTTTTCAACAGTAGAGAATGTGATGGATCCTGTGAAAATTCCTCAATCCAAAGATCCATGTACAGTAAAGGCAAGTATCTTATGCTCTTAAATTTGAAACCTTCAAAACACTTTCTAATAAAATGCGATAGTATATTATGTTACTAGTCTGGAAAATAGGTGTTTACCGGGCGAGTATGGTTCCTCGAGTGCGGGATTACCAGAGTATCAGAGTATGGTTTTCAAATTTTGGACGAGTGACAAACAATATTTGTTGCCATACTAACTTACTCCAAACTAACCGAACAACATAAAAACTGTAAGGATAAAAATTGTTATATTCCCACTGACTGAAGGAAATGACAATCACTAAACTCATAACTTCTAAGAGAGGTTATGTTTTAGTTGATAACCGCTCATTGTTAATTATAACCAGCTGGTGTCCGGTATAAATTCATTAAAGTCCAGTATGGAATCCCATTTTATTAAGCAGTTGGCAAACAGCTGTTTTCCAGATTAAATCCTTGCGTAGAAAGTCAGTGTAGGCCTAGTGTGTCAAAATACCTATTTGTTACTGTATAAACTTACTGCAGCAAAATAAGCTGTCTTGAATAGAGTTGTAATCAGATATTTACGTTGTTATTGTTTTATTTGTTGCATTGTTTTTCTAGTTGTTTTTGGATTTATATTTCCTGTTACTTATGTTGCTTTTGAAATGTTAGATTCGGATTTAAGTTTGTTGCATGCATACCAACTACCAACATGAAGCGAAAAATGACAGTTGTGGGTCATTACCAGTATGTATCCATATTATAAATTGGTATAAATTAAAAAATACATGGGATGCAAGGCTAAATAAGTTCTTGTACTCCTTAGGGTGAAAAAGAATCAGCTTCTGTCTAGGAAATAACCTGTAGACCTACATATTTACAACACCAACATTAACCCTTTTTTGACATTTAGACAAATTTTTTGAGGTTAAATTTATTGCTGTCTTGAGCCTAGTCCTAACATGGAGACTGAGTCGGCCGACTGTCTGCCGACTGTGCGCGGACAGTCGGCACACAGTTTCAGATAGGTACAAGTTTCCGATGTGTTTTTCGTCCACACTAGCCAGTCAGTGTTTCCATGTTTGTTGGTATGGTGACCGAGGAGGACGTAATTATATCCTTTGCGGGCTTCATTTTTCTGAGCCATGGGCCTAATGAATCTAGGAAGAGACTATGATGGACTCAACATTTTCTTAAACGAGGTTCGTACGATGGTCGCAATCTTCTATCAGACCTTCATATTAGGTGGAGGATTTAGGAACTTCACGAGGTTGACTTCTAAAGATTTTGAAATTTTGCTGTGCTTTGTTGGTCTTAAGATTTTAAACTTGAAGAGATAAACAATTCAATAAAATGTCATATAATGATATAAATCATTGAAAACTAATTCCAAAACTTTCAAGAAACTCAATCCAGCTCTTTTATTACCCCCCAAAAATCGTAATATTACCGCTTTGCAGTCTACTAAATGGGCTGAATGTTGAACACCTTCGGCTTGTATCCAGTCTCCTTTCTTTGTGACAAAAGTTTTGTCTCTTGTCTCCGTGTTTCCCATTCGAACGGGAAACAGAAAACACTGCATTTTGTCTCCAGAAACACCGAAATTTGTCTGCCGACAGTCGGCCGACATACTGGAGACAAAATAGCAACATTCTAGAGACAGTCGGCAGACAATGTTTCCGCAGACAAATCACCATGTGTGGACAGGGGAATTGGAAGAGTAATAGAAACTAGTCTACTTTTAACTAACAATAACAGCAGCTGTAGTTATGCAGTAGCAAAACAAGACAGAAATAATATTTGAGGACTAATAACTTATGAAAGTACCGGTAGCCTAAACTTTAAAAAAATGTACAAAATAATTTTCTTACAGCTGATGTTCTTGACTCTAGCCGATTCTTTACTACCCTAGAAGTAAGAGCTTGTGTGTACGCCGAAAAGAGGTGCTGCTTTAACACACTCACTCCCGTGTGGGGAGAAGACTTACATACAGGGGAGTGTGACGGCTGGGACTGAACCTGTTAACACACTCACTCCCGTGTATAGAGAAGCCGTACATACAGAGGAGTGTGACGGCCGTGACTGAACCTGTTAACACACTCACTCCCGTGTAGAGAGAAGCCGTACATACAGAGGAGTGTGACGGCTGTGACTGAACCTGTTAACACACTCACTCCCGTGTGGTGAGAAGCCTTACATACAGGGGAATGTGACGGCTGGGACTGAACCTGTTAACACACTCACTCCCGTGTGGTGAGAAGCCTTACATACAGAGGAGTGTGACGGCTGGGACTGAACCTGTTAACACACTTACTCCCGTGTGGTGAGAAGCCTTACAGACAGGGGAGTGTGACGGCTGGGACTGAACCTGTTAACACACTCACTCCCGTGTGGTGAGAAGCCTTACATACAGGGGAGTGTGACGGCTGGGACTGAACCTGTTAACACACTCACTCCCGTGTGGTGAGAAGCCTTACATACAGGGGAGTGTGACGGCTGGGACTGAACCTGTTAACACACTCACTCCCGTGTGGTGAGAAGCCTTACATACAGGGGAGTGTGACGGCTGGGACTGAAGCTGTTAAGGCATAATTTAATTTGTGAACAGAATGACACCATTTGCAGCTATTTAGCTGACATTTAGGCTACTCTTCGTTGTGTGTTCTAATTTAATTTAATTTGTGTGTTCTAATTCCCGCAGGGGGCTCACGCTTGCGTGGGTATGTGGCCTAGCGACCACGCGGACCCTAGCTCTTGCCACCCCAGAGGGGAGGTAATTACCCGGTGTTTGAACCGGCACTTCAGGTAGGCCACAGTTATGGACGACTGGGCAAGCCAGCCTCTTTGGGTTGTACCCAAAGTGAGAGTCCCCAGTGACATTTCCTCCATTCAGGGTGGTGGGGTGTTCAGCTCTGCGAGACTTCGGTCTCCCACCTGCCTGTGGCTGTGGTTGTGACTTGAGCTCTTTGGGCTTGTCCTGCCTGTTGTGTACGACTGAACTTTTGTGAGGCATATCCTCGGCTCTGGAAGTAGCCTCGTCCTGGGAGGTGAAAAACAGGGCAAGTTTAGCCCCCAAAGGGGAGGTAACTGCTCGGTGTCGGAATCGGCATTTCAAGTAGGTCATAGTTATGGACGACTGGGCAAGCCAGCCTCTTTGGGTTTACCCAAAGTGAGAGTCCCCAGTGACATTCCCCCATCCAGGTTGTGGGGGGTGTTCAGCTCTGCAAGAGGTGGAAGTGTGCCACCAATCTATCACCTGCCTGTAGCTATGATCTTTTGGGCTTCGGCCCGCTTGTTGATGTGCGACTGGCATTCAGTGTGGCAAATCCTCGACTTTGGAAGTAGCCTTCCTGGAGGTGAAAAAGGACGGACGAGTACCCGTCAGCTCTCGGGGACACTCTAGGGGAACGTAACTTTCCGCAGTGTGAGGGCAACGGCTGGGCGCACTCCATCAGCCAATCCCTGTCTCTGAGACCGGAAGGTATGGTTATCTAGAGTGTGGGGGGTTCTCCCTGGAACCTCAATTGAGCAAAGGGTGTCGCCACCTTTGGTGGATAGGTTCATCCGGGTGGGACCCACTTCTATTCCTGCCTCCTTTTGGGAAACCCTGATGGCCTGGCAGTGATGTTGGGCTTGATGGGCAAACGAAGTAGATCGGGTGCTGGGTTCTAGCCCGCTGGGGGTGTTCAGGGATCTATCGTCTTGGTCGCCTCTGGTTTCCCAGCAACTGGGTAAGGCCTCGATCGGGTAGTGGTGTAAATAGGTGGTTGGGGTTCCCCCAATCAGCTTGCTGGTGGTCCCCTTCTTCCTGGCTTTGATGGCGGGTTCTGCCTGTCAGGGATTGGATAGGTCCCGAGTGTTGCTTGCACTAAATGTGTCAGGGCATTCCACTATGGTCCTTCTGGGTTTCGTACCTGGGGGAACCCAGGTGGAGTGACGCTTAAACAAGTAGCCGGTATCCCTGGTTAGGATTGAGGGGCAACCCTCTCTCCGAAGGGTTGCTTCGGCAGCCGGTAAGCCTGATGACCTTAAGTCATCCTCCCATGGTGTGCCAAAGGTCGGTGCGTATGCTTCGGCCTACATCATGGGGCTCGGGTATGTTTAATTATAGGTACCGGGTTTGCAGTCAGGGAGCTTCTGGCTCTTATGACAAAACGAAATGGAATGGAAATGGAATGTGTGTTCTAATATTTGTTTTAATTATTGACTCCCCCACCGCTTCCCAGATAAGGTCAGTGATAGGTTTTTTATAAAAGAAAATATACTTACCCGATGCCGGTATTCATTACCAGATAACTGAATGTGACTTTAATGTAATTAGTGAGGCTAAAGTGCTGAAATGGGTAATGGAGTTTAAAAATGGCCATGAAACCCATTTTCGTTATTGTTCCTTTGTGAGAAGTCTGGGTACCCACCAAAAACACAATTTCTTCTGAAATGAACATTTTCACAACCATTTTTAAACTCCCTATCTCATTTCTGCACTTTCCCTCTATCATTGCATTAGGGTCATTCACTCTTCCATCATCTGGCGATAAATATCAAATCAAGATATCGGATATTGGTCAGCAAGAGATGTGTTTCTTGTGGTCATAAACGTATCACTGACCTTATCTCACAGGTGATGGGAGATTCAATCATTTTTTAGAAAATCCTAAAAACACACAGCGGAGTGTACATTGTACAAGTCAGCTACAGAGTTGCAAATTGTGTCATTCTGTTCACAAATGATGCAAATAAGCGGCGTGGAGCCTCTTTGCAGTGTGCACACGAACGACAAGTTTGGCCATATACAAAAATGGCCCTTGGATAAAAAACAACCCTCGTAATTTGATATTGTTCTCAAACCAAACTATTGGTCTTTTAACAAAATGTGCAATCATTTTCCAGAAAACAATGAAATTCTGAGCTCAATACAGAAATCATTAAAGGAATACATTCCATGTATACACACCAATTGTACCTGCTACATAGACACAATAATTAAAGATTTATCAACATTCAAGAAAGGTATAACTGAAGCAATGTTAAAAAATGCCAGAAACAAGTAAGTATTTCTAGATCATCCGAGCAGTTTAGAAATAAACCAGGAAATTGTCATCATCGATTTATGCTAGCTTTCTCGAATTGACAATGAAATTAAAGGTCCTTTATTTCGGCCACCCTAACCTTTCTTAGACTTAACATGTAGTACATATGTCATAGAAATAGTATTCGCACTAGATCAAAATTAAAATAACAAACTTACACGGGTAGTCAGCGATTTTCAAGCGCAATAAACAATTCTAGGTCAAACCACTTGTGGCCATAAGCTTAAATTAAATATTTTTAGTGCCTTTATCGAATTTGGGTTGACTTTTTAAAATTTTTTATGGAAAAAAGGGAGATTGGTTCAAAGGTAGTTAATAAGCCTATGCAATGTTTTTTGTGTATTTGGTTAGTTTGAATCCAGTTTTTGTTACTAAAAAATTTTAACCCTTTGTTTGTAGCACCAGTTACATTCATTTATACACTTGAACACAGATTCTAGTTTATCCTACACACAGATCTGCAAATCAGTTGGCACTCTAGACAGAGACCTTAAAGTCACTTTGTCTAGGTCATTTATTAAAAAAGATGGCTATCATACCAATTACAGGCATGCTTTTTAAGTAAGTACTGTTTTGCCACACCGTGGATCCCTATCCTACATCAGTTGCCTACGCACTGACACCATTACAGCCTGATTCTTCCTTGTTTACGTTTTGTACTGAGTGTTTAAGATGCCTCCGATAATCGTGAGTCTCGCCGACTGTGAAGTATGGGATGTTCAATTTCTTAGTGGTAAAGGCCTAAAAGCAATCATTATTCATATTGAGATCTGTGCAGTTTACAGAAAAAACATTACAAGTGATGTATAGGTAAGAAATTGGGTAAATGGGTGCACAAAATGTTCATTATGAACAACAAAGTGGGCGTCCTCCGTTGTTAATGAATTTTTGGTGCAGTAAACAGACAATTAGGTGAGTGCAAACATACTCTTTACAATTTCCTCCTTGCTGAATGACTTTCCTAATGTTTCTTGTAGTGTTATGTCATTTTGACCGAGCACTTAAATGACTGAAAATTGTGTTCATGTTGGGTACCGAAAATGTTGACGGATGTGCACAAAACCAAAATGTTTAGGCAGTGCATTGACTTTCCTTGAGCGGTACCACAACGACGGTGATGATTACTTTAGGCAAATTGTTACGGGCGATAAAACATGGTTGGCCTACATCACACCAGAATCAAAGCAACAGTCCATGGAATGGTGGCATTCAGATTCACCCAGAAACGTGAAGTTTAACCAAATGATTTCTGCCAGGAAAATCTTGTGCTTAGTTTTTTGGGACAGAAAAGGAGTACCGTAGGCCATTGCTTGTGGAATCTTTGCCTCCTAATGAAACAATCAATGACGCAGCCTACTATGAGACAATTTAGAACAAGATACGTGGCAAGTTGAGCAATGGCATAGTTTTACTGACAATGCCCAGCCTCATGTGGCTAATCAGACCAAAGATCTCATCACATTTTTTCGATGGTAAACTCTTAATCAACCTTCAAACAGCCCAGATTTGGCTCCCAGTGACTACCATCTGTTCCTGCACTTGTAGAGACTGGGAGTTCAGCGTCTTCAAGACAAAGTCAAAACAGTTGTGATACAGTCTTTCATGTAAAAATAAAATTACTGAGATATCTTAGCCCATCTTTTCTTAATTTCAAAACAGTACTTACTTAAAAAAAAAACATGCCTTGTATAAAATTTTTAAATAATACTCTAAACTATTTTGATATCCAATTGGTCTTTATTGCCTTTTTAGTGAACTCACTCCCAGTCTGCCACCCTAATTATTTTGTTGTAATGCCACTGATTTTGTTATTAGAGTCAAAACTTTATGTTGATATGTGGCTGTTGTAGAGGAACAACTTATAAAGTGATTGGGGGAAAGGTATATCGTGATGCAGACTGCGCTTTTCCATCACGATGCGCAGGGGTTGAGCACTACTTGCTCAAATTGAGCCCCAAGCTGCCAGATCTCCAATTGGTGCTCAACACACGCGACTGGCCTCAAATATCACGCTTCCAGACTCCGACTCTTCCCGTTTTTTCCTTTAGCAAGGTAAATTCCTTTAAATATTTGATAACTGTTTTCACTTCTTCAAAAAGAATATCATACAGTCCTTAACTCTTCACCTTGCACAGTTTGCGGTCAAATGGCAAATATTGCCAATGTAGTATATAAATACCATCACCGCAAAAAACGTGCAGACAAAGGAAATATCCATTTTGCCTTAAAGAGTTAAAGTGTTTGTTACTGAATTATTTCCTGCAAATCATTTCCATGCAAATGATCACATTGTCACACCTGTAAACAGTATGAAAATAGCACATTTCTGCTCTAGAGTGGGAATGGATCATTCTCTTCTAAATCACTAATTCACTCATGGAGCCAGTACGCTAACAACCGCTAAGCAAATAACATAACCTAAATAAAAGACATTTTGTATACAAATATAAAGTTAATCTGAATGTTATGATATTTTAATTATGGTGGTAGGACAAATCTTGTGTGTATTACGAGAATAAACAGTCATTGCCACTCGAGAACTGTAGATGGCTGCACAAAGCTTTCCTAATGCACAAGCACAAATATCTCTTTTCAACTCATGATCTCTAACAATAAAGGAGTTTTTCCAACCATGACAAATAAACCAAGCATTACCACTGGTTTGAGTTTTGGCAGAAATATGTAACCTTAAAGTAACATATTTTTCTTTTGTTCAACGGATAGTCACTGATAAAACAAAATACCTCTCATCTTGAAACTGTTTAACTCGTAATCAAGGCTAGACTTCTGGATAAGGGATCATTCCATTGTAATCTCAGGAACAAACACTATTTTGACTTTTCACCTGACTCATCGAGATTCTACCTGGTTTTCATTGTATTTATCTAAAAAAAACTAATATTTGATTTCAAAATTATTTGTACAGACCAAAGACGACTACTGGGATATTATGTATCCTGCATGGTCATTCTGGGAGGGAGGACCTGCGATAAAGCTGTATCCCCGAGGCCTTGGTCGCTGGGATAAGCATCGCCAATCACTAGATTACTCTAGGAAGAGATGGCCGTGGCGTGACAAACAAGAGGTTGCATTCTTCCGAGGCTCGCGTACAAACAGTGAGCGGGACACGTTGGTGCTGTTGTCTCGTGAGATGCCAGAATTGATTGATGCTGCATACACAAAAAATCAGGCTTGGAAGTCTGATAAGGTAAATTACTAAATTGTTCTTGATAACATACCCTTATTCTTCATATTTAATATCCACTTTAGATATTCACAAGGTGATGACGCACGTTTTCCGATTTCTCACTCGATCTTTGCTGCGCAACTTGTTTTTCACTTGCAATGCAGTTTCTAACGTAGACATTTTCTTGGATGCCTAACACTTTGAATATGAGCCCCTCAATGTGATAGCCTTTTTTTGGATTACATATCTTCATCTTCTTTAAATTTTGTTATGATATTTCAATTTGTGTTATGTTCCATAACTTCCATTTGGTTCCGTTAAATAGAAACATATTGATTTTGTAATGACAATTAGACACGAGGTCAATACTAATATGAGATACATTCTGATTTTACAATAGGATATAAAGTCAACTTGCTATATCCAAAGTCAATGGCTTAAGCTTCTTTAAAACTAAATTACTTGTAATTTGTGTAGTATTCCTATAACGTCTACCACGTTCTATTAGTTAAATATTATATTTTGTGTATTTATGTTCAGGTCTTTATTCTTTATAAAACCATCAGTAGTGTTACACCTCGCATCGCAATGTCTACAAAATATCCACAGTCAGTGGTTTCAGCTTTTTGAAACTTGTTGTTTGACCATATGTTTCGGTATTTAGTTAAAAATACTTTTAACCGCTAGCGAGGTAGTTGTACCAGGCAAATGCATCCTACTCAAATGATATCTCCCATTGGAGCCGCCTCCATTGACTATGCCAAGTGAGTCGTCTGACAGCGAACAAGAGTTTTCTAGTAGTAGTATTGATCTAACTTTTTATGACGGCCAATGCAACTGCCGAGCAGATAGCTTGTCTACTTAGTAAATACTTGTATTTATTTATTAACTTTAAAAATCAGTCATGTTGACTAAAGTCAAAGTAGTTTGACAACCCACAAAGAAAGAAATTCTTAAAATTAATTGCTGTTTCTTATGATTGTTGGTTATTGAATTTTAATGGAATCTATTAACTGTTCTCTTTAAATCAGGATACATTGTTTGCGGCTCCTGCGGAAGAAGTTTCTCTGGAAGACCACTGCAAGTACAAGTACTTGTTCAATTTCCGAGGAGTGGCTGCCAGTTTCCGCTTCAAGTACTTGTTTTTGTGCAACTCGTTAGTGTTTCACGTTGGAGACGAGTGGCTAGAGTTCTTCTACCCAGCTCTCAAACCTTGGGTTCATTACATCCCTGTGAAAAGTAATGCATCCAAATATGAACTAAGGTGAATCAATCATTTTATTACATAAATTAGTTTTAGTGTTACACACTCAATTAATGAATAGGTTCTATGTGTGATGTGACAGGTTTTTTTTTATAAACTTCCAAAAACAAGATCAAGGGAAAGAATAAGTCTTTTAATTCAACACCCTCCGAGCCCCTTATATGTAGTATTGCCGTGGAACTTCTGTACTACAAAACTCATCCAATGAAAGTATTTCTTACATAATTATAACTAATTAACTAATCATTATCAACCTGTAAATAGATCACACTGTGTGTGTGTTTTGCTAAGTATATAAGATTATTCTGTGTTTGTTGTTTTTGACAGGAAACTGTTGGAGTTTTTCAAGGAACATGACGATCTCGCTCAAGAAATAGCTCAAAGAGGGAGAGACTTTGTTTGGGACCATCTGCGGAACAAGGAAATCATCTGCTACTGGAGACAGCTGCTAAAGCAGTACGCCAAACTTTTAAAATTTAGACCCCAGCTTGAGGGCAATGAAATTGAAATACAATAAAGCTTCTATAGCAAACCTTTTAGAGGATGATTAAAAAAAACAGAACACAATCAACCACTTTGCACATTATTATTGATCAGAGCTTTGATGACATGAGCAAATTTTGAACACCCTTGAATGTCCTATATTGGAATTCCTGTTCCTTAATATTTAATAACAAGTCTTTAATATTCAATAATACATAATAAATAAATACACTTCTTTATAAATATTGTTCCATTAAGCAATCCAATATAAGATATTGAAGGGTGTATACAATTTGCACTTATCAAAGCCTTGTTAAATTATAATATGCAGAAAGATTTTGTATATTTGTTCCTTAGGTCGAACAATAAAAAAACTTTGTATTAACATAGTCTAAAATGCATGGTTTTTCTGTCTGACTGTCTGTTTAGACATCAAAATGAATACATGAGTGGTGACAAATCTGCACATATGATCAAATTTCTATTTTTATCAATTATGGAGGCCATCTAAAGTTGTATGTCTTAAATATCTTTAAAGTAAGTAATTCCACTAAAACCGTCAAGACAATATTTTGTTTTCAGGCAATTTCATGACTAATCCAGCGATGGCTTTAATTTTAATTTGTGCAGATCGGTTCATAAACAGCTAAGATGATTTTTCTGAGAACATACATCACCCAGACCGCCATGTACCTTACAGGCGTGGTACTATTTTATCACCACTTATGTACTGAGTTTGAAGTCAAATGCGGAAGGGGTTAAAAGATAATTGATACAATATTTGTAAAAATCACATATTCAGACAGACAGGAAACCAGGCATTTTAGACCCATTTTAGGCATTTTAGACGTTTGGAGCAAATTTCCCATAAAGGGAAAAACCTTTTCCTGTAGGTTTCATAATAGGACCTGTACTCGGTAATGATTTACTTTTTGTTTTGATATCACCAGAGCCCAAAAACACCGTCCGTTCAAATGTATGTATAGGTGTGTGTCCGTTAGCTGAATAACACAAGTGAAAATCATCTGATTTTGATTAAATTGACGTGTGAACCTAAGTTTATTCTAACAGGTTTGCGAACCAGCATGATTGTTAGAACCAGCCATTGGACTATGGCAACAATGTTTTCTGGGGGGTTATATGGGGTAAATATTGGTTTTCCCAATTTTTTACCCTAAAAACGTAAGATGTGTGATTTCTTTCCAAACCATGTTGTAGAGCTAAAAAAAAAAAAAAAATAGTTAAGTATAATGAAGCAATGTTGTAGGCCTACTTTTGATGGTTATGGAGAAATCTAAAATAAAACTTAATTTTAAAATTATCATTTTGTTTTTGTGGATAAACTGTTGTAGGCTTTGCTTGTTTATGAATATATTTTGATTGAATTTGTAAAATATATTTATTTCATACCAATCTTAAATATACATTTCAATATTTCATTAAAAACACACCTAACTATCTTCCTTGTAACAGCAAATCTAAGTATTCGTTAAACCTAGTATTTTTAAATAGGAAACAATTCCTATAAGTTTATGAAATATATTACTGGAAAGCCAATCAGGCAGATGGAAATTCGCTTAGCATGCAAGTTTGCTGCTGCGTCGCTATTTTTTTAAATTGTCCTTGTTACCTAAGGAACAAAATAATGTACTATATAAAATCCTTCCAGGAGAGTGTATGTTCCTTGTATAGTGTTTAATGGGGATTCCTTAATGAAAAGGTTGTAATTAATTATATTTCAAATTTTGAATATGTGTACGCTAATTTCATTGTTTTATTTATAATTGTTTGTAAAATGATTAAAACTGTTGATTTTTATCAGGCATGGATAGGCTGTTAATGTTGGTTGGGTTGCATCAGTTTTACTGAAAAAAGCTGACATAAAACGTCAAAGCTGACATAAAAAGTCTCTGGTTTTAGTTGTTCAATAATTAATTTGATTGTGATCTCTGTAGTTGGTTAGGAGCCTCTAAAATGTTTTTCAGCTGTTTGTTTATGGCTTTCATAATTTATTACTAGGGTAATAATGCAATTACAATCGCATTAATATTACATTATTACAATAATAATTTGGTAATTTGTTTGGCACTCATGATTGAATGAGTAGTACCAAGTACTCCTTAGAGTCCAGTAGTTGAGCTGATAAAAGTGTTATTTCTTTGTATACTTTGTTAGGGGAGGGCGGGGTAATACCGTACACTTAAGCATTATTGTTTTATATATTTAATTCTAAAGCTTCTATGAAATTGACGATTATCACATTTTAAAGGAATGGTAATTTGTTACAATTTCCTTGGTTCAAAATTGGAATATCAAATTAACTTTGAGTGTTAATCTAACTTTACTAAACCCTTACAATGTGCGGTATTGCCCCGAGTGCCGGGGCAATACCGCACGCAAGTTAGGGGCAATACCGCCCTGTGCGGTATTGCCCCATCATGATTAACATTACTAGTGAGGCAGCAGAAAAAATATAGAACATTTAGTTTAACGTTTTATTTAACTACACAAATAAGTAAACACATACTGTAGCATTTCTAATTACATTAAAATAAAATCAATCTCTGTTTAGAGCGCTTAGGGAATTGTACAGCATGAAAACTAAAAGGAAAACTGTTTTATGACAACATACAATTATTGTACTGCAGTTAAATCTAACAAGAGCAAAATACAACAAAGACACATAGCCTAAACACAAAAAAAGAGTATTGTTTTATAAGCTTAAAATGAAATAGAATCATGGCTCAAGATATCGTCTTTGGAATTTAAAAAATGAAAAGTTAATGAGCTTTTGTGTTGCCGTTATCTTATGCAGGTCAGTTTTTGCAAAAGTCACAAACGAAATTTTCTGCTGTGTCATATCCACTACATTCAGCATGTACCCAGCCACTGCAAAAAACACACCTGAACCACAGTTCCTTGTTTTTTCCAAATTCACCACAAAGTAAGCAGACAGAGTCTTTATCAGTGTTGGATCTTTTCATCGGAGTTCCCCTGAAGTCAGCAGGATCAATGTCATCAATCTCTTCATCGTTACAAAGTTTCTTAGGATCCAAATGATCATCTTCTGATGATGACTCGAAAGAGATGTTGCGACGGCATTTCTTTTTATCGACGTGTTGATGGCCGACCTTTGACGCATACTTCCGTGGTTTGCTTTTACCTTTGACCTTAAACTTAGATTTACCTAATGCTAGTGAATTTGCTTTGTTTTCTTTCTTTTGTAGCTTTTCTTTTTTCACGACTGCAGCCTTCTCCAATTTATCTTTATTGGGGGTCAAAGTGAAAATGGTCGAATGTTGTTTTCTGCCGCTTTTCTTCGGTTCAAGAAGAACAGGTAGTGGAGAAATATCTTTAAAAGGCAAAGCAATTGTTGGCTGGTTTTCCGGGTCCTCCTCTTCGTCGTCAAGGTCAAAAGCAGTTTCTGCAGGCCTACTAGAAGTTGTCGGGATGGAGAAGTCGGTAGCTCTATCAATTGTGGCAGCATCATCTTCTTCTATGACAGGACAACCAAAATTAGGTTCTTCTTCCTGGTGTAGTTGGACAAAGTCGTCTTCAGTAAATTTTGTAGGATCGAACGGATATATTCCAGTTTTAGAGAACCCAGAGACGCCCTTTTCTATGTTGGCAATTCTTGAGTAGGCTTTTGTGAAGATCGGACAAATGTCATAAGGTGTTATTTTCTGATAAGGGTTTGTTCTCATGAAGTTGTCACATTCTTGATTAAAAGCAGCTTTTAAGCTACTGAAGATGGTTACATCTAAGGGCTGTAGTCGATGTGAACAATGTGGTGGTAATGTAACAACAACTATCCCATTGTTCTTACAAAAGTTGTAAGCCTCTAACGTAACATGACTTGTGTGGTTGTCCATGATCAAGAGTACAGTATTATCCTTCGACGACTTTGTAAACTCAGCAAAATGCTTCAACCATCTCGGAAAAAGATCCTCTGTCATCCAACCATTTTTAGTGCATTGGTACACAGAATTTGGCGGTCCTCCTCTTTCCAGTGCAGGTGTCATCCTTTGCCGGGGGAAAATAAACATTGGAGGAACATAGGTTCCACTTGCACTGACCGCACAGCATACTGTTATGTTTTTTCCTCTCTCCCAACTAGTTGCAGATCCGACTTGTTTGGCTCCTTTAGGCGCTAAAATCTTTCCCGGTTTCTGTACCGTGGAAATTCCAGTTTCGTCAAAGTTATATATCCTTGACGCATCAAATTTGTGAATCTCCATCATAGAAGATAGGTTGGAGAAAAACAGCTTAACCTCATTCGAATTAAATGCTGAGATGCGGTTAAGACTCGTGGCCTCTGGCTTTCTCACACTAATCGATGAATTTCTTCTAAGAAATCCAATTAACCAATCCGGACCTGCCATTTTTGTTGACTTATTAAATGTGTGTTGAATTTCATTTGCTTCAGCATACTCAAAAACCAATCTTCTAAGTTCTACGGCAGATATTCCATAAAACGTCTTTGCCAATAACAATACGTGTTTGGCAATGTCTTCTTCTTGCTCTTTGGTGAACACTGGTTTTCTGCCTAGGTTCACCTTAGTGCAATCACCACTTTTTAATCTATCTCTCAGAGTAGAAAGTGGAATTTCATACCTCTTTGATACCTCTCGTTGTGACATACCATTTTCCCTCACATCATTTATGGCACAGCTCATTTCGTGTTCACCCCATCCGTCCCCCCTCTCGGTTGTCCTCTTTCTTTTTCGCACCATCTGTAAAAAAAACAATAAAGTTGTATTTCAAACTATATTTAAATTAAATTATGTGATAAGGCAATACTTGGCATGGCTGGAATATCATTAATTCAAAAGAACTTCATATATACACCTTAAATATCAATACTTGAATGCTTAGGATGCCAATAAATAATCTTTTTATAACATAGGTCAATATTGTAAAACATGGGGCAATACCGTACACCTCGTGCCTTGTGCGGTATTGCCCCATACTAAGTGCACGGCATTGCCCCAAAACGACATGACACAGCATTTTAAAAACCTAACCTCTAATAAGAACTCGTAAGGACTTGAGTTTGGTACTAAAAAATAGCCAATAATATGGTCTATTCAAAACTACATGTTTAAAAATAGTCACTAATATTATGCATTACTTACCTCAGTTCCAGTAAATATCTCAAATAAGAAGAAAATCAGCCAAAACACAAAAATCTTTCGTCACATTAACGTGAGTAGTGGTAGAAGCGTCGCGAACGGCTCAATCTGTTTCAAATCGTCACCGCTAGGAGCAGCACTTCATAGTACTCGCTCCAACCACCAGGGGACAAGAAAATAAGGTGAACGGTATTGCCCCGCTGCACGGTATTACCCCGGTCTCCCCTAATTTTCTTACTACTTCCTTTATTTATTACTAGGGTAACTATGCAATCCCTAACCATTATCATTTTATCATGGAAATAATAGTTTTATGACTATTAAATTTTCTTCTGATTCATCAGTATTTTTGTCATGAATTCATTTTCCACTGCCTACTGCCCAAACTGTTTTGATGGTTTCTCTGTAGCATTGCTTATTGGATACTGAAGTAGACATCCCATCTATATAGGATATCCATATGGACAAGCTGTCATCAACTTTATATTGAAAAAGAACATAGTTGTGTGAACCAGACACAGATTTTCCTTTATTTTTAGAAAAAGCTTCGCAAAAAGTTTAATTATGTAATTCTTACATGTTAATTATTTAAATACCAATATTACTTTAACATTACGGTAAAGTTTAAACAAATAGCAATTTATAAAAGATAAATTCATTATTAATGTTTCTATTTGGTGGTTTTGAAATTTGTTAGGTTTTGGCTGTAGTTCAACAATATCAACTAGAAAATTTGGGTAATCGTGTAGTTTATATATACAAAATGCACACACAAATAAGAAAACTTATTCCTGACAGTAAATTTTAACATTTATTTCAAGGTAATAAAGGACCCATCCTTTAAAGAATTTCAAACAGGAATTAGTTGTAATATGATGTGTTAATTTAATGTTTTCATTCAAGATCACAAAAGTCTTAGGAATCGTTAAAATCTAGCTATCAACCGCCGGGAATGTCTTGTCGCCTCCATTTCCAAGACCCTGAACACGCCTATGCCCGGGTCAGTCTCGTACGATACTTTTCACCACACTACCAGGGACAAATATACAGGATAAGAAAAACACAAACCACCCTGCTTGCCAGATGGAGACCTTAATTTACAGATGACCCCATGGGCGACACAGGGGGGGGGGGTAAGCTTGCACCCCCTGGCTATTCAATATAGGAAATAAATTTAATAGTTAGAATAAATTTCTTAACTACTTTTATTAATTCAAAATTTAAATAAGTAAATTGCATAATGGTCATTACACAAATTGGTTTTAAAACACCATACTAACTAAACAATTTCAGGGGGGAGGTCCTTGGACACCGTGGATTTGTGTTATCTTTTTGCACCCCCTTGTTCTAAATCCTGCGGGCGCCTATGGATGTCCCTTGTATTTTGTGTCTTCATTTACCGATATGACCAAGCAAAATAATTGTTCTACCCTGTTTCCTAACAAAGGTCTGGCTCTGACCGATTGTTTTTGTGAATTCTACTTGTTAAATGACTAATTGGTACTAAGTAAAGAATATTTTATAATGTTGTGTTTACTTTAATTTATCTATAACAAATTGAAAGTAAAATTAACAAAGGCATAATCCAGCACAAGTGAGAGGCCTATGTAAACAGAAATATACAAGGTTAAAAAAGGCTACCAACATCTTAAAATAAAAAGCTACACAGCTTTTATTCCTGGTTTATTAAATTATCTGAAAGTACAAAAAATATGTCAAATAACACTTGTAATGATATAGTTACACTTATACTGTTGACTTTCAAGACGGTAAATACATATAAAAGATGTTAAGTGGTGACAATAGACAAACTCTTTATTGAAATATTCCTAGAGAACATTCATGCGTCAGGTACAACTATTACAGTCACTTGCAAGTACAATTAGCATCTTTTTTTAATTTTTTATTTATTTTTTTATAGTAGCTTATTGTTTAGGAATTCATCCTCTGAGTAGAACGGCCGGTCCATAAGCCATGTTGTCAGGTGCTTCTTGAGCAGATTGGGTTGTTCTCTCTTAAGGTGCTCTGGTAAGTACAGAGCACCTTTGTAGGATGGTTTCTGCTTCTACAGACTCAGGTGGTGTTGTGGGAGGGAAACATTGGCGGCATGTCGTGTGTTGTGATGGTGTATGTCTCTGTGTCTTGGCTGGACTGTTTTAGTGGTTTGGATAATGACTTCTCTTATGTGGAGTGAAATTGATGTGAGAGTTTTAAGGTTCTTGAAGGCTTCTCGGCAACTGTCTCTGTAGCTTAGGTCGGCATGGCATCTAATTGCTCTTTTTTGCTTTAAGAGTACTCTTTCCAGGTTGCCTTTTGATGTTTCACCCCAAGTCGCAATGCCATATCTGAGGTGGGACTCGAATAGAGCAAAATATGCAACTTTGGGTACTTCTGGGCTGCAAGCTTGCTTGATCCTACGTATGATGTAGAGACTTGAACTGAACTTAGCTTTTTGCAGAGTTGGTCTATGTGGGGTTTCCATGATAGCTTAGAGTCAATTATGATCCCTAGGTATTTTGTGTTTGTAGTCCCGGTATTGTATTGTCTGAGTTGTTGCGTTTGGTGGTGAAAGTCATTTGAACGGGTTTGCTTTTGTTTAGAACTAGGTCGTTGGAGGCACAGTATTGCTTTGTTCTCTGGAGTTGTGTGATGGTTTTCTCTTCCAGATTTTCCATGGTTATGTCTGTAAATGTGAGAACCGTGTCATCTGCGTACATGGTGGTGTGTCCATCTTCCCCAATCCAACTAGGTAGGTCATTTGTGAGAAGGAGGAAGAGGACTGGGCCAAGTACTGATCCTTGGGGTACATCTACAGCTTTGGATTGGGCCTTATACAGTACTTTGTGTTGTTCTTTATGTAGGCTATTTCCACAAGCTGTTTCCGGTTACTAATGTAGCTTTCAAACCATTCTGCTGCTCTTCCTCTCACACCTAGTTTCCAGCTTGAGTAGAAGAAGTTCATTGTTTAGGCAGTCAAAAGCTTTACTAAAATCTAGGAAGAGGCTTGTTGAGGAGCTGCCTTCTTCTAGTTGGTCTAGTATGTGCTCCGTCAGTTGTATTAAGGCTGTGGCTGTGTGATCGATTTTAATTGGAGTGTTCAATCGAAATTGATCACCACTTGCTATACCTTATATGTATTTACCGTCTTGAGAGTCAACAGTATAAGTGTAAGTATAGACTATTATTACAAGAGTTTTTTGACATATTTTTTTACTTTCAGGAACATTTATAAATATAAAATAATTGTGGGCTCTATTAATCTCACAATCACCTGTCTATACTTCAATAATTTTCAATGAAATGTCGACCATACAAAGTAGGTATTTTTAGCCAAGTATGAATGGAGATGAGTGGCGTGATCTTGTAGTCTTGTTAGTGACTAAAGCCGACATATTCCTTTGACACAGCTGTTAATTAATTGCCCATTCAGCTAATGGCAACGAAGGGACCTACAGTTTAGTGGAATCCAAACCACATTTTTGCCTTGGTATTAACGAATTTGTCTAATTATCAGGATAGTACTGCAGATAGTCGTCGTTCTTTCTAATGCGGAAGTTAATCCACACCAGGTAGTATCATATCCACAGTGCATGCCTATAAATATCCACAATTTGTGACCTTCTGGTAGCTGGTCCTTAGACCCTTTGTCAGTGGAACTAAACAATCAATCAAAGGAGTTAGCAAATATGATAAAAAGACATTAAATTCTTCAACCATTGCTACTACAGCCTTATGTCACCTTTGTCCTCCACTAAAATCCTCCTCATCTTTTAACACTCATTGTAGTCAGATCTGCCTTTACTCTGTCTTGCCGTCTGTGTAGTATTGTATTTCTTTCTGATATTATAGAATTAATAGTACTAATAAAATTTGTTTTACTTACCATCAGTGGTGAAGCGTGAGGCCATCTACAGATTCACCAATGACTAAACAATCCGCAGATAAAAGAAAAATTTTACTTAATAAAAAAAGTAAATATTACCTAAATGGACTAAGCGATATACCGGGCGATTCAAAATGAAATGAATAGCCTGGTTTTCACGCTTTATAACTTTTATACTATTAAACTTACTGCTATAAAACGCACATAAAATTAAAAAGCAACTCAAAGAGTTTATGTCTTCCAAAGACACATTATTTAACAAAATCGATCCAGTGGAGCTGTAGATTTAATTGTTCAAAGTTAAAAAGTAATCTCCAACTTTTTTCACCAATAAAAGTTTGAGGTTGCTTGAAGTTTTTGGAAATAACTTTTAAATGGTGAGGAAATCGACCAAAGTGGAAGGAAAAATCAGGTACCATAAATTGTGTGCTATTCCCATGTATTTGACTCTGTAAACTGTAGTGAGTACGCCGAGACAACCCCTGTCTGTACTTGGTAGATCTTAAGAGTCAAGGGCTTTTTCGGTTGTTTTGGTGTGCTGTTACCAAACAGTTGTCCACTTCTCATACCTGCATACCTCTCTGCAACCCCCTTATTCCTAAGTCCTAGTGCAAACTAAGGAAATGTCCCACCCCTTGATATGATATTTTTAAACTTATTACACAAAATCTTACGTAAAGGTAGTTTTTTTTTTAGAGGTAATGAAATAATAAAGTACACAAGAAAGAAAAGTCAACACAATTTATTCTTTCACTTTTTGGCTTAAAATACAAGAAATGACTAAGTAATTAAAAGTAAGTAAACAATAGCTTCACAAGGATTGAACCCTACCCTGTTCATATATTTTCTGAGATCTAAAATGTATTCCGTGGCATCACAAAAAATACACACATCTTTTAGTACCTCAAAAACAAAAGTTACATACATCATACGCTGATGAGTAAATAAAAACATTGTGACGTCAAATAAAATAAAAAAATACAGTTCCCTGCATAGAAACAAAGATCAACAAACAAAAGAGTTCTGACGTTACTTATTCATGATTAATCTTTAGCTTTACATACTGATTTGAGACTGCTTCTGTAGCAAAATACCCAATCTCTGCCATCTTTTACCCTAATACTTTAACACTAACTGTCTTAAACATAATTACATTCAAACAGTGACATTTTACTGGTCCCAGGAGATACAATAGATCCACACCATTTCAAATTTCAGGTATGAGTTTAATGTGCTTTGAACAAAAGGAGGTTTAAATTGATTTAGAATAAATACCATTTCAACTATATAAGTTTGTTGACAGTCCTACTACATACTGATAAAACATATTCACTTGTATATCAGCAGGAGATAATTTTAAAGATATTTTATATATATATACATCAGACCGGTTTAAGTTGAGTATTAACTATTCTTTTGCAATGTATAAAATACAAAACTAAAATCTACTTTATTTTGAGAGTGTTTTTCATTATAATATCTTTTGTCAGCCTTAAAGTAAATTAAAAAATAAATATGACCAATTTAATAATACAACAATAATGTTAAAACTGATTTAAAAAGTCTTTTAAAACCCTTTTGACTCTCGTTTTAGGGCTCCGCCTCCATGCCCTAGGTTTAATTTATCATACAAGATCATTAAGCCAACCAGTATTTTAACCTCAAATTATACTAATAATGAGAAAAAAAATTAAAAATAAAATGTTTCTTATTTTTTGTTTTTTTGTTCTGGAAGCTAACGTGAAACGATTGCGAAACGGGCGGCAAGTGAGTGGAGGGTTAAACAAACTTATTCCTCTAGCAACAATTTATTCAGTATTTTGTAAAATTTGATCTGGCTGCATACTTTGAGATGAAAGAACAGCAGGGAAGAAATTGGTTGAAGAGTTAAGCAGCCCAATATGAAAACATCTCCAGCATGTCACATTCTGTCTATTTGAAAGGACCGCAACTCAGACTGGCTTCTCAGTCCATCTCTCAAATTTCCATGACGACGCTCTGTTAGGACTTCCTGCCCTAAAGAGACAAGAGGTTTCAAAGACACACATTGAACAAAGAGTTTTTTTCTGTAAATAATATGAATGTTTTTAATAATATCTTATCCCAAGAGAATTGGATCTCTGTATACATGGCTAAAGTAGGAGATAAGTTTAAATTGTTTAATAGTATTTTCCAATATAACTTTGATTTAGTGTTTCCTAAAAAGAGGGTGAAAAAATATTTGAATAAAAGTAAATTTAATTGGATAAACCAGGATTTATTAACAGAACAAAAAGATATTGTTGAGCTTACAAAACAAGCAAAACTGTCTGGTAATGTAGAAATGATGAATCATTGTAAACTCTTAAATGCAAATTATAAAAGTAGATGATCAAGGCAAAGAAAACTTTTTACGACCAACTCATAAATAAATCAGTGTCATCTAGTGGTCATGACGAAGTACCCTTAAAACTAATAAAATTCATAGGGAAATCACTGTTAAAACCACTTGTGCATTTTAATAAACAGTTCATTAATAACCGGTATTTTCCTTGACTGCTTAAAAATATCTAGAGTATAATGCCCATTTACAAAAAAGGTGAAAGGGATTAAAATCGGTAATTATCGCCCTGTATCAGTTTTCCCATCTATATCAAAGATATACAAACGTGTAATGTATGATCGATTGGTTGAAATGAAATGAAATTAAATGAAAATGCTTCTTTATTGAGGCGAACCTAATTGGTTGATCATCTTCATAATACTAATATATTTGACGATCAACAGCATGGTTTTCGTAAGGGTAAATCTACTACTACTGCTCTTTTAAATTTTTCAGAAACTGTTGTTGATGCTGTTGACAAAGGAAATAACGTAGTTGGTATTTTTATGGATTTATCAAAAGCATTCGATAGCATATCTCACGAAGTTCTTTTACATAAATTAAAAGCTTTAGGTATTTTTAACACTACTTTAAATTGGTTTAGGTCATATCTTTCAGAAAGAATGCAATAGGCCTATGTAGAAATAATGTAAAAAAAAAAAATACACTAACCAGTTATAGATCAGAAAATTTAACTATTAAACATGGAGTTCTTTAAGGCTCCGTTCTGGGAGCCTTTATTATTTCTGTGTTATGTCCAAGGAATGCCTTCAATTAAAAAAAAATATTTCAGGAACAGAAAGTCCGTTAGTACTATATGCTGATGATGCAAACTTGATAACCACTGCTAAATCTTACCTTGACCTTGAAAAAACGTGTCAAGAGCAATAAAAAATTATTAAAAATTGTTTATACAAAACAATTTATTTCTTAACAGTAATAAAACTAATCAAATTATATTTTCTAGAAAAAAAAAAAATGCTCGAGAAATAGATATTTTAGTGGGGGGAAGTAAAATAGAATCAATTCAGATTTTTAGGAGTTGAAGTTGACAATAATCTTAGTTGGGACCAACATACACTAAAATTGGCTAACAAAATTGCAACGGGTATATATGTTCTTAGAAAAATGTCTTTGTTATGTAATCTTGACACTTTAAAAACTATTTATTTCGCACATATCCACTCTCACATATCTTATAGTGTAGTTGTTTATGGTGGTACAAGTAAAGGCAACTTAGATACAATCTTGATATTTCAGAAGGAAGCTTTGAGAATTATATTAAATCTAGAAGACGAAATATCAGTAAAAAATAAATTTTCCGAGCTTAATATTTTGACAGTTTATGACCAATAATTCCTTGAATGTATATCCTAATGTGTGTTAGAAATAAATATAATGAATTAGATCAGCGCAGTAGTATTCATTCTCATAATACTAGACATAAGAATAATTTAAACTTAACCCAGCATAGGCTTAGTTTTTTTAATTAAAAAGCAAAATTAATAACCATAACTTAAAGCATCTGGTTAAAAATTATTTGTTAAAAAAAGCTGTTATTCAAAGGAAGAATTTTTTGTTTCTAGTTGATTCTTTGAGATGCTCAGAGGTATACGAGTATATGTAAATGTATATACTTTATGTCTTCATGTAATTTAACTTAGCATGTAAAATGTTTAAGTATTGTTATTTTTTTCAGAAAGTTAAATCTAGTAAGTTGTGGATTATTTCAATTAATTTTTAAATAGCTTTGAGAGAGCTTTGATGTAGTTTACCATAAGATTATCATTATTTTACCTTATTGTGACACTATTTACGTATGTATATACAAGATAAATAAATAAATAAATTTGACTATGACTATGACTATATGTCAGCAATGGACAACAGTCCAAGGGACCACTGGTCATGAGAAATATGTTCAAATTTCCTCAGTCCGCAAATGAATCACACGTTTTGCACCCACTGTATTCTTTGCATATCTCCCTTATTAACGACATTGTCATAAAGTGGGAGGCAATATTGACCTGCATAAGACAAAGCTTAAAGATAAGAGGAACAAGGGATGGTGACTGTTCAGCATCCTCGACACGGGAAATGGCTCTTTGAAAAATAAATACTGATTTGCCCTGCAATTGAAAGTCTACAATCAAAATGTACACCAAGGACTATGGCAGTATGTTGATCAATGAGTGGAGTACCACAAAGTGGCGGAAAACACAGAACTTTGCTGGCAGGAAGTTTCAGTATAGAATATTTGCTTGTGTTGAAGCAGATGCCAAGTAGGATCAAGTATGAATAAACAAGTCTGGATGGAGTTTGCATTAAGAAACGTTTGCCTGGTGAGTAGTAATGTGGCATTGTCAGTTTACGAGAATAGCTGGCAGTGCTTCAACTCCTTCCCCTGTAAGTAGAAGAGGTTTAACTAGACTGGCACTGCCATGCGGTACACAATAGTTTTTTCTGTTGATGATGAAAAATCACCTCCCACTCTCGCCTTTGGACTCCTACCAAACAAATAGAAATGGAGACATAGCAAAACTTGTGGGCCAAATTTGAAAACCTCATCATGGCTAGCAGCAAGCTGTGGTTGATGGAAACAGCTTGGGAGGAAACAAACAGTTATTATAAATCACATTTCTTTTGCTGGATTTTGATTCTAATGAAAATTAATCAGCATACAGGTTAAGTTAATAAGTTTAGATAAACCAAGAGAAGACTTTAAAGAAAAGTTTGTCATCTAAGTAAATAATAGTCTTATTGTGAATGGTATAGGGTTATCACATTTACTGACTAAACACAAAGGATAAATATTATATTCTATGTTAAAACAATTGTCAAGTTTAAAACGACTTTTAAAAATTCACCAACTCTTGCACTGTTGTAGAACACTGGGCTTTCTTTATCCAACCAAAAACTGAGGTAAAACTCTTGTGCAAAACTTTTTAAATTGTGTTTATTTAGCTTATTATACTTTTTAAAAGTATCAGGCTAATTAACAGTTTCTAGATTAAACATGAATGGAAATATTCAGTACATTCAACTTGATACTGATAAAAATTCTGAAATAAATATAGCAATAACAAAATAACAAATAAAACAATAAACTAACAAAACTTTGGTAAAACAATGAAAGATATACATTAAAACACTGTTTATGTCATTCTACGCAACTACATAGAATTAATTAATATCAAATTTTAAATTTGAATCTGACTAGCTTAAGATAGGAACATAAAAGTAAAAGTAGTCTTTCACAGTATAATTAGAATAAATATTTCGAGACATAAAGGTTTATGTTACCTTTGTTACTGTTGAGTCAATCCATCGTAGTATATATCAACTACAACTGTTTTATGCAGCGGAAAATGGTGCGAAGCACAACGAATTGTTCCGACACTAACACAGGTGATATAAACCTTTATTTGTTAACCATCAAGGATCCAACCCATCATTAAATTGGTAACTGATTTGAGTACAGAAGAAAAAAAAGTCAATACTCAATACAAATAAAACAGGTAAAAAAACAAGCACAATCTTAACACATTCACTTGTTACCAGATAAATTTGTTAATTATTAACGTTTTATTTCCGTATTATTTTTAGATGAAATCGTTTCCTGCTGTTGAACCTTGATAAGAAGACCCTTGGCAGTAACTGTCACGTTTAAATATAATTGATTTTGTATTACCTTTAATTACACGATACTACAAACCTAGATAAGAATTCAACTCTGATAACACGTCTTATTTTATCATCCCGATGAGAGACCTATTATTCAGGTTCTACTGTATTAGCATTCATTAGGTTAACTTATCCTTGAAATAAGGATCTTGTTTCATACTATGTCAATGAAAGTATGTATACAATAACTAAACACAGTGCTTGATATCCATAGGTTAAGGTATTGGAACTGAAATATATTGGGAGCCCTGACAAAAATCATTCACTATACCTTTGAGACCCTCCCCTTCATAAGCAATTGTGATATTGTACAATTCAAAAACTATAGTATAAAGATATTGTACAAAACAGCAAATATTATGCAGTATCAGTATATTCAGGATGTTTTTTAATGCAACCTAAATTACAAGTAGGCTACCGAAAGACATAGTATAAGGACAAAATAGCTAAAATGAAACCGATACAGTACCAAATTATGAGCTCAGCTGAAATGCATTTTCACATAGTAGTCTAAAAGGTATTCTTATTGGAAATTTACTGATAGTGAGCATTAACAAGGAAATTTTCACAAGCTCAGTGATTAGGTATAACAGAAGAATGCATTAAAAGTAAATTGTTAGTTTAAGCCAAGAAAGGTTTGAAATTATGTTACCAGGTGTGGTTCCAGTATCTGATAAATAAACTAATTATAGATTTAAGAAAACCAGATCTGTTGAAAAAAACGTAGACCTTCAATACATACTTTTTGAGCTTGCAAAAACACAACGTTCAGTCCTATTCACAATAAATTCCTAAATAACAAATAACAAATAATCCTATATAATAATAATAATAATAATCCTAAATAACAATAAATAACAAACCATATAGGCTAGGTAAAAATTCAACAATGCATATCAGCTGATCGGCAATGAAGTGAAAGGTACACCAACTTATGAGCTTGTTCAACCCTTAAACAGTGTCTCTCGGTACTGGTTATTTGGGTTGTGTCTATAAAACAACCTCTTTTTAACAAAATTTGGCTGGGAATAGTTTTGAAGTTTAAAATATATTCCCTAGAAGAAGAGATATGGAAGGCCTTCTACCATATTTTTCTCCACGTTACTGGCTGGATTAAGGGCCCCCAAATATGAGTGTACGAAATTCTTACAAGGGATGGAGGAGCTTGCCAGTAGTTTGTAGATTACCGGACTCCAACAACTTAGCGGTTTCTAGGATGCTTGGGCAAAACAAAAAGCCCTTGTGATTGAAGTGTCTATAGACCTCATCCCACCTCTTTTTGGGAATATAACCAGTACCAGTAGTGAAAGTGTGTTTTGTTTATTATAAGAGTTAACTTAATGTTTACTATTACATAGTTTGCAAAAATATTCTCATAGAGAGGATAAGTTAACCTAGTGAATCGAAAAACAAGTTATCACACATCAAGCTCATCTGTATGAAGTGAACATAGGAATAATAATAGGCGACTACAAAAAGGGGTGGGGTATAGGGAAGGTTGTGTATTGGAAGTCATTTTTTATAAGATTAAATGTTCTTTTCTAAGTTGAATTCTCATTAGGCAAAGTACAGTCTTCGGCCAATACACTTTCTTCAATACTGTAGTGCTGTAACTTTACCCCGTAATAAATTAGTGAGAAAATAATAAGACACATTAAAACATCGTTAAAGGGGTTTTGTCTTTTTGGGTTAAGCTTAAGACTAAAAACATTCAAACAATAATTTCAGTTTGAATATACAAACCAAAATATCATAAGTAAACAAATTAACATAAAAATAAAAACCCTATTGTTGAATAGGGTTTTTAGATAGATCTACAAAAAAATACTAAATATGAGTAGGCCTAACTTAATTTATAATAAGTCATATTTATAAGCGTACCATTACCAAAAATTCAGATATTCATAGTTGATAAGTTAAAGTAGCTAAATTCCTCCTAAAGGTAGATCCACTTAGCTATGAAAGCCCTGCAAAAGTATGTTTGTATTGTTTTGTTTATTTTTCTTTTGTTCTTGAATGATTAAATCTATACACTAAAAGTGCCAAAATTCTAGAGGAAAATGTTTGTAGGTAGATTTTACTTCAAAAAGATTGCAAGCTTCCTCTTGAGTGGGGAGTTCTCAGGTAATGATATCACCCATTTCCTCAGCCCAGTCAACATCACTGAGCTGGTGACTAGAAAAGCTCCTGCCAAGCTGTAGACGTTTGGGATTTCTTGGAAAAAGAGCACCTGCCAAATAAAAGCAAATACTATATCAGCAGATCTTGCGATAGCAACTGGCCCTGCTTGCTCTAATTGGAGAGACATAGTCAGAAGTATCTGTCCACCGAAACTAAATAAAGCTAAGGCCACGACTAGAACTCTTTCCATACCACATTGGGGCCAGCACAACGCCCCTAGCACCCATGTGACACCTACAGTCTGGATAAGGGCGAAGGCACCGAAATTAGCCATGATTACTGAGAAATGTAGTCCTTTGAGAGCTCGAAGGAGAACATAAACGTTGGCGCCAAAGAGTGTAGCTGAGAAAGCGGCGACAGCTGCCCAGAGATCGGTAGTGACAGTAGGAGGTTCCTCAGAGGCCAAAGACGGTATATGAGCTCCAAACATGAACGGTGGACGAGTAATCAGTATGACTCCTATCAAGGTCAAAAGAATGGTAACCACATTAAAAAGACCACAAGGCTCTTTAAGAAATATGCGGGCGAAGATAGCAACAAAGACTGGAACACTAAAAACTATAACAGAAGAATCTGCAAGAGGCATATGTCTAAAAGCATAAAAGCTAAGCATAAGTCCTGTTGTGCCGACAAAGGATCTGAGAAGAAGCATTAAACGTTTACCGGATGGATAAGGGTTCTCGTTCCTCCAGATTACAATCGGTATTGCTGGTAAAAGGACACCCACGAATCTGCAAGCAGCAAGTTCCATAGGATGAACATTCGTCAGCCATTTTACTATTACAGAACAAAGAGAAAAGAATAAAGACGATATACAGGCAAGCATTAGGCCGAGATAGGGGTAAGAGCTGCATTTGTTAGTCCTCTGCACAACTTCAGTCTCTTCATCACGGAGGTCTTCATCCAACAGGCGCATTTCCAAATGGTCATCTACATCATTGTTATTCATTTTTATGGTACAATATGTTCAAACCGAAAACTTTGTCCTCTATTTACCTGTGCACATGTCAACCACTCAACAACTCATTTCTTCATTGCCTTCATACTTTTTTATTTAACTTACAATCATGTTAGTTTGTAAATAACTACGATTGGCCACTTTTCAATTCCAGGAAATCTTGAAACACCAGCAATGGGAATATCATGGATCAGATGATAACCTGAAATTATATTTGAGTATTAGTAAGTTATCTAAGTCCGTTAGCAATTTGCTTTTATGTCTTAGTCTTTATGTATGAACCAGCTCCTCTCAATAGTGAATTCTTAAAGTTACAATTTTCACTTTTAAGTGTAAGGAACGCTTATGACTTGGAGATAATTTGCTTCTTTCAAAATAGAACAATATCAGGGTATTTGTGATAATCTATTTTGCAAATTAGACCGGTGTATCACACATGTGTGCCAACCACAGCTTGATGTCACATATTTTTGACTTCTATTTATTGATACAAAACAGTTTCTGACTGGCAGCTAGTCTATTTGAGCTGCTTTATAACTGCATATCGGGCTACACGCATGTTTATCACACATATATGTCATGAGGATTGGGGGTGGGACTTTTTCAGCCTGCCGAAGCAAACCCCATTTCCATTTGTCTGAATGAACTTTCACTAAAATATTTCGTTATACATGTCAGATTTAGGCTATTCTTTATTTAGATAAAGAGGTTTAACTAGTTAGGCTGAGCAAACTTAGGTTTGCTACTACAGGGAGGGCAAAGTGTGATTTTGGTATAATGTTAATTATTTTAGTATGATATAATAAATTTATTCGCCAAATTTGATCAAAATCACTGTAGTAGTAGAGCGAGAACGGGTGGGAACATATATTATAAAATCAATCCTATATATTAGTCAGTTCTTAGACAATGGTGAGCATTCCCACACTGGACATTTCACGACTAGACTACACCACTGACCAAAATAGATCCATAAGCAAGCAAACTACAATAGCTTGTAACAGTGTATTCTACACCTGTTACAGTTTTTTGTTTTCTGACGAGGGTAGACGTCAAGTCAGTAGCTTACAGTAGTACCCAGACACTCGCTCTCTCTCTAATCTCCCACAAAGCTCTGTCCTATGACAGCCAGAGTAGAGACGGGATAAGTGGTGGAGTGGCGAGTAGAAACAAAAGTATAGGGTTCCCAGAGACCCTCCTTCAAAAAAGAGGACAATCATGACTCGCATCTTAATCTTTTTAAAATTTAGAATTACTTTTATGCGTTTTAAGGGATTTTAAAAAAGTTTTTAGGCTATTTTAGATAGGCACTAGAACTTTCAGCAATTTTGATTTTTTTTTTTTACTGAATATTGTCTGACAATTCCTAAGAAACATGGCCTATATTGTAAGTTTTCGAAATTTTAAACTAAAATTTTGGATTTGCTTGCCAATTCTTTGCTATCACTAAAATATTTACTTTTAATTTTAATTCAGGCATGCTTATGCAATGCTAATGACAAAATTTGGCAACTTAGGCTTTTAACTCTAACACTTTTGTCTAGATTACCGGTACTGGATCCCCCCTCACTTAATATCAAATTACTGGATTAGAAATATGTTTTGCAAGACTAGGAGCCTTTAAACAATACATTTTGAAGTTTAGTGGTACTATCCATGGACTCAGAATTCTGGTGATGTTTTACTACAGCGTGAAATGCAGTTTCTTCAGCAACACGAGCAAGATTAGGCCTATAGAATTTAAAGTCATAATTAAAGAACAAAACTGTCAATTTCGGAAAATGATGCAACTGCTTAAAGGTTGGAGTTGTGTTGATTTTTTTTAGAACAGGTAAACTTTTTTCGCAATTAATCCCTTTCTTAACTTGACTGAAAATACACATTTTTTTCGGCAATAGGCTATGAACGTTCAAGAATGATAAAACAAGAAGTAAAATTATTTTAATTCAGGCCTAAGCGTGTAGGAGTGTAGGCCTAAACGTAATCAGAAAGCAGACGAGGAGTTAGCTGTAGTTAGATAGTCGCTGGTCTGGGTCTGGGTGGTCCAGTCTAACCTTGATATAACGAACCTCGATATAACGAATTCCTTGATATAACGAACTTTTTTAAATCCCCTAGAACTCTCCGTAAGACACAATGTATATTTTACCTCTACATAACGAACAATCCATATCAACGACCTTGATTTAACAAATTTTTCATGTTCCTGGCTAAAATAAGACACCTCAATATAACGAATTTATCATTGTCAGAATCTCTACATAGCGAATTTAACCTCTACTTAACGAATTGTCTGCGTCTTTCCCTCGATACAACGAACCCCCCACCACCATTATTGCTTTTGAAAACTCTGTTTCTTCATCAAATGAAATGGAAAGGTGACGTCAACGCTTGCGCTAATATTCGTCTGCTCCATTTTACACATCCCTGTCTGCTGTCGTCGTTGCGCACTATGTTTACAACTAAGAGAACTGATTTCATTCACTGAGGACTGATGACGACGTAATGTGTAGTAAGCTGTGATTGGGTGATAAGTAAATGTGGTGAATTGTACAATTTTTGGATGAAGAGAAACCTTAGAAAGAAAAATAATAGAAGATCAAGGCAAAGAAAAAGAATAGCAACATCGTTATCTTAACATTCCATTAACGAGTGTTTTATTATCTTTAAGTTGGCTATGATTATACACTTTTATAACGACTTAGCCTATCTAATATTTTCATTATTTTCAATATGGTTTGTACTAAGTTCATGATTATTACAGTACATTCCTCCATTGTGATTGTAGCCTACCACCGGCCTGTCGCGAGCAGTAGCTTACAAAACTCTCTAATGTTTTGTTTTGTTCTTTACGTGGTTTATTACTATGCAATACAGTGTTTGGCTAGGTTTTAGGTGGGTTGGAGCAAGCAGTAAGCTGTGATTTTAAACTTACAGTTTGTAACCTGTACCACAGAAAACGTACTACTATAACCCCTGTACCAAGGTCAATGACTATAAATGTCATGATTGCGCAATATTAAAAATCCCTTCCCTTTAGTATCCTGGATAATCGAGGTTCTACTTTACAATGTAAACGCTGTACACTGTAAAGTATTGTAGCCTAGACTACTTTAATTGTGTTTTAATCAGGTCCAATCCCGACCTATAATAGACTGATGCTGGTTCTGAACCTCGACTTAGCGAAATTCCTGCAAACCTAACCTCTATATAACGAACCTCATTTTAACGAAATCCTTGATATAACGAATATTCGGTTCGGTCCCTTCAGATTCGTTATACTGAGGTTGGACTGTAATAAGCAGAGACAGAGACAGCTGGGTTAATTTTGCCAACAGTCTTTAGCTTTAAACACAAAATTTCACCCAAAAAGGAAACAAAACTTCTAAATATAATATATCATTACAGTGACACAATATTTTAATGCCTAAGTTAGTTTCCAATTTCATCCTCATCCTGGGCGATTGATGATTAGCACCAATTACTAATACTAACTTAAGCCTACTATGCGTTCAGGAACAAGTTTATTATTTTTTTGTCTAAATCCCGGACAATTTAAGGTGTTGAAAAAATCCCCCCCGACGTTTTTTATGTGCCCAAAAAGAGGACGTGTCCGGTGAAATGAGGACGTCTGGGATCCCTACGCAATTAGAGAAGTTAAGTCGAGTATAAACAGCTGTTTGCTCTCCTAAGTCCACAAAAGGACCCGTACAGACCACCATATTACCATCAGTAGGTACTGCTTAATTAATTTTAGATTCGTAATTTTAACCTTCGCTTTACAACCACTTAGGAATCCCTCCAGGCAAAAAATGATTGCATTTACGAATTCAGTGAAAAAAAAAACTGTAGCCTAAGTAGAAATATCAAAATCATTGTAGCTATACGGAATAATTTCCGGGCTGGGTAACAAAATAAAACTATATAAAGTGACTTTTAAGGCAACTAATTTGGCAAACATCAAAATCTAAAAATAGGCCTAGCCTAGTCTACTTCATGAAATTGTGGATGCAAAGTTTCTGAGCAGTAACTATTGTGAAACATTGTATTATTATGAAAATTAACTTTTAAAAGATTATTAAGTCACCTGCGTTATAGAGGTAAATCAAGGATGACACATTTCAATTCCACATTAAAAGCAACTTCACATTAATTTCATTGCGCACTTAATTTACTATTATGAGTAGTGTAAAGTAATACTAACTTCTTGGGTGGTTATTAGTATTGGAATATGCAGTTTTCCTAATACTAATATTAAGTACAGATACAATACGAATAATTGAATACTTTCAACACTATATATTTCTTGCGTTTGTGTGTAAGTGATGTGTTATTGTGTATGTGTAGTGTAGGCTGTCGCTACTCGCTAGTGTCACTCACTGACACTGTACAAAGACAAAGTACAAGCTACAAGCAGAGCAGCCGACAAACTAACGGACAGCTGCTCTGCTCCCTGCTGACTTATTATTTCATCTCCTCTTATTATTTTCTAACGGCTTCAAAAATCTGACTTGCTTTTACATCCATGAAGCTGCATTGTATTCGCTTGATTCATCGCAAAGTCAACCCTAACCCCTCCGGCCAACCATTGATAAAGGTTAGGGCACCTATATAATATATGTATATATAATTCTATTGGGAGACAACATAGACATTGGTGGTGATATATCGACCACCAGCTATATTTATAAATACAATAAATACCTACGTACTTTAAAACTTGTAGACTAGGTTATTAATTGATATGACTTATCGTTATTTCAAAAATTTTGTATACCAGATATAGTTGATTTTAGCTTATATGTTGTTGTTGACCTTTTTTTACTCTTAATAAATAATTTATGTTTCATGTATTATTGGCATTTATTGGTTTATATTTTTTGCAATAAACTTAGTCTATTACCGTAGGTGGCACGGTAAGACCTAGGCCCGGGACCGATTTACTTTTTCATTTTGATGTCCCCGGAGGCCAAAAACACCATTTGTTAAAATGTTTATATATGTGTATATATATATTTTATATATGTATATATAGCCAATAGATATATATAACGAAAACATTACCATACTAGACATTATTAACAAAGGAACCAAAATGAACATAAAAGAAAATTTTCACATATATAAACACTACAAAGAAGATAGAGACAACATCTTAAATATAGTACACACACAACCCCTAATCCTATATTTAACAAAATTATAAGTGTTAGAAAAACGAACAACAACTAACCATTCAATCACATGCTAACAATAGTTATTTGTGCAACTAGTGAGAAAAGTGAGCAATTGACTCACTCGAGAGAAATCCTTACTCACGAGCCGTAGGCGAGTGAGGAATGGTTTCTCGAGTGAGGCAATTGTACCATTGACTATATATACCTACAGATATTAGGTACACCTGTAGGTATATATAGTCAATGATTGTACTTTGAACTCGAGTTGCACATTATACTTGGTAATTATATCGACCTCCGGACCTCACGCGAAATTAAAAATTTTTTTTTTCAAAATGGTCGGAATTTCACGCTGATTTCAAAAATGATTGTCGTTTTTTGCGGAAACGTCCCTTTTTCCCGGAAAATGGGGAAAACGGGAAAAAATCTTTTTTGCTCAAAACCCATGTCGTGGGTACTCAAATTGTGTGGAATTTCCTCCTGAACAAGAATATGTAATTTTTATTACGATCGGACCACTATTAAGTAAAATATCACCAGAAAAGTGGGCCATATTTAAATAACAAAGGTTAGGTCAGGTTACTTTAGGTTAGGTTAGGTTACTTTAACTTAGGTTAGGTTAGGTCAGGTTACTTTAGGTTAGGTTAGGTTAGTTTAGGTTAGGTTAAGTTTGGTTAGGTTAGGTTAGGTTAAGTTAGGTTAGGTTAGGTTAAGTTAGGTTCGGTTGGGATAGTTTACATAGTTACAATACTCATCTTATTGATAAACTATTCTAACCTAACCTAACCTTTTAGGTTAGATTAGGTTGGGTTAGGTTACTTTAGGTTAGGTTAGGTTACTTTAGGTTAGGTTAGGTTAGGTTAGGTTAAGTTAGGTTAGGTTCGGTTGGGTTAGTTTACATAGTTACAATACTCATGTTATTGATAAACTATTCTAACCTAACCTAACCTAACCTAAAGTAACCTTACGATCGGACCACTATTAAGTAAAATATCACCAGAAAAGTGGGCCATATTTAAATAACAAAGGTTAGGTCAGGTTACTTTAGTTAGGTTAGGTTACTTTAGGTTAGGTTGGGTTAGTTTAGGTTAGGTTAAGTTTGGTTAGGTTAAGTTAGGTTAGGTTAAGTTAGGTTAGGTTAGGTTAAATTATCAATAACATGAGTATTGTAAATATGTAAACTAACCCAACCAAACCTAACCTAACTTAACCTAACCTAACCTAACTTAACCTAACCTAACCTAACCAAACTTAACCTAACCTAAACTAACTTAACCTAACATAAAGTTGTTAGGTTAGGTTAGGTTACTTTAGGTTAGGTTAGGTTACTTTAGGTTAGGTCAGTTTATCAATAACATGAGTATTTTAACTATGTAAACTAACCTAACCGAACCTAACCTAACTTAACCTAACCTAACCTAACCAAACTTAACCTAACCTAACTTAACCTAACCTAACCTAACCTAACTTAACCTAACATTACCTAACCTAACAACTTCGGTTGGGTTACTTAAGGTTAGGTTAGGTTAGGTTACTTTAGGTTAGGTTAGGTTAGGTTAGGTTACTTTAGGTTAGGTTAGGTTAGGTTAGAATAGTTTATCAATAACATGAGTATTGTAACTATGTAAACTAACCCAACCGAACCTAACCTAACTTAACCTAACCTAACCTAACCTAAAGTAACCTAACCTAACCTAAAGTAACCTAACCTAACCTAAAAGGTTAGGTTAGGTTAGAATAGTTTATCAATAACATGACTATTGTAACTATGTAAACTATCCCAACCGAACCTAACTTAACCTAACCTAACCTAACTTAACCTAACCTAACCAAACTTAACCTAACCTAAACTAACCTAACCTAACCTAAAGTAACCTGACCTAACCTAACCTAAGTTAAAGTAACCTAACCTAACCTAAAGTAACCTGACCTAACCTTTGTTATTTAAATATGGCCCACTTTTCTGGTGATATTTTACTTAATAGTGGTCCGATCGTAATAAAAATTACATATTCTTGTTCAGGAGGAAATTCCACACAATTTGAGTACCCACGACATGGGTTTTGAGCAAAAAAGATTTTTTCCCGTTTTCCCCATTTTCCGGGAAAAAGGGACGTTTCCGCAAAAAACGACAATCATTTTTGAAATCAGCGTGAAATTTCGACCATTTTGAAAAAAAAAATTTTTAATTTCGCGTGAGGTCCGGAGGTCGATATAATTACCTTATACTTTTCCTACAGTTACCATAAAACAAATAAATTGGTGAAGAAACATAACCTATTTTTACACAGAAGTGAACTTTTAATATAACAATTGTGAAGTGACAAATACAACAGTACAACAGCTGACCAGCTGATTTACAGCCAGTGCTGCCAACGTATTTCGCGCGCATACGGCGTTGCCTGCATGTTACGTGCTCACTATTTCGTGCCTTCATGTTGAAAATCTGGAGTGAGACAAAGTAATTAGAGTGAGACAATGTTAACATTGTCTCACTGATGAGTGAATTGGCCACTTTGCTTTCTCACATCAGTGAGAGAACATGTACATTGTTAGGTAACTGTAGGAAAAGTTAACAGCTGTATATATTCATAACATAATATTTTTGTTTGAAATTAGGTTAACACTTGAAGATGTCATTATAGTCGAAAAATGTTGTGCGATTTTATTAAATAAAAAAGAAGGAAAAAGGGTACTCATGTTATTTTATATATTATTTATTAATATATATATATATATATCCGTGAACACAACTTGAGTAATTTTTTGTCCCATTTTGATGAAACTTGGTTTTAAAGTGTAAGGCAGGATAAACTTTAATGAGTTTGCGAACCAGCATGATCGGACCATGGGAACGGGGTTTTACGGGGGGTTTAATGGGGTAAAATTGGTTTTTCTAATTTTTGACCCTCTAAACAGAAAATTTCCCAATTTCTCTCCAGACCTTTTTAAAGAGCTTAAAAAAACAAAAAAATTAGTACATCAAAGTGTTTTTGTACAATTATTATTGGTTACGGAGAATTTCAAAAAAATATTATTTTGTAATTCCCATGTTATTCTTATGGAGAATATTGCTAAATGTTGTAGTTTGCTAATTTATGGATATATTTTGATCAAACTTGGTAAACTTATTTATTTTATACTAAGTTATTAATATTTTACTAAAAAGCACACTTTTTTACCCTCCCTCTAGCAGCAAGCCTATATACTCCTAAAACCTAATGTTAATTAAATATGTTAAATTGAAAATCAATTCAAGCAACTGGAAATTCGCTTAGTCAGCAGGTTTGCTGCGGCGGGGGTATTTTGTCTTAAGTCTGTGGCCAGACGTATTCACGATTAATTAAGTTATATTGATTTATATCTGTATAAAATGGAAGCGTTTTTATTTGGGTGCGGCTCATATTTCAGAGTTTGGTATTTATGAAGTTAGACTACTCATGTGAATTTTACAACGTTGGATTTATTTTACTAAAATAGGTAATTCTACGCGCTTTTTCCTCTAAATCAACAAGGGCCGGTTTCACACGAGCCACAAACGTGCCACAATCGTCGGCAGAAACGCGCCACTTGCAGCGCTCAATCGCGTGGGACCTTTCAGACGGCAAAAGCATGATTCCGCGATTTCCATCAGTTTATCGCCATTTCATACCGCACCTCCCTGAAATAAACCAAAACACCAGTCCGCTTGGAAAAACTACGAGTGCAGTTCAGTGCTACAATGGACGATGAAGAAGATTTATTTTTTATAATGCTTCTTCGTGCGGTACGACGTCATAGAGTAATTATTTGAGTAATCTTTACATTCTTGTACCCACAACACTGGCCTACACCCTACTTTTACGATAAAACGGTCTGTGTCAAAGTCAGATATGATGTGAAATAAAAATTCGAAACAATACAGGGTGACTGGTTGTTTTGACTGTCTGAGTGGCAATAACCAGCCACAAACGCCAAAATTGTCGAGAACAGAGCCACTGCATGCGATTGCAGCGCGTTCTAGCGCCAAACGCGAAAAGACGCCACTTCGTGTGAAAGGCACGCCGCGTTCCTATGTTAAGTGAATGGGGCTATCCTTTTTTGCGTCAGCCAGCGATTCTCGCGCCACAAGCGCGCCACAACTGTCAGAAGCAGCGTTTCGCGATTGTCGGGCGTTTTGTGGCTCGTCTGAAACCGGCCTAAAGGAACACGGTTTAATGGAGGAAAAGAACACATATTTCTGTACAATAGTCACTAACTAATAAGACATTTCCTAGTGTAGTTATTTACTTGATGATGTCCCACTAGCATCGCTCCTGCAACGTGGTCGTCAAAATGGGTATTAAACACAATAATAGGCCTAATTGAACAGATCTTCTACTTTAAAATAGGCTGCTTCACATAAATATTCCTTTAACATCTTCTTGCATTTATTGATATTTTGCTCTTGAATAATGTTCCTTGGTAGCGAGTTGTAGATCTTGACACTACTAAAATATTGGCTCTTGCAGGCCAAAGTTGAGTTAACTTGAGGTACATGTACTTGATTAGCTCTTCTCGTGTTGTACTGATGGACCAGATTGTTTGTGAAAAAGATGTCCGGATTATTCCTCACCAATATGGCAGATTCTAAATTAAATAGTGATGGGAGGGTTAAAATTCCAAGGTCCTTGAACAGGGGCCTACTGTGAGCAAGACGATGAGCACCACACATTCTCCTAATAATTTGTTTCTGGAGGAGAAAGATCCTATTGGCCATGGTACTATACCTCCCCAGAACACTATTCCATAAGATATTATACTGTGAAAACATCCATAATAAACTTTTAACTAAATGTCAGTCTGGACCAATTTCTGGAGCCTAGTAATTAAATTGATTACAGATCTTAATCTTGAAGCTATTGAATTAATATGTTCATCCCACTTGAGATTTTCTGTTATGTGCAGGCCAAGATATTTTACTTTTTCATGGGAAGTGAGTGCGACCCCATCTAGCAGAGGAGCTGGTTCAGGTTTTTTCCTATTGTAAAATTCCATAAATGAAATGCTTTATTTTCCATTAGGCAAGAAATGCAATAGGCATCGTCAGAACAAATAACAATATACAATTTTCATAAAAATTAGAACTAAAATGCAAAAATCACACAGCAAACAAAACCAAAAACAAACCATGCACAAAACTACTGTCAAGACAAAACAAAACAATCTGTTACTTACGTACATAGGAAAAACTCTCTCACAGTCTCCTTGGGAATGTCGAAGAAATCGCTGGTTTTATAGAGTGGGAAAGCCAATAAAAGTGCCCGGAGATTGTTTTTGAATTTTCTGTTGGTTTGGTTCCAAGCTGTACAAGAAATGTGGTTAAGAAGCCTTATGCTTAACTGACTGGAATTTCTTTTTGTTTTGCTTAACCTAACATAAGGTACATCAATATTGTTCTTATTTCTGGTATTGTACATATGATAATCACCCCTACGACTAAGTGACTGGAGATCATTTTTTACATACACAACTGAAACAAAAACATACAAACTACATACAGTCATGATTTCCTCATTTACAAAGAGAGGTCTGCAAGGGGCATCATACTCAGCGTTTGCTAGGATTCTTACAGCTCTTTTTTGTATTAGCAATACCTCATTAATTTCAGCAGACCCACCCCAGAGTCTGAGTCCATACAAAAGAACTCCTTGAAAAAAAGCTACATAGGCTTTTTTTAAACAGTTTTTATTTAGACAACTACTTAGACTTCTCAAAAGGAAGATAACTCTGGAAAGTTTACTGCAAACCAAGGTTATATGAGGGCTCCAAGTCAGTTTTGTATCAATGCAAATACCCAGGAGCTTAACAGAGGTCACATCTTGTTTAATGTTTTTCAGCGTAAAGACCAAAGATTGTGTTTTGGTTTCATTGAGAGACAAAAAGTTAGCATGGAACCAAACCGAGGCCTGTACAAGGGATTGCTCCATGAGTTCCTCAAGATTTTGAAAATTTTTTGAGCTATGAACCAGTGTAGTGTCATCTGCATAACAGACCACACCACCTTCAACATGACTGGGCAAATCATTCATCATTATTATAAATAGCAGAGGCCCGAGGACAGACCCCTGCGGAACACCATGTTAACTGTAACCTAATACATAAGGTTTGTCTTTCAGAGTTCAAGATCAAGCAGTTTTCGTTACACAGTTTTGCATCTCAATTAAACTAGATTGAGTATCTTCAATAAGACTGACACGATCAGAGTTACAGATTAGCATAGATAAAACATACTCCCTTAGTAGATTTCTCATCCTTATGGAACAGCTGAAGACAATTTTATTGTTAGTTCATGTACGGTTTATGTAGAGGTCGTGTTTTGTTTACAATTTGTTTCCCGTTATTACAGCCATTTAAAACCTCGTTTAATCAAATAATACGATCTAATCATAAACAATAACTTGTCCCCTAGTTATATAACCAAACAGTAAAGCACAAATCAAGAAATTAACCCTAAAATAATGGAAACAAAGTTTCATCGACACTGGCGCCTTTGTGTCACGTACATGAACTAGACACGAAAAACGTGCTTCAAAATTTACAATGGGATGAGAAGTCTACTTGTGTTGGTTAGTCTATGAGATTAGGTGACATACATCGTCAGCAAAAAGCCACACATTTCCAGATGCTATGGAGCCAGATAGGTCATTAACATAGAGCAAGAACAATAGGGGCCCTAGGTTTGATCCCTGTGGAACACCCACATTCATGGCAGGGGATGGAGCCGACTTATATGTGCGTAGAGTATTGTCATTCCCCAAATGCTTGAGTGATACGACCAAGTGGCGGTCTCTTAAATACGAGAAAATCCAATGCAGAGGTCTTCCTGCAATTCCCAGGGAAAGTAGTTTACGAAGCAGGACACTATGGTTTAGCAGGTCAAAAACCTTGGTCATGTCATAAAATAGGCATAAAAGGCTCTCAGATAGATCCAGGTGGTTATAGATGTTCCTCAGGTGAGGACAAAGACAGCATCAGATGTAGACATATGTTTTCGGAACCCAAACTGACTCTCAGTCAATATATTATTAAATTCTATAAACCTAAGGAATCTCTTCAAAAAAATTATTTCAAATACTTTTCCTATACATGGTTGAACCGAAATCGGGCTATAACTATTAACAGTAAGTGGATCAGCCTTTTTATATACAGGTACTACTTTAGAAGTTTTTAACTTTGTTGGAAAACAGCCAGTTTCAAAGGATTTATTTATTAAATTTGCGAGGGCTTCAATAAAATTTTCATTACAAAGCTTGAGAAGGCTGCATGGTATCTCATCAACACCTGAACTTTTCTTGGGTCCCAGTGAATTTACCACCTCCCTCACCTCAGCAGCAATAGTATGTGTGAGAAAAAAAGCGTCCCTCAGCTAAGTCAACAGGGAGCTCAGGAGCACAATTGCCATTTGCCAATCTAGAAATTTCCTCAAAAAAGAACTCACAAAAGTGATTTACAATGGTTTGGGAGTTTGTCACAACAACATTATCAATTTTCAAGCTTAAGTTAGTACAGTATGTGTTTCACAATCTTCATCACAAAGTGCACGGACCACAGCCCATGACTCCTTACTAGTATTTTTTGAGTTTAGAATTCTATTACCAAAATAAGACTTTTTTGTCTGAGTAACAAGAGACGAATGCTGCCGTTTGGCCCTTCTGTAGGCCCTCTTAACATCTTCTGAACAACCCTCAGTACATCAGTTGTTATGAGACATTGACTGTAACTGTAGTTAGTGTCCATAATCAACGGAGGCATTATTATATGACACTACTACTTGCAACAGGAACTAGGGCAACTACTTGACACTTTTAGTGTACATAGAGGCTACCTGCTCCATTGAACATTGAACCAAAGCCTGCGAAGCAAACAGCAAAGCAGGGGGAAAATGTTTACTTTACTTTACTTTTACTTACATTGAGGTTATACTATACTAGTAACTTAACTTCTAGGTAAGTTAACGTTAACAGGTTGTAAGTACACTGTACAGGTTAAGTTGTATTTAATATGGTTAACAGCTTTGGTTATGTAATTTTTGGTTCGGTATCACACCGATAAATGTATAATAATGTCAAAAACCAAAGTCGACAAGAATTAAAAAGGCAAGGCTTTTATTTGTGGACGTGGCTTACCTAAAACTTTATTGAAGAGGTAAGGTTACCAGGCTTATTTCTACTTGGTATGTCTATCTTCTTCATACTGGTAGGGTAGGTTTAAAAACAAAGTTTACGGGTACAGTTTCTTAACTGGGCTATGCTAATATCTATTGAAACTATGAATTGAAAATATTGATTAATAGTTGATATTTTTAAATATATCATAAAATTAAACTATCATAACCTTTACGATGTAGTTTTACTACAGAAATGTTCGGTTTTTAGCGAATTTCCCTATAGGGAAGTAGCTATTACCGTAGGTGGCACGGTAAGACCTAGACCCGGGACCGATTTACTTTTTCATTTTGATGTCCCCAGAGGCCAAAAACACCATTCGTTCAAATTTTTATATATCCCTAGCGCTGGCAAACGCCGGATATACGGCGCGAACGGCCGCGGCCGAAATGGCAACGCCGGATATACGGCGCCAATGCAGGTGTTACGGTAGGCCTATAGATTTTTTTTTTTTTAGTTTTGTTTGCTTTTTAGGGCTACTTTTGTAATAAATAAGTTAAATAATTCAAACCAGAGTACCCTGGAATTATATATTATGTAAGGTGTACGGTTTTGTACATGACCTGGGTTGGATGATTATTTGGTACTAGCGCGGGGGTACGATCAACATAATAATAGGGCTATCAAACAAAATATACAAAGTAAGCTATATAAACTATATATTTTTGGAATCAGCACAAAATTTACTACAATTTTACAATTTACCTTATGATTATAAGTCTAACCTGCACTTAGCTACACGACGGAATATAAAACATTTTATAAAAAAATTAATAATGCCTAAAATTCTGAAAAACTAAAAAAAAAGTTTTTGGTGGTAACCATGTAAACCACCTATATTATTGTTCTTTGTTTTATTCTGAACAAAATGATATATAATAACCCATAGTTATGTTGCTATTTCTAATTTTTATGATGGTTTAAAAATGATATTACTTAGTTAATAAAATCCCTATGCCAGTACAGCGTTACACTACTGCCAGCTCTAGGGATATGTATATATATATAGACATATATATATATACGTCCGTGAACGCGATAACTTGAGTAATTTTTGTCCGATTTTGATGAAATTTGGTTTAAAGGTGTAAAGCGGGATAAACTTGAATGAGTTCGCGAACCAGCACGATCGGACCATGGGAACGGGGTTTTATGGGGAGTTTTATAGGGTAAAAATTAGTTTTTCTCACTTTTGACCCTCAAAACACAAAATTTCCCGATTTCTCTTTAGACCTTTTTTAAGAGCTTAAAAAAACAAATAATTTAGTATATAAAAGTATTTTTGTTCTATTATTAGTAACGGAGAAAATTAAAAAAATTGTAAATTTAAAATTCCCATGTTATTCTTATGGAGAATATTGTCAAATGTTGTAGTTTGCTTGTTTATGGATATATTTTGATCAAACTTGGCAAATTTATTTATTTTGTACTAAGCTATAAATATTTTACTCAAAAACACACTTTATTAGTTTCCTTGTAGCAGCAAACCTAGGTACTCGTCAAACCTAATGTTATTAAAATATATTTAACTGAAAATCAATTCAGACAAATGGAAATTCGCTTAGTCGGCAGGTTTGCTGCGGCAGGGGTATTAATTAATTGCAATGCGAATATTATGTATAATATTTTGCTTGTTGTATATTTTTGTTGTTATAATTATTATGATTTATTTTTTAATGATTCATCGTATCAATGTCTCTTGTACAGAGTGAGGCAGTGAAACGGCACGATTTTGAAAAATCACAAATAATTCATTTAGTCGAAAAGGATAGTTGTTTTGGCATAAATCTTAAGTAAATAAGTGGAAATTAATGTTTCACCTTAAAAATACAAATTTTTCTTAATACAGTGTCAGTAAAATGGCGTCCTTGGTTTTTGCACACATTGTTAAATTTTGAGACGAAATCCACCAATGACGTTTTTTAGAGTTTGCAAAGCCTCTGCAATCGTTTTGTAGTGCTTTGGCGTGCTAGTAGTGGCTTCAAAATTATATATCCAAAGGAGGATAGCTTTCCTTGATGGCTCGGGAACCCGTGGCGATAGACTGAGCTCACAACGGAAAGTGCTCTGAGTACAAACCACACTATCCACGTTTTTATAATATGCCTTTACAGCAAACAGACGTTGTGCACTCGTCCAACGCTCCATGCCTAATGAAATTTTCACTTGTCTAGACGCCTAAGGTCATTTCCCCCGAACTCTTAATAGCCCCCAATTCCTCGTCAGCCAGTGTCGGAATCATGCCGTTTCACTGCCTCACCCTGTATTTATGTTAGTCTGTAACTATTTATTTTGCTTGTTCATGTATAATTATTTTGTAAGTACATGAATCCTAATTAAAAAAATAATTAGCCTATTTTGATTTATTTTGAAATGATTCATTGTATCAATGTCTCTTGTATTTATGTTAGTCTGTAACTATAAATTAAATGTGTATTTTCAAAATTTAAATGGCTTACGTACTAAATTGGTAGATTTAAAGAATGCTTTGGCTTGTAATATTTATGATGTTTTATTATTGTGTGAAACAAACCTATCTTCAGACATTTCTAGCTCTGAATTACAGTCAGCCAACAACTTCACAATATATCGCAGAGATAGAAATATCCATTCAAGCAATAAGACGTCTGGAGGTGGAGTGTTGGTGGCTGTTAAATCACCTCCAATCACATGAAATCATACATGATTCAACTATCAAGAATATATTTGTTTCTTTACCATACCATAAATTCATACTAAATCGTGTTTATATCCCGCCAGGTCAGCCTATCTCCACTTATATTACCTATTGTGATTCTATAGACGTGATAGCTTCTTCTTCACCTTCATCCTCCTTTATTCTGGCTGGCAACTTCAACATTCCCTCTTACGAACATTGCCTGTGTGTGTACCACTTACGATCCAGCTAAGAGGGATCTTCTCGGAAATGAAGAGTGCCATTCCTTGGATCAATTGAACCACGTAAGAAACTTCAGACAAGTGACTTTAGACTTGATTTTTAGCAACATTAAGTCAGTCATTGTCTATCCTGCAGAAGATCCCCTTGTTCCAGCCGACCGACATCACCCTCCACTATCTTTCTCACTGTCTACTAGACGAGGACCTTCACCTACTGATTATGTTACTTGCCCAAATCTACGTAAATGTAACCTACTAGCTGTCTTAGAAATTCTATCAACAGTGGATTTAGGCCTATACTCTTTACTCAATCAATCCAGTATCCATGGGAGCTTCAAGAATATGGTTTCCATACTAGGAGATATCTGCATCGCATGTAGTCCTTTAAAACGGATTGGATCTTCGCCCTTTCCCAAATGGTTTTCTAAGGAGCCTATTAATATGGTGATATAGAAGAAAATAGCACACAAGCGTTATAAACTAACATTCAATCCAGTGGACTACTCACACTTCAGCGATTTGCGTGAGGCTTGTAGGATTCTCAGTCGTGCATGTTACAAAAGTTATCTGAACCATGTGGAGACCTCAATTCCACATAACCAAACCGCTTTTGGAGCTTTGTTCGTTCCTCTGGTGGAGCGCCTGGGATTCCATCCAGAGTCTCTCTGGGTGACCGCTCTTCGGAGGATCTGCAGGAGAGGGCAGACATGTTCTCAGAGTATTTTTCGACGGTGTTCTCACAGCCTGTAGTCTCATCTCCATCCTTTGACTTCAGTACTTCATCCTCCTTGGCACGGATTTCTTTCTCTATGCCCGAGGTGTTGAACGCTCTCCAACAACAAGACACTAAGAAGGGTGCTGGTCCAGATAACATAACACCAGCTTTTCTCAAATTTTTCAGTGAGACTCTGGCAGGGCCCCTGACTATTTTCTTTAATCTATCCCTTCAGCAAGGAATATTTCCTGATATCCTCAAAATTGGACACATCGTTCCCATTTTGAAAAGTGGTGATCCATCAAAGGTTGAAAATTACCGCCCTATTACAATTCTCTCATCCTCGTCTTCCTGTGGTAAAGCTATCTCTCTATTCTCTGTGATATAGGCCTAAATATTTTTATATTTCAGAATAGGTCCTCTTTTATTATGTCTTTTCCAAATTAATTTGTTCTCTTAGCCATTCTTTCATCATATACGGTCCTAGTCTTTTCATATGTTTTTCTAATACCCTGTTGTTCATTAACACTTAGACTGTTGTCTATTATCTTGGTTTCTGATTACCTACCTGTGAAGAAACTATTTATTAAATCATCTGATCTTCTAAACATTAAACATATGATTAATTAATAACACCACACTACCTATCTAAAAACTATTAAAATTCTTTGTCCGTTCCTAATTCACTTTATAATTGCAGGATGAACTACTCTATAAGAGAATATTTCAGGAGGGATTTCAAAGCTTCAAACTAACTTAGGCTACGTTTCTCTCAAAATCTGCATGAAGAAAAGTTTGTGTGAATGTATGTTTAACTTATAAATGTGTTTGGTTTGCATTTAAAAACATTTTACAATAAAACTAAAAGATTACAATGACAGCTTCTCATACTAGGCCTATACAGTGTGTAAATTAAGTCTTGAAACAAATCTGTATTTTTAAATCCGAAATAGATAGAAATATTCTCTTTGTAGCATTGATTTTTAAAAAAGGTTCCGCAATTTTTTACACCAAAAAAATAGTTTAACCCCCCTAACAGGGTAGGGGGTAGGTGACTTATTTTTTCAAATAGCAACCCCTATTGAGTGACCCCTCATTTTGAAGGATAGTTTTTAATCTCTGTATAGTTTTAAAAATATAGTTTTTAATACTTTAAAATATAAACAGATGCTTTATCATCTTGATAAATGTTGCCAAAATTTGGTTTAGCCTACCAAATAAAAATGAATTTGTCACAAGTAGAAACAATAGTGGTTAAAAATAGATACAACTAACCGTGCTATATTGCAAATTTAAACATTCTTGCCACAAAAACTGATTGCACGAATAATATTATAGGTTAACAAATGTGTTACCTTTGTCCATCTTAAGACTTTTAATAGTAATAGGTACAGTAGACTCCCTCTTATCCGGATACCTTTTAACCGGATATCAGTTTAACCGGACATCGGTTTAACCGGACTACCCTCGGTGGAAATGACATCTCTTAAACCGTACAATTTTTATCAGCACATTGGTTTAACCGGAATAGATCGACAGGAAGTGGACGGTACTGAAATGACTGTTCTCGTGGGAAAGATTGAGACCAGTGACCACGTGTCTAAATACAATGCTCTCCTAAATTTAAGTTGAATATCACAGTAAACGGTCCATTTTAACGAGTTTTTGGTTATTATTATTTTAACTCGGACGTCGGTTTAACCGGAAAACCGTTATCCGGACTGGCCTCGGTCCCGAGGAGTCCAGATAAGAGGGAGTCTACTGTAGTAGTAACTCAAAGTTCCGTCCATGAGTTTTGCCATGTCTGTCATGCAGCCCTAGTCGGTTTGTCCCGCAGCTTAATGTGGCCGGCCTACCATTTATTAAAATGTTTTCTGTATTATAAATGAGAACTTATGTGTTAACATGAGTTTATTAATTCATAAAGACGTATGTCAGATTCATGGACTAATTTAGATTTAAAAAAGGGTCTTATGACCCAAAACTAGTCATCCTTAGACTTCTATTAAAAGACTGAAGAGGCATAAAGGTACGTAACCTATTGTAATATTATTCATATTGTAAAATAATTAATGAGAAAAATTATTAACATATACATTGACAAAGTTACTATATTATTTATATTGAATTTAATACAAAAATACAACTTTATTTGAGCTACCTTTAACATAAATAAAACAATTAGCACGTTAGCATGTTTAATTTTTAACATTCATTGTATTTTTTCATAACATTGGTGTCTAGGTCTCTAATGCAGTTTTATGTTTCATTAAACATAACATTCCATAAAAGTTGTTCATATCTCTGTATTTCAAGGTTGTATTATTCTTGACGGAGAAATTTTTCTATTACTTTTGGGAAAGTTGATAGCAGTGAAATCAGACGATAGTTTTTAAGTTTAGTGAGGAAGCCTTTTTTATATTTTGGGTAGATTTTTGCTATATTTAAGACCGATGGAAACTGTCCTAGATGGAATGATAGGTTGATGATGTTGACCAACGGAGTGGCCTCCATAGCACAATGTTTCAAAACTTTTGATATGGAATTTCATCTTACTCCACATGACAACCACATGTGACTAAGGGTGATTACCGGCTAGAATAGTACCGTACAAAGTTAAGAATACAACGTTTTAGATGTGAACTAGGTCTCTTGGCCGCAACTGGAGCGAGCAGCCTTAATGAACGAGCAGCATTTGTGTAACCAATTACGCATTTCTTATTGTGAAAAAGTCAGATTCATCTTTTTGGTTATTTTAGAAAATCATTCTCAAAATACTAATTGGCATAGAGTGGGAGGAAAAGTAAAATTTTTTCAGGTGTAAGAATTTTGATAAAACGGAAGTTAACGTCTGACATCTTGGCCATTACCTAACAGGGGGTCTCTAATTCCCCAACTTCTACCTCCTCTCCTAACCAGACCAGTTTCCTTCTGGTTCGACACATATTGTTGAAACCAGTTGTCAGCAGAACAATCAGGCCACACATTCCATGCCACAAACCATCGAACATGATTACTTACTTACTTACTTGATACTTGTGTCCTTACTCCTTGACAGACAATGTCGGATAGACTGCGTCAGTGGCATATTAACATACTATTTACACATTATTTAAAAACTAATATTCACAAACTTCTTGCATAAAAAAACACTTTAAAAAAGTAATTTTTGTTATTTGGCTGTTATTTGGCTGTGGCGATTTTATTCCTAACCTACTGGAGTGCTGTTTTCATCTAACTTTTAGTGGCACCTCCTTCAATTCCTCTAATGAGTAGAGGGGTCTATTAACCAGATGGCCGTGCAGTACTAACCTGAACTTCGCACTGTCCAACTCTCTCACTTTTTTTGGCAGCGTATTAAAGATCTTGATAGCTGAGCGAGGGTAGCTTTTGATGGAGTGGCTAAGCCTACACCGCGGCAGATCAAGGTCTTGGGCTTTACGAGTGTTATGGCTATGCTGGTTTTCCCTCATTTCAAAACGGTGAAGGTTATATTTCAGGAGTAGCAGGCTGCTTAGGACATATTGGCTGTGCACTGTTAGTATCCCTAACTCCATGAAGAGAGGCCGGCAGTGTTCGTCAATGTCTGAGGATGTTATAATTCTTACAGCTTTCTTCTGTAAGAGGAGAATGTCCTGAGTTAGTGGTGCGTGTCCCCTCATTGCTATGCCATAGGTGACATGGCTATGGAAAAGTGCATAATACACATTTAGTAGATAGGTCGTTGAGATGACGTAACGAAGCTTTCTTAAAAGACATAGTACTCTCGAAAGTTTAGTACATACCTTATCTATGTGTGTATTCCAACTTAGCCTGGGGTCCAGCCAAAACCCAAGAAGTTTCACGGCCTCGTCTTTATGCAGATCAAGCTTCAGGGTGCACAGCAGCGATTGAGTTTGTCTTCATTCAGTTTGAAACGGTTCATGTTGAACCAGTCTTTGGCCCGTTCCAGTAGGTGGTCAGCCTCCGTCCGAACCTGTCCAATATCCTTCCCTTGTGATATGAGGGTGGTGTCATCTGCAAATAACATGGTGGATCCATCAAGCCACAGGTCGTTTATCATCAAGGTAAAGAGGATTGGGCCTAGCACTGAGCCCTGAGGTACTCCGTGTGGGACGTCTCTAATACAAGAGGAAGCACCATTCAGGGAGACAACCTGCTTGCGGTCGGCCAGGTAGCATGACAAGGTGTCAAGGACAGCACCTCCAACTCCATACTTTCTTAGCTTCGCTATGAGCAGATCATGACCCACGAAGTCCTTGCTCAGATCGCAAAGTTTCAGAAGGACTGACTCGCTTTGTTCAAAGGCTTCGGTGATTTTCTCAACAAGGAACATCAATGCAGTGGTCGTTGAGCGTCCGCGCCTAAAACAGTGTTGCGCCGATTTGCGCAACACAATACATACATACCAAATACTTTATAAAACTTATCACAAACCCAATTAAAATAGCTCTAGCCAAATAGTCCATTGCTCTGTTGCCAATAGCAATGGCTAAAATTTACTGTAACCATAATCTAAGTTACTTTCCAGAATATTCCAAAATTCATCATGAACGAATCACAGACTGTCATTATCAATGGCAGGCTGCCTAAGGAATTGTCTCTCCGGTAAGGAATAAGCATCGTAGACGCACACTTAGTCAAAGTAAGGATAGGTAAAAAGTAGCAAAATGCCTGATTTGAGCTGTAACCCATTACAAATCTACCTGTCGCATTATCTCTTACTTTTAGCTCTTATTGTTTATTTAACACTTTAAAACCTTAGCCCATTCGTTTCAACTTTCAAACCTTAGGGGCATTCGTTTTTTAATCTCACCTGTGATTGCTAGTGTCCTTATAGTGGCACTTGTCACATCCGGCTTACGGTGGCTTGGTAGCTAGGCTGGCTAAGGCGTTGCACTGACCAGTGTTGAGTTCTCAAGGGCCACCCTTAAATAAACGGTGTCTGGCTTAGTTGGAAGTTGACAGCATCATTGGGTTTAATAGGGATTGCATACTACAGCTGTTTTGCTTCTTTTTTCATTAGTATAGAGGAGGAGGACACAGATTCTTTTTTTTTCTATTTTGTCTAAATATAGCAAATATTGAACAGTTGTTCAAAAAGTATATTGTAAATAGGCCTAGTTACTATTATTTACTAAATTTATGCTTTTGTTCCAGATATATGTTTTAACAAGAGGCACAAAATGGATAATGCTATGCAAGTATTCTTTGAAGCAATTCGAAAAGGTCAAACAGACATTGTCCATGACTGTTTGCGGAACAATGATGATCTGCTTTCCGCTGTTGATGCAGAAGGTTTGACTCCTTTTCAACTAGCTTTCTTACATGATAATGCTGAAATATTGGATTTACTACTATCCAAAGCTGCACCAAAAACTTCTTGGCAAACCCCTCTTCATACAGCTCTAGAAAATAACAATCCCCAACAATTAGAATTTTTCTTGGCCTTATCTCCTTCAGTTATTAACGTACAAGATTTAAATGGTAACTCTCCCTTACACATTGCCGTTATGAAAAACAATTGTAAAGCATTAGAAGAACTTATCCGTAAAGGAGCGATCATTGACTTACCTAACAGTCAAGGCCAGACTGCCTTACACCTTGCAGTGGAAGAGGGATGCGTCCCTGTGATTGATGAACTTTTGCGTCTCGGAGCCAATATAAATATAAATAACAAAGAAGGAAAATCACCTTTACATATAGCAGTTTCTAAAAAAGTTCTTTCCGTTGTTGCCAAACTTGTACAGTCAGGGGCAGATTTAGAAGCAAGAGACAACCTTGGGAACACTCTCATGCACTACTCAGTAGTCTGTGGGTCGTTAGAAGTCTCAAAATATCTTCATCGTGCAGGTTCTCTGGCCAGCACCAACTACAGACAACAAACTCTCATGCATTTCGTGTTGGAAAAACTTGAATATCAAAATTGTTTGGACATTATCCATTGGCTCTTCTTAATTGATGTTGACATAACAGCGCAAGACGACAGAGGAGAAACTGTCTTTCACTATGTGTCCAGGAAAGGTAACGTTAAATACCTAAGGTGTCTGAGGTGTTTAAGAAATGATGTAATTGAGTTTGAAAAACTAATGAAGGTACAAAATGCAGAAGGGAAGACTGCTCTTCATTTGGCTGCAGAGTACAACTGGCCCTTGTTTAACTGGATTTTGAGAGACATATCTGACTTGGATATAAAAGATTTCAAAGGTGTCACTCCATTTGAACTTTTCACTGCAGAATATGATAGACTTTTTAGTGACATGCCTTTGGTACACTATTGTATTAACTTTCGATTGTTTCAAATTTTAAAACTGGTTCTGGATAAAAAAAAAGACATTGAAAGGAAATTTAAAGGTGAAACTCCACTAATTGTTGCTGTAAAATTGGAAAAAATCAACGCAGTTGATCTGCTTATCAGTAAAGGAGCCGATCTTAATGCTCAAAACAATAAAGGCCAAACTGCCCTTCATGTTGCTGTAAAAAAATCGTTACGATTAGTTTTAAAATTGGTTTGCAAAGGAGCTGATGTCAATATTAAATCCCATCACGGCAAGACACCACTCGATAAAGTTTTAAAACAGAATAGGGTCGATATTGGTATTTTATCATGTTTACTCAATTTCGGAGCTTTATTAGATGAATTTGGATCTACCGGCGGAACTTCATTGGATTATATTTCGCCCAACACAAGAAGAAATCAGTTAATCATGAATTTATTAAACAAACATTTAATAAAGCTTAAGGCTGTTGATATGCTGAATAGACCAGTCGACATTCGATATGAAGGATTCGAGGAGTTTAACCAGAGGTGTCTCGAAGAAATAAAATGGATGAAAATCGAAAGATACAAGGGAAATTCACTGTACGATGTGTTTTCAAAGTTAAGAAACCCTCTTTACGTTTGTAATGATCAACTGGAAACCAAAATAAACTCATTTAAAAATTGTGACTATGATAACTTGCCAATTTATGGTCCTCTTTTGTATCAGACATACTTGGTAGCCAAGGAGCGTTTCACACTTCTTAAGGATGCTCAGTGCTTTTTTAGGCTGTCGAAATACTTTTCCAATGCTTTAAAACTACCTAATGAATTAGAGAGGATGATATTGACTTACCTAAGTAACGACGATCTAAAAGTTTTGATTGAAGCTTGCCAATCTTCCTCCAAAGCTAGAAAACAGGCCCAAGTCCAGGCAGAGTTGGAAGAAAAAAATTCCCCCCATATGTAGGTGGAGAGGGGCACAATCTCTCCACATAGTGCAACTCTTTGAGTTCTAAAGGTTGATTTATCTGACGCAAAATTAACCTATTCTATTGACTTCCACTTCACTACCTATGGGAATAACTCAACAAGAATAGTTGAAATATTTACCTGACGTGCTGAGACCTGTCTGTTGAGTTCAGACCCATTACATTTGGGCTTCTATTGGACCATTGTTGTCAGTGCAGAAACCGTTAGTTTTAATCAATAGCCAAGCTGCTGTTAAAAAATGTTGCTGTAAAAAAATCTTTATGATTAGTTTTAAAATTGGTTTGCAAGGGAGCTGATCTCAATATTAAATCCCATCACGGCAAGACACCATTCGATAAAGTTTTAAAACAGAATATTGGTATTTTATCATGTTTACTCAATTTTTGAGCTTTAATATATGTATTTGGATCTACCGGTGGAACTTCATTAAATTATATTTTGCCCTACACAAGAAGAAATCAGCTGATCATGAATTTATTGAACAAACATTTGATAAAGCTTAAGGCTGTTGATATTTGGAAACCGTTAGTTTTAATCAATAACCAAGCTGCTTGAGGTGTACTGGTAATAGATATTACTGTTTATCGAGGATTCGAATCCAGGTGTTATGTGTAACTAATGAGAAGTTAATCCGTCTGTAATAGATCGTGATGTAAGTGTTCCACTAAACGCTAAACGGCTTAGGTCAGTGTATGTAGACAGGACGGGTGAATTCATTGTAAGTTGCACTTCAAATCACCCAACTAATTTTGCCACTTTCTATCCATCCATCCTTACCGCAAGTGTGTCCATAAGATGATGAGAAAACGTCATTAAACGAAGGATGAATAAATCAATAAATAATCTTTGGAACTCAAAGGGTTAATGTGAATTTGCTATGTTTTCTTTATCTTAGCTGATTATTTTGTATAATGTGAATCTACATGTTGGTTGAATGAATAATTATTGACAGATGTAAGTTCTAAATGTATCAATCATGGTGCAATATAAACTATGTGTAACTCATTATATAATCATAATACCTAACCATTGTTACTATATCTTTTTCTTCTGTTCTTGCTATCTATAAATGTTTAATATGTGTCTTAAAACGTTTTCAATATTGTTTGTGTTTTTATAAATGAGTTTTTTTTGTTATTAGGCTATAGAAGATATATTTGCAAAATAAATTTGTTGAATGAAATATATAAGTTTTAATATGAATTGAAATTTTTGACTGTAGATTCTTACTGTAACCTGAAGTTCTTACTTCTTGAGTGTATTTCAGGAAAGCATAACTTACTAGATGGACATTATTATTTTTAAGCTTATTTATTGTAAAAAAAAAAAGTTATATGTACAAATGTGAAGTTTTGTATTTATAAGTTTGCTAAGCATTGGTATCACTACATAGAGCCGCCACTTGCTCTAGGATCTTGTCAACATAGGGGGTACTGAGGGGGGGGAGGGGTTCCCACACCTCCCAAGAAAGAAGGGGAACCAGAAAGGTATCACCTGCAAAAATTGTATTTTTAAAGCCATTTGTAACGTCTAGAACTGTGTCCAAAAACCTCTGTTACGTTTTTAGAACTAAATGTGTGATTAAATTTATTTTCCTATGGTCCAATTGGGGGGGCTTTAGTTCCTATAGCCACCCCCCCCCCCCTTGAAACCGCCACTGACTACATTTTTGGTCTTCCAGAGAGAACCGTGTGAAATTAGTATTTGCACTAATTACAATCTTCATTTTAAAAAGACCATTTCATTTTAAGATCTTCAGTATATAAAAGACAATGGTGGTACGCGAAATAATTTTTGTCTCGAGGAGTGGTACAGCAGTAAAATGTTGGGAAACGCTATTCTAAGTAATAGAAAGTTTACCAATAGAGAGTATGGAGCAGCTCTCTACGTCAAGAACCTATAATGGATCATAGACTGTAAACCAACATGCTAACTGAAAAGTTCACTAAGATTAATTACTGCCTGCTTTACTGAGTATATATGGGTAAACAAGCATGGATGCTAAAAATTGCACTCAGTGCTTGTGAAGTCTTGCTAAAAAGATCAGATATAAAAAACCTGAGTAACAGAAAAATCACTCAAAAGTACCAATATTAAGTAAGTAAAACAATAATTTCAAAGAGAGTTTAACTAGCATCTAACACTACTGCTAAAAGGAATAGTATATTTCACTACTAGGACCGAAAGTGGCATTTTCCGACACACGCTCAAAGTTCGGCTTTGCCTCACACGTGAGAGTAATTTTCACATACGAGGCGAAGCCGAGGACGGTAACAATGGAGCAAGTGCCGGAAAATAGCTTTCGGTACGAGTTATGAACAATACTTTTCATCACAACGCAAAAATACACACATACAGAATTACATATCTCAGCAGTATTAAACTAGTTTTAGACTACTCTTTATCATTGAAAATGCACTTTACCACAAACATATTATATGGTTTCATAATTGTAAATTGTTTAGATAAATATATTAGTAAATACTTCGTTATTTACTTTAATTGACTTATTATTTTGTACTTTGTGCCACCAGCTTCTAAGCTTTCTTTATTCCTCTTCTTATCTTTCCCGTGATTTATCAGGTGGAAGGTGATTAGTTACCTCTGAAGCTGTTTTTATCAAATCATCAGTAATGTTAGACATACCTACTTTGAACAATTTCAAACATGCACTACCGTATGCTAAAAACACAGCAATACAAACTAATAGTGTTACTGTATGGATTTAGTTTGTGCAACATAGTGGATAAATGGAGAACTAACAATTGAGAGCAAGGGAAAGTAAGTTTAGAGCGAGGGAAAATCAGCTGATCGGTTTTTCCTCGCTCTAAATTAGAGCTTGGGAAACAACTACTTTCTTCCAAATCAGCTGTTATCGAAAATAGTTACTTTTGGTAAGGAGTGATAAAAAACATACTAGTTGCTCTGCCCGTGCTTCACTACGGGGTGAGTATGCAGAAAAGAATAATTTGGTTTTACTATAAGAAACAGTTACAACACACTTACCAGGAAACATATAGGCAAAGGCTCAATCGTGCCTATTGATTATTTAAATGAAGATCTCTTAATTTATTACTATGACTTTATATAGTGTATTGCATTTAAAATATATGCAAAATAATAATTCATTGACCACATGGCACAAAGAAACAATTCTCCTTGTAAACAAATTAAATTAAATAGCAGAACAGCAATTCTGACAACAGCTGGAGTTTCATAACAATGTTTGGTTCCCATGTTAATCTTATGGAGAAATACTAAACTTTAAAGGTCCCTAGGACCTCACTCTCTAATTATTTCCCTAAAAATAAAGTTTCCTGCATAACTTCACGTTACGCTCTTTCCAATGACACCAAAAACATGGCAATCGGTTCAGTAGTTTCTGAGGAGTAATTGTAACAAAAAAAACTTGCTTGTGTATTAAATAAGTATAGATATTCTTTAAAAAAAAGTATTCAGCTGTAAATAGATATTACTAATAAATTTTTAAAAATCACTGTAAACTTAAAATACCCCGCCGCAGCAAACCTGCAGACTAAGTGAAATTCAACTTGTCTGATTAAATTTTTACTAACATATTTCCGTAAATAAGACATATTTATTCCCGATTTAAATAACATTAGATTTAACGAGTGCTTAGGTTTGCTGCTACGGGCAAGGTAAAAAGTGTTTTTTGACCATACGTCAATAGCATAGGATGAAATAAATCAATTTGCCAAATTTTATCAACATATATCCATAAACAAGTAAACTACAACAGTATTAATTTTCTCCATAAGAATAACATGGGAATTTTAAATTGCACTATTTTTTTTATTTTCTCCGTGACCGTTAGGCATACAACAGCGCTTCAATATACTAAATTATTTCTTTTTTTAAGCTCTTCAAAACGGTTTAGAAAGAAATTGAAATTGTTTTTGTTATTAAATCGGTCCTGGGTCCAGGTCTTACCATGAGTACTACGGTAATAGCTTATTCCCTATGTATGGGAAATTCGCTAAAATAAAACAATAGATAGTTAAGGTGTATAGTATTTTCATTTACATGTATACAGTGTTGTTATTGATCAAACCTTATTCTTATATTGATAGAATATAGATGTTATTTCAATGTTTAAATACTACTTACTAAGTAAAGTATTCATAATCATACAAGTAATTTTGTACAAAGGATAAAACTCATTTGAGTATTTTACAATGACAGAAGCATCATACACAACATTTTCAATGGTGGGAGGAATTATCATATCAGGAAAAACCACTAGAATATTATAAGATAACACCTTAACAACAAAATATAGCTTTCTCTTATAGTTACCTTATAATTTTACAGCATTTAATTTTGTTTAAAGGATAAAACTCACTATACGAGTAATGACAAGCATTTTATCATTTTTGTAAACACACTATGGTGTTATTGGTGATTTATTGAGAATAATACTTCATATAATGTTTTCATGAGCTGAAAAGGTATAAATTGAAGAAGCAGACATCATGAGTAAATTATCCTATCCACTTTTATGCCTAGAAATGTATTGTTTGCAATTAAAATTTAGGAGAGATTCCAGTACCTTATAAATCACCTACTGTAAACTATTAAGACCAAAATTAAAATGTGAATTTTCCCCACTATTTATATGCATTATCATGGGTTGCATTAAAGACAAAAACATGTTAAATCTCATTCATGATAAATTTCCAATAACTCTATACCATATAGACAACAATGTGTCAATAAATATTAGCTAACCTAATAAAGTAGAAGAAGCAGGGCTACCAACTTAACAAAAGATCTTCTTTTGTCTGTTAAAAGCATTGATGTATAAAACTAACATTAACAGTGAAGTGACTCTCTGTACTTGTGATTTGGGTTGCGTAACACCCTGGTTGAATAATGTCCAAAGAATAGTCATGCACAATAAGACCAAGGTCATCAAGGATCTCACAGCTATGGGGTTATTTCAAGAGAAGTGCACTATTCTCATTACTCTTTTTCTTCCTCTAAAAAAGTTGCTTTTCTCCAAACTTATTACAGTTCCTTATACTGTAGAATAATTGTTATTGTTTTTAAATCCTCCTATTTTCAACAAAAATAAAGCAAGGAAAATTAGTATAGGTTTACTCTTGAAATAAAATGGAAATACATTTTCTAACAAAAGTATAAGTATGCAGTGTGTCCACATTCTGGAAAGTCAGGGATAGTCATGGAAAAAGGCAAAAGGTCATGGAAATTCCCAATGATGGATGATTTGAGGGGACTATTCAATGCTCTAGTGGGCCGTAACTCCAACTACTGGAGCATTTATCAGGATTTTTCACAAATGTTCGACGATTCAATTTATTATGTTTGTATTAGTTCATTGTTGTACCATTGTACTCTATTGTTATCTGTTAATACATATTTCATTAGTTTCTGCGAAATCTAGGTAGTATTGTTCGTGTGTGTATGTTATATTATAATTTGAGTAAAGTTCGTGAGTCATGGAAATAAATGGTAAATGGTCATGGAAAGTCATGACAAATTTTATGTGAACACCCTGGTATGTTAATTCATTAAATAAGTTACGAATGTCCACTTCCCACTTACATCACTAAGCCAATTCTAGTTGAAACCAACTCAATTTTATTACGGTATAGTTAAAATCCCAAATTATGGTATATCGTCCAACATGAGTACCTACTTAGGTAATTGTTTGATAAAGGCGCCTCCGTGAGAAGTGTTTTAGGTCTAGTTTTAATTTTCATATTTTATAGTTTTTTTTAAGCGTGACATGGATTATGAGTGTGGGAGACCGAGATTAATGGCTGAGGAATCCATTATGTTATTCCCTGGACAGAAGACAATATCATTTAATGGGATAATGGGGATTTGGATCCAGTCACTGTTAGGCCTGTTCACATGTTCACAGAGAAGAGCTCGCTGCGGGTGGGGTGCCCGTCATAAATAAAGGATTGAAGAAGATAGGCTGGATAGATCCTTTAGTTAGTGACACCTATAATCAGCACTTCAACTACTTTTGACTTAACTGTAAGAGTACTGTGTGCATGTTCTGGGAAAAGCCTAGGCCTATTTGTCAAGTAAGAATTCAGATTTTTTTTAGTTAAAATACAAAAATATTAATGTTTGCCTAAACAAGGTATGTTCAAATTTCCAGTCCACTTGAAATGGTGATTATTGTATTACTTAACATTTACTCTCAATCCCTGAACGCAAGGTTAATCATAACCTTGATCAATGTAAAGGGACATCCATATAAATGAATGAATGAAAATAAAAAGGTCAACTCCCTCTTTTTGTAAACAGTAATAATTTCGTATAAGTTACAATCAGATGTCCCTCAAAATCTCTTACTCATTGAACGATTAAATATTAAAAATAAACAAAAATTAACAACATCGTTCAGACTGTTATACAATACTGCCCTCTATTCCAGTATTCCTACCTATTCATTCTATTGTTAATTGAATTATTTGAATTAATAATAAAATAATGATTCAAATTTCAAATTGGCTGTTTTTGTTTCAGTTTTCAATGTTCCTACTTCATTTTCATTCCTGCCATATTGACCGGCTTGTGTTAGATTATGCACTATGCACTATGTAGCTGTGTAGTTCACTGTTGTCACCTTCGGGGGTCCCATAGCTCCGATTCATTTTTTTAAATCTATTATATAGTCACAACATTGACTATATAACACTATTATCGTGTAGTGTTATATAGTCAATGGCCACAATCATCTCAATGGCTACAATAGATTAGAATAGTTTTAGGCTGCGATGGTTCCGTATTCTGACAGGCCTATTGAACTATTTTGAAATTATTTCGTAGCTTTGGCAAAGTTCTATTGCATTCGGATCAATCCTCTTGCTTCCTCTTATAAATTAATATTAATTAATTTAATTAAATCGTTAGCGAATTTTCGAAACTAAGGATTGGTTGTTAGTCAGATTATACACAGTAGGGATTTTTTTTATTATCTATGTATCTTATTTGTTGTATTGTTTACTTTAGAACATATAAGACAATGCAGAATTACAATGATTGGAAGGTATCGGGCATTTTACTGCTAGGGGTCCGTCTTTAAGTAGACATCTTAACCCGAATATAGGTCAGATCACGGAATGATCGATAAGACCCGCGAATCAGAGAATACACAGTTTGAACTTGAGTTAACACTTATGTTTGAAATAAGTGTAAGTATTCTGTTTTATACTAAATGTTACTTCCAATTAATTATTTACAAAAACGTATTCCTCTTTGTATTCCTTTTTCATCAAATTAACAATCGCGTTAAACAAATGCTTCTCCTTGTGTTGTGAATTTCTCTGCCATAAATTTAAAGCATATCTCTTTTGCATAGTTGTATTAGGGACATTCTAATAAAACTTGATCTATAGGTTTCCTTGCATGCCTTTTGAATTCAATGCAGAACGGTGTAAAGTAAAGCAAACTTCTTTCAGTCTTTATAGATATTGTTAACATATTTTATGCCCCATTCTAGTTGTACAAATGAAATACTTTCCGATTGGAACTTGGATATCTACCACCTCGTTGCCTATTGTTATTGTTAAAGCTTATTTTGCGTATCGGATGACTATTTCGTTTGGAGAAGTATTATAGTTAGTGTTATGGTACTGGTACCCATGTAATATTGTTTTGTTCATTTCAAGATTAATGCTAGTGTGTTCTCTTGTGCTATAATTGTTGATTCGGAATAAATAAAACGGCCCACTTAATGGGGAAGTTAAATGATTTCAAGATTTGAAAATGCTGAGCCCATTAAATCGTCGAATTTCGTAAAATTCTAAACTTCAAGATTTTCTGATTAAACTATTAATTCAACTGCAAATTACTTCCGAATGTTCTTATTTCAGATGAAATCAAAGCCGAGTGTTTAAACCAGGGGTTAACTACATCCGAGCAAAAAAATTAAAAAAACTCTGAGTACAATACAGTCTGTACTAGAAACATCACGTACGCAAAAAAAACACACACACAGAGATTGCACAAGGTGGAACTCTGGCCGGGGGTACCCTCCAGCTGGGGGATACCGATACCGCCAAGGTTGCCACCATCAAGGTGGCCAATCAAATCCGGGGTGTAAAATTCCGGGGGTAAAATTCCGGGGGTAAAAATCCGGGCCGTACATTCTAGGTTTTTATAATTTGATGTGTTCTGATTAAATTCACAACCGTGAAAATATATGTTTAATTCCGCGTTTAATCCATCGAGCTGATGTCGCGAAACTCAAAAGTTCGCGGCCGGAATTTTACCCCCTGGTTTGTGACGTCACGTTTGCCCAGGGGGTAAAATTCCAGGGGGATAAAAATCCGCTACCCCGCGGGTGGTCCCTCACCGTGGCGAACACTGTTCCTAATCCAATCGGTTTTGTGGGAAGTCAGTTTAGTTTATTTGTGAATTTGATCCTTGAATTAGTGATTTCGTTGGGGGTTTGATAGTTTGCAATTGAGAGAGCTGGGAATAAAAATAGGTATATACAAATAGGTATAGGTAAAATAGGTTGTACTGTAGGAGTAAAAATCAGCAAAAATATCCAGAATCATGAGAAGATCTTTAACAATCCAATCGTAAGTTATCGTAAAATAGATTCTCATGCAACAACGATTTTAACATTCGTTTTAAACAAGTGGAGTTTTAGATATTCCTATAACAAACTTAGCTTTAAATTAATTCAATAGCTTATAGCATGCATTATAATCATTTTTGTACAGCCTACTATATGTGAAAACTACAATCCCTGCCTGACCATGTCTATTGCATTATTGTAAATGTCGAACGATATGGTACGGTAATGATTATGAATGAGGTGACAAGTGATTTTTTTATATACAAAACTATTATTTTTATATATGACCATGTCTATTGCTTGCATGAATGTAAACTGGAACGATATTTTAGTAATGATCATGGTGCCTTAAGGGCGTATATACTGTACATACCTATTATAAATTATATTATAATTTGTTGCTGTATCCAAGTAACTACAAAATATTTACAACAATAACATTATAAAAGACGGGGCGTGGACAAGTTGGACAAAGAGTTGAAAACTGGATTTCTAACCCAGATATTTGACAGGGAGTGTAAGTGTCTTGCTTCTTCTTTGGGGATGCGCTTTGCTCAGGTAATTTTTTTCTAGTTGTCTAAAGATGGCCACCGGTAGGTTTAAAGGCGTGTGGTTGGTTTCTTCTCTCATTGATTTTCTCTCCTAACTTCATACAGCTATCACACGGATTTGCTGTTAAAATTATCACTTTTAATATTTTCATCAGTGACAAATTTATAACTTATGTGAGTACGAGTATTTATGTCATAAGTAAATCTATGTCAGATTATTAACATACTTTTAATCTGGGTCTTGCGACCTACTCTGGGAGATCCGGTAGCCTGAATTTAGTTAGTTTTCGGTGGTGATTCACATACTTCGGTGGTGCATATGTAATTTGTGTTTTAATAAACATTTTATCATGTAGGTATGATTGCTTTTTGATATAAGAATTGACGTAACTATATCATCACCTTTTAATTGTCACAGAAATGTTAGGCTAGGAAAAACGATGGTTCAATTTTGAGCTGTTTGGTTAAAGGATGAAAGTAAATTAGCCTACATACCAACTAATGTACTCATTATTTATTCACTTGTCTCATATAAACACATTGTAAACCCCCTCATAATGACTCTTCTAAAGCTTATTATGAATACAATTTTAATTTTAATTGATAAAATGGATCATGGAGACACCCCATTCTGAATATTACAGTAGGCCTTATAGGCTAGGTTCCTCTAACCCTAGAACTGCTGCCAATCTTCTTAAATGTTACATACAAAAAAATTCAGTTGTTTAGGCTAGTCTACATGTGTGCGAGTATTGTGAAAAATTATTTTTCTGTAAAACCTATCGTAACAAGTTAATACTGTAAACTTACAGTAACATAAATATACTCAGCGCATTTCAAGGAACTTAATATGGACCTAATAAGTAAACTTAGTATAATAGACCTAATATAATAAACATAAATTGGCTGACAGTACCACTAGATTTGGTTTCAAAAAACCTCATAAATAAAAAGGAATAGGCCTAATTTAGATTTTAATTTTGAGTTTTTATATTTTAGGACATAACTTAGTGTTGTTGAATTAATTAGATTGCACTTAGGATATAGGTTATTCTAGATAGAAGAAGAATTCTACTCTAAACAAAAAACAATTCTTAGTAAGTTAACTTAATTGTTTCTAGTAAAAATTAAGAATCTGATGTGTGAAAACTGTAAATAACTGCTAACCGGTACACTTAAGTTACAACTAACAAACAATGCATTGATTCCTAAGAAAGACGTACGTATTAGCAACATTTAGATTTTATATCAGCGAAAGCTGCCAAAGTATGTATTTTTGACTTCCTCTTTTAGGGAACAAATAGTCTAGATTGTGACACTTTGCATTTCTAGGGTTAAGTTTAATGCTAGGGTGCTTTCAACCGAGCAGGGCCATACCAAATTATCTAAACTCATGGTATTCAAGGTAATTTTCCAATTTAACAAAAATTAGACATTAACTTACACTAAGTTAGTGTACAGGCTTCCATAACCTATGTACCGTACGGTAAACAATAACAAATCATACTACTGTAACTTAATGATATTTAACAATTAGTATTTTAACCCACGAGAGCACGCATAACTGTCTATGTGACCGTGTTTGTACTTTTTTGTCTAAAAATTATATTTATGTGTTGTCGGTTTTATGGTAAACTGGGCATAACTTAGCACACCACATTCTAGGAACACTGTGACATACTTTTTGCCATCCTTCACCTCCTCATTTCAGTCTAGCGACAGCTTTTAGTCATGTATTAGTTGATTGCACCCTGTGCGTCTCATTGTGTTTTTGAATTGCCGGTCAAAAATACAGTGTGCGTCTCCTCGTGGTTTGTAAATTAATGTTTTTTTTTCTTTTAGTTGTTGATTGGCTACAGTTTGAATTCATTCCATTAAATTATGTGCTGGGCCACAGACAAATATTTATGTACCTCTCAGTGGCTGTACATGAAATCTACCTAGTTAAAGTAGGCTACAGGATTTTGAGTCCATCGTCAAGTGTTGAGAGAGATGATGATTTTGAACTTTTTAGTGATACCTACTTGAAGGATATTTTCCAAGTTTACTAAACAGTTTTTTTCATATGTATTTTTATTTTTAGATAGCCTACATAAAAAACGGTGTCAACAGTTTGAGGTGTTATTGAGTTTATATAAGAAGCGGTTTACACCAAACAAATAATGCAAGGTGTATGATTTTATTACAACTGTTTAAGTTAAATGTTTTACATAATTTTTACGATTTTGAGGAATCAAAATATAATGCTTACCGGTACTGAAATATGGCTTTTTAATTGTAAGCTTCCCGGTCGAAAAGACCGTGTGCGTCTCCTCACGTTTTCAATTCAGTGCGACCTCTGCCGGGTTCGTTAAAAACACTTAAGAACAAAATAGGCCTACTTGGCACTAGACAGTTCTGGTTTTAAATTAGCCAAGGTGTATGTGAAATAATGTAGGCTATAACCTATGGAAATTTGTGGCAAATTAAAAATAAAAATAAACATTTTAGCTAATTGAAACAGCTTGTAGTGTAAAAAAACCTAACCTGTCCTTTATCTTGGTAATATAGTCCTACCTTTTAACTTTGGAAAATGTATTGTAAAATATGTAAAATGTCCATAGGCTACTGTAAATCGTAGTTCAGTAGAGCCTCTATTACTGAGCTAACGTGGACTGAGTGTACTTCGGATGTAAAAAAAAAACTTAGATAACAGGGACTTTTCCGCAGTAAAATAGGAGAATAAAATACAGTATGCCTATTAGCATGGCCAATATAGCATCTACTGTATTACAGTGTTACAATATTTGTGTACTGTGTAGTAATAATACAGTAAAAAATTATTTCTTGCAACTTAGCATCCAGCAAAAACCATCCTTTGCCATCACTTATCCCCTCAGATCAATAAACTCAATCCGCCCTTGCACATCAAATGGTAGGTGTATCCCCAGTGTGGCGCAGCCCGCAGCGTCAAACAAACACGATTGTCGTGTGCGATTGGCTTTCAAATTTCAGTCTGACGAATAGCAAATAACGTGCAGAGATAATGCTTAAGGTTTACCATGCACATATCAACTTACATATTACATTTGGTATTGAGTTATATGGAGCTACGAGTTAATCAAAATTTATAAAGTACCTATTCTAATCCTTCAAAAAAGGGCAATAAGAATCATGTTAAATCTGGATGATGAAGAATCGGCCAAAAACTATTTTCCTAAATTAAAAATTCTAACCGTTTACAGCTCATATATATTGCACACTATTATGCATGTGAGGGCTTCTGAAGACAAGGTGCCACTGTTGAGGGGATAATCATAGATATAATACTAGGCATAAAAATTATCCATCCGTAACACAACACAAACTGGAGTTTTATAACAAGCAACCAACAGCTGCAGGTATTAAGTTTTTGTATCATCTACCAAAATAAATATTTGATTTAAAAAAAAACATTAAGTTAGGTCTCTTTAAAAAAAACTTAAACTGTTACTAATTGATAGGGCATTTTACTCATTTGAAGAGTTTTACAACATGTAATTATATTAGTTAAATTTTCCTGTTTTATTTAGTTTAACCAAGTATTTTTAATTAGTAATAAGCTGTTTTGACGCCATTCCGTATTTATTCATATATTTCATGTATAGGCTATAATGTATAAATCTTGAATAAAGCTTTTCTGATTCTGATATCCGGCTTTACAACAAGAGTCGACGTAGGTCGCTAAAACACCCACAGATAGCAGCACTGCTTGGAACGTAGCCAGTCCCATTTTGATTGTATTGCAAAATTGAGGGAGAAAGACGGGAAAACAAGTTGATTTTTAAGCTTGCCAGACAGGGATTTTACGGGAAATTTACTACCAACCTACACCACAACAAAAACAAGTCACACACTTCACGCTATCGTGGTATAGGTCCGCTTTCGACCGACGCTAGAGCAAAAACGAAGATATATGAAAGGCATTGTCGAGCGTTCCCGATCGGGTACAGACGCAATCAACGTGTAAAAAAAAACTATTAATTGGATTCAGATCTTATTTATGAAAATTAAGTAGAAGTCTAATTTAGTTTACAGGCTAGTCCATATTTAAGTTAAAATTATTGTTTAAAAGTTAAAATTACAAATTACAAAGGTACCTGTAGTCTTAACAAGTAAATCCAAAGTAATTTGTAGGCTTCAAATTTGGATTGCTAACCAGTTTATTTTATTCAACCTATTCCTCCATTTCCTATCCTGTTGTAATGAGTCATCTTTATTTACAAATATACTTATACAAATTACAATGTTTTCTTATTGTAATTTAGTACTAACCCTAATTGAATTTCACAATTACAAAATTTAAGGAAGTATTATTCAAAATTAATCTGTCAAGCTGGATAAAGATGGTGATGTTCGTCCAAATAGTCTTTTCAACATTTATGTATTAACTAACCAAATGAAGTGCAATACAGTTTAGTATATAGCCTACACGACTCCCCTAGTTATACAAACACCTCTCTATAACTCAACCTAAACCACCATCACTACCACCACCTCCACCTTAATCTCTACCTCTGCCACCACCTCTACCTCCACCCTCAACCTATACCTCTTCCTCCACCTCCGCCCTTACCTCTTCCTCCATCTCTATCTCCACACTTACCTCTACCTCCACAATTACCTCTACCTCCACAATTACCTCTACCTCCACACTTACCTCTTCCTCACCCCTTTTCTCTTCCTTCACCCTTATCTCTTCATCCACCTCCGCCTCTTCCTCCACCCCTACCACTTCTTCCACCTCTACCTCCACCCTAACCTCTTCTTCCACCTGTACGTCCATATTTACCTCTTCTTCCACCTCTACCATTACCTCTTTTTCCACCTATACCTCAAGCTCCACCACTACCACCCCGTTAGGCACCCGATACCGCAACCTTTATCTCTACCTCTTAACTCTGCGACTTAATGACTAATTTGACGTGACAATGTATTTGTATGGAATATTAACTGGCAAATAAAAAAAAAAATAAAAAAAAGTCTACTAGTACTTGTAAGTCTATCTCATATGTTTGACCGTACAGTATTTGAAATACATATTTTACCTCATTTAGTTAAGTTAAACAAATATAGAATTTTATTATTAGAACCAATAATATTTTTAAAACTTAATTTTTTAATTTTAGAAATTTAAATTTTTGTTTGCAACACGC